CAACATTGTCAAAATGACAGATTAATGTTACATAAGAACATGAAATTTTATAAAATTCGTAAATTTTGAATTGCTATAACTTTTCATTTTCTTAGTCAATTTTCACAAATCAAATTGCAGTTTATAGCAGCATTTAACAAGCTCGCGGTAAAAAAAAATCAAATATAACAGACATTGCGAAGTACACAAAATTAATAAAATAAAAACTAACACCATAAAACGAATGGCACGCATAGACTAATAATTGACGGCTGTACTCGCAACTAGTATCGGATTGTCGATGCCACAGTAAAGATCAAAGGACTGTACGCACGCGCTATGTTCGAGAGCGGAGATGTGCGTCCTTTTGTTGAATTACCTTGCTTTGACTCGACAGAATATCAGGTTGGAAGATCAACTGATATGAAACAAAGTGTTGTCCAGGCGCAGACAATGATTGGAAATATTTAGAATCAAAACAAACTTACCGCTCGGGAAGTAGCCATGATTTTGAAACAGTTGCATAACCAGAATTCTGCGATGATCAAGTATCTTTCGTGAATTTGACAATGACTTGTCATCAACATCTTCATCAGCATCTTCACCTTCAAGTAACAAGTAACCATAAAATTATTATAATTTAGGAGGAGATCTGCAGTGATGCATAATCTCTAATTACATTTAAAGTGAAAGGATTTTTCTTGTCTTGTTATTATTATATGTTATTATAAACTCGTACCAGAACGTTGCATAGAAGCTGCTTCCGCCAGAGTTTCCAAGCCTGTACCAGATTTCTCTCCAAACTTAAAGATATTTTCATCCTTTCCCAAAAATCCTGGATCTGATGCGGGCTGGTGTTTCAGAGGTGACCGCAACTTTGGTGATGTTGGGTCATCCATGCTACCTGTTGTTGACCAAAACAGAAAAAATTAAAATGTATATTGAATTGAAATTTAGCATCAAAATGCTGGCTAGATTTTAGGCTGTAGCACAAGCTAGATCTACCTAGCCTAGCTTAGGCCAACAGGCTCTATATTGGTTTTTTTTGGTCCTCTTGTTTAAGGTGGTGGCCTTATACAAAGGAACTACAGTATACTGTACTATAGAGGAACGGCTGATAAGATCCAAACTTACTCTGAGAATTCCTTCGTTTACGCCTGTAGCTACTGACGATGACCTTTGGGGTCAGCGGGATTGAGTTGATGCTGTGTTTATGTTCATCCGGATGGTATTCTGGCAACTGTGCAAATCTGGCTTCAAAATTGACTTCTTCTAGAACTCTAAGCAAACCAAATAAAACCAACATTACAAAGCATTTAATTGTACCATTATTGGTAACTGCAGTATGACTTTAAAGCGGGGAGGGGGGTCTCTATGATATATTGTAACATGTAGTTTAACCTTTCCACTGGATCCCAAGGAGAGCAGTGATGAAATTCAACCAAGTGCCAAAGGTCGGAAAGGATTACCACAGTTCAGTGCACATACAGGGACTACTACAAGCTGAGCAGGCCCGGGATTATCAATCTCAGCATAGCAAATGTCTTAGTCAAAAAAGTTTAGAAGTCCCTAAGCAAATATCTAAAGCTGATTTATCATACCATCTTAGCAAAATCTTAGCTTAAAATCGTCTTAGATGGTTCATGAGTACAATCGACTTTTTAATTTTAAGCAATTTTTAAGTTAAGGTAATATTGATAAATTTGACTTAAGCAAAAAAATGGACTTAAGATGAACTTAAGCTGATTTCTAGTTTGATAAATTATTAAATAGCCTACCAAACCATAAATAAATTAAATACATATCCAAATGCCATAGCCTACCTCTCCATTCCATCGTCAGCAGCAGTCTGTCCGATGACAGATTTACTAGGCGATTCTCTGATTCCCACATTCCCAGCCTCAGAACTCTGGACCGAACTAATAACTCCGTTCTTTGCTTGACTGGCATTTGTCGCTCTTCCATCACTTGCTTGCATAATTTCCTCATCTTTAGTCTGAAGTCCATTCTTTGGTTTATTTACTTTCATTTCTTTTTCCTCTTCCTTAGTACCACTTAAGTTTGTTCTACCATTAGTATCACTTTTTGCCTTGTTGTCTACATTAGTGTCTTCTGTAGCTTGAACCCTGTATAACTAGATACAAGACAGGAAACTCATAATTATAAATCAATCATAAATTAATATAATTACTTTTTTATATTAATTTTATCAATAGTATCAATTTATTAGGTGGACCCTATTAAAAAGAAGTTCCCATCAGGTGAATTTACTGAATTATCCAGACGATCTGTTTAATTGTAAACAATTGTTGATTTCTATCTCCAGTTTCTTTATTACTATTAGAAGTGATATCCAAAATTTTTCTCATTTTTATAATTTTATAAAATTAATGACAATAACATGATAGTATAAATAATTTATACTAAAAAAAGTAATGATTTAAAGATAAACAATAAGTTACTGCCTACCCGTTTATCCTTCTTTGGTGGCCTAAGCTCGGCCACTATTTCACTTTGCCTTTTGCCCTTGCAAGCACGATGTTTCCTATCCTCAGAACCGTTCGGTCCTGTGCTGTTTGTAGCCTCTGTGGACTCCATCTTCTCTTCTGAAGTCTGGTCCAAGTCTTTAGAGGCATATGATGCCGACAGTCCCACATCCCTACTATCCTTCCACTCTGCAACCACTCCTTGTCTGCATCGCACCACCTCTTCATCACTTTTTTCATTCATTGCACCTTTCCCATCAGGCATTGCACTTTTCCCATCTTGGCCGTTAGCTTCCCTAAATAACTGTTTCTTTACATCCTCCACGCTGGTCTGTACCGTGTTAAGGCTCAACACAACCGATGTCGGCTCTACCCCGGGTTGTATGGTTCCCGATTTTGTTGTGATGCCTGTCGTTGTAATGCCCTTCATAATCAGTGTGTTGCCCTCATGAGTTGAACGTACGTTCATGGTGGTAGTTGAAGTAGCAGAAATTCTGCCCTTCACAGAATGGCCACCATTCAACTGATGGCTTGGAGCTGTTCCGTAAGTGTTCAATTGTGGCTTCGGTCCCGAACTGCTAACTGGTAATTTTGGGAGAAGCTTTGGTAAATGTGAACCCTGGACTTGTTGTGTCTGCGATGTCATCACTGTTGGAACATTAGCTATTGTGGTTGCAATAAGAGGTTTGCTCTGCAGCAGGGATGTGGACAATGGCATTGTACCAACTTGGATGACTGGTGATGAAGAGACACCAGGTGAGGTTGTCACCACAGGTATTGTTGCAAGAGCAGCTCGTACCTTCTTAGGGGGGAGCATAATATGTGACGATGTTGATGGCTTTGGTCTTATAGCTTGCTGGTTACTACCCTGACTACGTCCACCTGTAAATACAAATAATGAAAAATAATTACTTCCCATCTTAAATACCAATGAACAGAAGATGCTAAGTAAGTGCTGGTTGGTTTCTGCGATAATTTTTATTAACGTTCAGTGATTTTATAGAATCCCACACTATCAATATGGCAAACATATTTTTATACATTTTTCTGTACGAATTGTACAGAATACATTTTTCCAATGTTGTTATTTGACAATAACATTATCTTGAATCTTGTTTTACCTTGAGAAACAAATCCAGTTGGTGGGATGACCGCCTTTGGTGTTACTGGCTTCAGGTGTTCAGGTGCCGCAATAACAATTGGAGATGATGGAGTTCCATCAACCGATTGAATAATGCTGTACCTGTAAGGTAAAAACAGTTTCTTGTAAGCCTGGCCATCCATGCGCCCGATGGTCGTCAGTCGACGCGATTCTATAGAGAATGCAAAGCCAGGATGCGCATGCAATGGATCGTTTTTGCCACCAGTCCAATAAGCAAATCAGCACAATGGTGCTGCAAGTTATGTGTTATTCTCCATTATTAACTCTTTACCTTTCATTTATATACTATTGTCTGCATTTAAATTTTTATTATATAATCATCATCTGCTTAATATTAGTAATTATTTAATATTTAAGATTATTCCAGGGGCCATATTGCAGGCCTTGGCCTCCTTGGTTAACGGCACTTTTTCTAGTTAAGCAGCAAGAGAAATCAAATGAATGAATGAATAATGATTGTTGATCTTTCAGGTATAAGCAGTCAAATACTGCAATACTTGTTAAATAATAAAACTACAAAATTCAGAAAAATATGACAACATATGACATATATGTTTGTTTACCTTTGAAATAGATATGCAGAATTAAATGTAAAATCTGTACTTAATTGTGAAAATCTATTTTTCTGTCTAATCCTGAAACAAAAAAAAATCTTGAGGGTCACATACCTTGGTGGTGAAGGCAGCAGCAGTTTAGGTTGCATTGAGACTGCAGGTATTGCTGGATGGTTGCTAGGGACACCTGTCATCGGAAACCCAGCAGCAACTGTCACCTTGGGGCTGCATGGCTGGGACATCAAGGTTAAAGGTTGTGGTGAGCTGGCTACTCTGCTCTGCTTAATCACAGCAAGCTTTTTCTTTGAAATGGCAGCCATTGCAACGTGTTGGGTAGCTGGAGCTGCTAAGTTGACAACCTGCGAAGTTGCTGATGGCAAGGGCAGGATCGTAGCCTGCACCTTGTTGCCTGGTAGGAGCTGTGTGGTGAGGATGTTCCCAGAAGAAGTGGCCTGTTGTGCAACCGGTTGAGGCTGTATTTGAGTGGTTCCAAGTTGAACACCAGGGGCAAGCTGGAGCCGGCTGCCAACCTGATTTGGAGCAGTTGCCAGTTGCAGTCTTGGTGCTGCATTAGTTTCATTCGTTGGGATAATATACTGCACCTGGGCAGATGCAGGTGGGTTGGCAAAGGACAGCATCTGGTTGCCTGGTAATTGTACGCCAGCTCCACCTTGGACTGGGATAACATTATTCTTAGCATCCACCATGACACCACTTAGAATTGTCGGTTGTGAACTCTGTAACAGTCTGGGAGCCATGTTTGAGATCTGAGATGGCATGCTTGTGATAGGCTGCAGAAAGTTATGGGCTGAGTTAACTGTGGTTTGATCAGCAATGATGGCCAAAGGTTGACCCTGAATATTACTATTACTGGTGCCTGGACCATTAGTGACAGCTGGATTTAGGGTCAGTGTTGCCATTACTGGAGAGTTTGTCAGGAATATGGGCTGGGAATGATTTACTTTGGCGATCTGGGCTGGTGCGGTGGAGATCAAGGCAGGGGCACCGATCGCTAATTGCATTGAAGTTGGTGCATTACTTGTATTTATGATCAACTTCTGTTCGTTTGTTAGGAATGACTTGACCTCATGGCTTTTCAGAGGTTCAGTGGTAACAATTTTTCCCTCGAACATCTCCTTTGTTATTCTTTTACCCTGCAGATAGTTAGTGTTCCCTGATGACATTTGACTGGTTTCCTTGATCGGTTGGTATTCATGGAAGGCTTTTGCCATACCAGTTGGGGTTGGATCACGCCCTTTTGGTGAGTGTGCTTTAAAGACCGCCCCCGTGGGTTGAAAATCACTCACACCGCCAACAGGCCTAGCCCTGATTTCAATACTGTTAGAAGAACCGTCCAGTTGATCATTATCTCCTCTGATAGTTGTCTTGTTTTCTGGTTTGGCCTTGATTGGTTTGGGCCGATATGTGATGTCGGAAATGGGTTTAACCATGGGTGAAAATCGCTGCTGGGGGAAAGCTTTGTTATGCATGGCTGACTCATCATCTGACTCTGTCTCAAGATCGCTATCAGCAACTTTCTCTTCACACTGCAAATCGATGGTATCTGCTTTACGCATTTCTACCCTTCCAGAATCAACTGTAAAAAACAACATTGTATAAACAATTCACTAATAGTCAAATATCAAATACACGCTTATTTGAGCATTGTTAATATTAATAGTGCATTTCTGTGGGCCCATAGTTAAGTTTAGAAAAACCTAAGCATGATGCAAATCAATAAAATTTACATTTTTCCTCATCCTCAAAAAATTGATAACAGAAATAACATTAACAATACAGTATAACATAACAATACAACATACAACATATAACATTATATGTTCATATAACATTTACAAAATTTTTTTTATTTTATTTTATTTATTTAGGCACACAACACATGCACCAACGATTGTGAATAGCAAATATATCAATGTCCTACTTTTAGGTGACAATCCCTTACACAAGACAAACATACATACATGATTCTTTACATAAACTAAATCTCAATATGGGGTTCAGGGAGGTAGAGGTCGTGAGAAAAAAATTCTGCAACACTGACAGGAATTGAACCCAGGACCCTGGGATTGGAAAGCAAGCATCTTAACCACCTAGCTATTCAACTTCAAAATTGTGACCCATGAAAGGGACATGCTTTACTAAACAAAACACAAAACAAACCCAAAATATATATTGAAATTCTAATACAGTGCCCTCTGGAGTCTTTTACTTACTGACAACATCATCGTCCTCCTGATCGACACAGATCACCATTCCTTCATCATCTGTTAATGTTTCCTCCGACTCAGTGCGTCTTCTTGTCTTTCCTTCCATTAAGTGCTTGATCTCCATCTCAGAAGCAGTATCCTGTACACAAGAGCAACACATGAATACTACTATAGTTGAATTTGCCTAAGTCGAATCCAAAATGACATTAAAAAATTGTTCTTACAGATCGTTAAATAATAGAGAAGACAGCAAGTAAAATAAGATCGACTTAGAAATTATTTGAGTTAGGGAAAGTCAACTTCGGCAAGTTTAACTGTATGCAAGTGCTATAAGACAACTGACTCCCTAAATAGGGAGCTTCGATCTTTACGGCAACAAGATCCTTAGACAAAATTACTTGACGATCCTGTGTTTCCTGCACAACACAGAATCAACCCAAACCATTATGAAAATTCAGAGGACAATGAGAACTCAATGCCAACACTATGTGACATCATTACATCTGGATCTTACAATGCTTACAACGTAATGTAATAAAAAACTTAATGCAAGGATTGGACGACATATATAATTGAGCTACAAATGTTTGAGGAGTAAGAGGCTAGTTACATGAGGGAAAAATATTAACGATGTCATCATAAATATGATGTCATCCCATTATGATGCAATGCCATGATGCCATCAGTTAATAAACAACACAGATGATTATTACTGTTGATCAAATTTTACTACCTTATTTGAAGGGTCTGTGGCCGCATAACCAGATATACTACGGGAACGTTTCTTAGCTGGCAACTTCAGTTGGATCTGTGGAAATTAATTAGATTCACATCAGAGACCACTAAGCAATTAGCAATTACATCGCCACAAATATTCAAAAAGCAACAAAAAAAAAGTGTTAGATACATGATGATGATTAAGATGATGATGACGTAATGATAATACTTATGATGACAATGACAATTAATGAATAAAGGAATCAACCAACCACTGGTCTTACCCTTTGTTCCGCTGCCTGTTGATCTGATTGGTTATTTGATGTGCTTGGCTTCAAATCCTCCAGGTCAACCGTTTGTAATACTACTGGCGTATCATCATCCATAACAGAATCTAAATCACAATCATACACAATTATATTTTTATTTCTATTAACCATTAAATGCATATAAATTACATCGACTTGACAGATCTGATTTGATTTATTCAATTAAATAAAACATAAAATTTAAAATTAATAGTATATTAATATTTAAGCTACTTCTTTATTAAAAATAGTATATTATAAATTGCAGAAATAAAAAATTATGTCTAAATAAATATATCAATTGTAATAAGGGTTAATTTTCTAGGTAATGTTGTAAGAGCCATACATACTACCCTTTAATTTGGAATGAGACATTCCTATAATTTATATATCAGGGTAATTTCTAACACTCTTTCAGGAGATATCCTACTTTATAGAATAGTCCATTTTCAGCAAGGGTAGTCTACATTTAAGTGTATAATATTTTAGAAATATCAGTTTGTATGATTAACAATATAATATGCTATTACCTGTAACATTATTACATATTAAAATTAAGAATTACATACTAAAATATTATGTATTACATATGTTGCACTTTTTTTGGTGCTGAAAATTGGAGTTAAAAGGTCAAATTCTTATCGGAGCATACCACTTGTGCTGGCCATATCCGATATAAACAGTTTTCTGTCCCCTTCCTTCCTCCCCTCGCCTCCAGACTTCTTGCGTTCTCGATTGCACCACTTCCAGTCAGGGTGGGCTTTAAAGTGGGCTTCTTTCACCTTCAATATAATAGATTTTCCGAAGTTATTTATTAGATTGAAGGAAATGAAATACATTCCTTGAACAAATTGATTTGGAATGAACATAAACTGTTAATGTTGTTGAAACCACTACGGTAGGTTAGTGGTGAAACATTACTGAAAATACGTGGGTAACATTCTACTGTCATAAAAAAAAAAAGAATCAACATTAGGAATGAAATACATTGTTTAATTGTCAAGTAATGGTTGAATAATTTGGCATTCAATCAGTGATGCTTTTACCAATAAAATCCTTAATGGTTTTGTAAATCTCAACATGCTTGAACCATCAACATAGTGGTGTAATAAATTTTTTTTCTGTATTGGTTTGATTGAAAAGAAAAACCATCTATTATAATGAAGGAATAATCAATGCTTGGGTAATAAACTATGCAGCAAGGTCATATGAACCTATTTTCTCAAAATGCCTGATTATTTGCAAGAATACGTGAAGTCATAAATGAGCAATATCATTGCATACAGTAATCTATAACTAAACACATGTGGCAGTAAAGACTCTAGAATTTGAGCTTCTAATATGGAGAGCATGTGTCCATTTAGAGTTCTGGTTATAGTAATGCTGGGGTGAGAGGTTGAAGTTCCTCTACATTTATGTGGAAAATTTTTGAAAAAAGAAGAGCATTTGGCTTCCAGCTTACTGGCCAATTCAATTCCTGTCATCTATGATATCTGTGGCATAAAAGATGACTGCTTATACACAATTTTTAATAAATTTGAAATTACATTTCCGAGAACCTGGCAACTACCACTGGGGGACATCCCAAGGCCTAGACATTTTGCTGTACGTAGTTACTAATATTTATCTGTGCTGTGACCGGTGATTGACCTTCTTGTTGTAGTGAGTTAGCCTAGATCTAGGCTAGTCTTTGAAAACATAATGGCAAAAAAAAAATAAAAAATAAAATAGGGAAATATGTGTTCGGAAAAAAGAAATTGGCAAACAAGATGCTTTGGACGGATGTCACCCAGTGAAAGTTGTGAGACATTGGAGGCGCTGTTTCAGAAGACCTGATGAAATGGTGTATATCCAAGACAATATTACATTCACTATTGGCAACCTTTGGCCCTCATTTATATACATAAATATCTGAATAATTTTATGAGAAGTAAATTATCTTGCATTACCTGTGATGCAAGATCCAGGTACTGCTGCTTTTCCTTTGGACCTAAGGCATACCACCACTCTCCAAGAATCTTGCTTACGGCACGATTATCCTGATTCGGATGACGTTGATGAACCAGTGCACGATGACGTTTGCTGAAAATCATAAATGCATTCATGGGCCTACGTACATGTGATTTATCCTTCTGTGTTCAAGAGAAAAAAAAAAACAGAATTATAATAAATTATGACTAATCATGTCTGTCTGGATATTTATTATAGTCAATACAGGGGAAAAAAAAGGAAAAGTAGCGATTTTGAGACTTGCAATGTTATTAACGCAAGCATTTATGGACACAGTAGAGTTTTTTTATTATTATATATGACTACATATGTGGCAAAGACAAGCCAAACCAGTTACTCGTCGCAAAAATTGATGTTTAATTATTAATATGGGGTTAAAGATGAAAATGAGAGCTATAAAATTGTAAAAGAATCCTTTAAATCTAACATTTCCTTATGAATTTACAAGTGTTTAAACATACAGCTGTTTAAAGAACAATATCTGAGAAATCAGCCTTCAAATAATTAAAACTTGGAGTTGTAAAATAAAAACTGAAAATATTAACACTGTTACCTTTTTTGGGCTCTTTGGCTCCTTATCTGACAAGTCCTTTGGTAATGAACTGAGTGACTGTGACCTTCGTTTACTTGGAGGTGAGCTGAGTGATTTGATTGGCGAGTTGTTTAATGAGCCACTTGCCTGGGTATCAGGACTGGCCACCTGCATCTCGCCTATTGGAGGAAATCAATGTTGCATAATTAAATGCCTGTCATGACAGGATGGTTTAGATTTTATTTCTAGATTGTTAACTAATATTTAAATTAAAAGCCTATTTACAAAGAATATGACAGCAGAACACAATTGCGACAGAAAATTAAAGTCCTGTCCAAACTAATAAATTTTATTTGATAAAAACATGACATGCCTAAACATGGTCATGAAGCTTTAAGGTGATCCACAAATAAAAGAATACACAAATCAGCTGTGATGTTGAAAGTCCATAAGTAAGATACTTACCTGGATAAATCGACTAATTGCCTATTCTCTGTATAAAAAAATAACACCACCTAAAAGAAAATAGTACAGTCAACCCCTGGTGCCAAGAAGATCCCACAACCGTGTGGTGTCCTCATTCCTCAGCTCTCCACTCCCCAAACCCTATAAAATGACTTTGTTGTATAGGGTTTTAAGGGATGCAAAGTACTATCTTCTTTAGATCTCCCATGGTAAATATGGTTTTTCACTGTGAACATCAAGCACTAATAAGGTTTTTTGTCAATGGACTTACCTGTGGATTGTATTAACTGCTGTTCCTCTACCTCCAAATTGTTGTTCTTCTCTACGCCATTCGAGGGGAAAATGGGGATTAAGGAATGCCAGTGGAATACTGGAACATGTCCAGGTGGTACGTTAAAACCATTCCAGCCTACAACAACAACAAAAATAAACAATAATTAAACACAAGAATCAACATCGTATGGTGGCAAAATGGTTAAGGTTTATAATAAATTTCGGGTTTAAATCCTATGTTAAACTTGAAAAACAATTTATAAATTAGTGATATTACTGATTGGGTAGCCTGTCAGAAATATTACCTGCAGCCTTTGGTCCATTTGAGTCCTTGTTTGAACCTGGAACACCAGGTGGCATGACTGGTAACAGAGAGGATGGTGTAGGGTGGGCTGGCACGACCGACTCTTGTTCGGATGTTGATGAAGTAATGGGAGCCTGGCTTTGGGTAGGAGCTGTTACGGAGCCTGCCACGGAAGAGATACTGGCTGTCTTTGCCATGTACTGATTCATTGTATTGCGTAGTACCTTATCCCGTGGTTTGCCGCCGCATGGGGTCTTCTCGTACTCTTTGCGCGTACTGGTCTGTACCTCCTGCATGCCAATCGGTTTCTCAGTTCTGGGAGCAAGGAGTGCTGCTCGAAGCTTATCATTCTGAGGTGATGGAAACTCAAATCGAATGGCTTTCTCGCTTGATATCGTAGAGGTCTGGGCTGGTGGGGATATGATCTGTGGAGGGGAGACGATGTGTGAGTGATGTGGAGATGACGTGCTTTGTTGATAAGAGGGGGATCGCAAATGTTCAGGTCCTGCCTCGTCGCTATTTCCACCCAATTGTTTTGTCATTGCTCTTGCCTGTTCCATACGTGATTTTAATTTATTCGGACTCACTGGAGTCGCAAAATTCAAACTGCTCTGGAACGTTGGTGTCTGTCCAGCACTCAATCGGTGACTGTTTCCGGGAGAGCTGTTGTCCACCGAAGACCTACCAGATATTGGCGCACTAGAGCTCCAGTACCGGTTATGATGAGACGTGTTAGAATGATGGTTGACCGGACTGAATGTCAACGGCCTGATTCTATATTGAGGTGATTGGGTTAATGACCTGGGTGAGGGCGGTATAGGTGTTTGGATTGGTTTGAAGCAGGGTGTTCCTGAACGAGAATTTCCAAGAGAAATAAGCATGGAAGCAGCTTCAGCGTCATCCATATCAAACTTGGACTGATCGATTTGTGGTCTTGAATCTTAAATAAAACAAAGGAAAAAATACAGTCAATTCCCATGGTAAATTTGACTTCAAAATAAAAAATTACATTAATTTCATTAAAAATTTTGCATTATAAAAATAATAATCATATACAGTAATACCAACAAGGTTGAATGACCAGCGGTAAAATGCGTGGTTAACATATTAAATGCACTTTTCTTCCAATATCATACAAGAATTCTGAGCTCCTCCTTGAAAAAAATATACATTCGCCAAAAAAAGCTCTGATCTAGATTTTAATAATATTTTAGGTGGGCCAGGCGTTTTTTTTATACCTTATTTCGCTAACTTATTTTTTTTAAGATTGTCAGAGGAGGGAAGAAAAAAAATTGTTTTCCTATTTAGCAAATGGAGAAGGAAATAGTAGGAAAAAGAGTAGGGGGTTATCCCAATGTACTGGTCTAATCAGTCCCCTGTTGTTTAATGGATATGCCACCTAGGATAGTGGTAAAGTTCGCTGATTGGCATATCCCTGGAGCTCATGCCTAAAGAAATGAAATGAAATAAAAAAAAAGAAATAAAAAAAGTCTTGTCTAATAAGGGTGAGTGTATATAGCACTGCTTCACAAGTTTACCGTGTGTCATAGCTTATTTTAAGCATACATTAATATTTCAATTCCTTTGAAAATATAATAATGCATAGCCCACACTTTATCTATTATTTATAATCAATAGTTCATATTTCAATAGTTTATTTTAATAGCAGAAATAAATGCATATTATCATAACAATTAATGCAAGTTCAGAAATCCCCGAACGCAAAGTTGAGTACCGTGGTAACCTCGTAATAACAAACTTAAATATAATTGTTAACTTATCTACACATAGCACTTATACCATCAATTCAATAAATGTCAGTTGTATTGTGATGCAAATTACGAACACATTTACAAGTATACGCCCTCGCTGGAAGTTTCAATACATGAAGGATAAGGCCCTTTATTTGTTTTTTTTTGTACAAAGATGGCCTGACCACAAACAGTATAGAATTTTGGCTAAATTTTTTAGGGTATTTTGGACTGGAGAAGTAAATTACAAAAAAAGAAGATTTATGGTAAGGTAGGGGACGTGAAACATTTTCTATCTGGCCCTTGTTGGTGGATGTAAAAACGACAAATGTTCTCGTGCACAATATGATTGGCAACCGAATAGAGCCCTACATGTACTCATGAACGTATCTACTGAATATCACCATGGTGTTGCAACTTGTGAATGGAACAGGTGACACCGGATTGATACACCAATTGATCAGCGTATTAATAGACACACCTAAAGACCATTCACCAAAGGTCATTTTGAGATTATAATACATTGTATTCTAATGCATTGTTCCTGAATGGAATATGTATAGTATGGGGATCTACTTAAAAGTTTATGTTTGTGTGAAAAATTGCAAATGAGTAAACAATATGCTTGCTTGCAATAATATGAGTTGGTGCTTTGAGAGAAAATCTAAATTAATCAGTGGTAGAGCTAATTATTAAACATTGTACTGCCTGTCTTAAAAAATCTTGAAAAGCCTGAAAAAATTTAAATGAAACAGAATTTTAAAGTAGGTTTAATCGATGAAACATCATGATTTAAACTTAGTCAGTTACTATGCTATTAAAGAAAATCCTTAACTTGATTACTATACTACTGTAGTACTAGCTAATGTAAATATCTATGAAAAGAATTAGGAATATTATTACCTGATAATTGGGAAGGATTTTAAAAATAACTATCAATAATTTAACTAAAAACTTACATAATAATATGCAAGCAATTTTAAACACCTTTTTTTTCCACGCTTTTTAGCAGAACACAGTATATATAGAAAATAAGATATTGATGTGATTATATAATGATAAAAATAATGATAATTACAGGGATAATGACAATGCTGATACCTCAGAAATACCAGGATGATATCTAGTGGGAAATAATTTTAATTTCAGTAAAGAAAGATCAGTAAACCTCCCTTAAAAGGGAATTAGAAAGAAGATTATTTTTAAAGAGGGGAGTTTTGATATGTCACTATTAACAGAATCAACTTTAAAATCGTTTTTTAGCAAATTTTATGAAGTTACAGGCCATTACGATTTTCCCCCTTTAGCAGCAAGACATCAGTGTAAGGTACAGTACTGTAACCAAAGATCGCATAGCGTGGCGCTATATGTTTTTTTGCACAAATTTCAATACTTGGGAGTATGTATTGTACTTTCTTATCTGAGATACGTTTTTTTGTTACAGTGCCTTACATTGATATCACACTGCTAAAGGTTTAAATCGTAATAACTAACAATTGTCAAAAAAAACGATTTTAAAGTTGATTCTATTACTAATGACATCCCCTCTATAAAAAAAAGTACTAGTTCCCTTTTAAGGAATTCTGCTAGTGGCCGACTCCCGAAGTCCCACAACATAGATGTGGGTTATAATGCTCTTTGTAATACTGTACATGGATTTTGTTCTGAAATAAATTTGATTGATTGATTGATTGACAGAAATGGCAGAGTATTCACGGTCATCTGCATCACCAGACACCTTCCATAAAAATTGTAGCGTTGCTAATTAATCTATTAACATATGAGGCCAAGAGAGGGTAGATATTTTGTTATAATGCAAAAGACATTATTACAAATGTATGCCACTTCACAACTGTTTTAAACACCAAGCTACAGGCTATACAGCCTTTAGCTCCTTATTGGTAATGCATAAATGGATTTAAGTTCAAGTTATGCTAATTATCTACTGTTCCCCTACACTTAGTGTTCACAAATTATTAGGTTATTTTATCACATATTATTTAAATGAGAATACATGTTTAAGATGAAATCCTGTATCCCCTGAAGAATGTTTAGGGGGGAGGGGGATTAAGTTAATTTCTTATAAGAGTGAACCATCCGTATTTCTATTATACTATTGATTCGCCTGAATTTATTGACAGTCTCTCTAACATGCTAATCATGTATAATGTACTCTTAATGTAAAAAAAAAACTTGAAAATTGAATTTAAATGTTAGAAAAACAAGATTTGGAATTTCTGTTCTGTTTGTCTGCAACTTAAATAAGAATGGGATATTTTATAATCACTTTGGATAAATAAATACTAGCTCAAATAATTATTATGCTTAAATATACATGTTGTTTGACAAACAAAAGGCTTTAGAAAATTTAAAGAGGAATGGAATTTATCCCTTTTTTCCAGTCAACTTTTAAATAAAAGTGGTGTTTCAGAATTTTAGGCCACATAAAAATAAATTATTAGGCCTTGTAGTTTATCACACTATTTAGGCAAGGCTGGAAATGTGATGAGGGAGAAAGGGTTTTTATTTAGTTGCGAAATCCAATTATCACCACCCTTGGGTTGTTTGCTGGTGCACTGATATCAAAGTAAAACACATGATTGAGATAATCCTAAACAATATCTACTAATTATTTCCAAAATAACTCTTATTGAAATAATTTTTAAGTTAAATATTTTTCCCCATAATTTTTTTTAATACCACAGAAGACATGCAGGTGACATTTTCTGTTGGGCCTTGTAAACTTATATCACTGATAAATATTGAATTATATTAAAACAAAGTGCAAGGATCTGTTCTTTGCACAATTTTGTTTAGATACATAGGATCTTTGCAAACTGAGTGGGCGACAATTAACAAACCCTGCACATTTAAAATATAATAATTAATACATACAATAAATTAGAGTAGTAGTGATCCCAACAAGGTCAGTTCTAAACATATCCAGGTCAGCCTTAAATATTTTTGCCTCATTAGTGGTCATCTCAACAATCTTATAAGAATATTATCATCATTAATGTTTATAAATACTATGGCTAGTTTCAAGGTAGACTTCCAAAAACCACAAATATATTTCAGGGATCATCTCAGTTTAGGTTGACAATTTTCAATACAGCTCAAACATAAAACAATCGTTTACATTATATTCTAGTGCTTAATTTTTAACAGTAATATAATCCATATTCGAAAATTTCATTTTTGGAAAAAGCCTAACATGTCAGTGAAATCTAGAGTTCAACTAATTGTATAACTACCTAGAATAGCACGCCCCCTCCATATGTGGGAGGCAATAATGTGTTTGTTTACTACAATTTAATCTTAAAATCACGTTTTCCAAATATAACATTGCAATGGTCTGCAGATTTAAACAATAAACAGTTGAAATCAAAGTACTGTACTGTTAACTGTTATAAACATCAGAATTTGTTTCACTGAATTAATAGGAAATAAGGTTAAGGGTCTTGATTAAAATGGATCTAGGATCGGTTTTGTGTGTTAATTCATCAATTTTTATTTTATGTGTATACCATCCTTGTAGCTTATGGACCTGAAGACATTTGCATTTGATTAAATTTGGCAAACGAAGAAGGGCAAGTTTACATTGGTCAAACGGCACCCACTGTTTTGGATTTACATACTCAGATAGTAGTAGGATTTTAGCACATGCATGGGTTATTCTTCCTGAGCAAAGTTCAGGAAGAATATTATATGAAACTGGCAGGTCACACCAATTTTTTTTTTTTTTGTCAAATTTACCAACAACATTCCTGTATGAACGGGGGCATTGTAAGGTGCATAATTTAGCATGCTTTTTGCTGGATTAGTGCCTAATACAGTCAAATAATTTGAAATAATTTCACTTTTTAGTATTTGGAAATTATATACTATTTACATTCCATCCATATGAAACATGCAGTCAGAAAAAAAATGTTTACTTCTATTTCTTTAAAAATTTTACTTAAGGTTAGTAAAAATCACTGACAGATGAAACTGTGAAATGAAAAGGTTGTGAAAGTGAATGCAAGTTGCAACCTGTTCAATTCACACCTTATAATATCAATGTTTATTGGTATTGCCCTAGCTTATTTCCCAGGTCTGTTTTAATCATCAATTCCCAGGTCCTTGATAAGCATACATCTTATTGATTGTACTAAGAGGTTGCATAGGCCAAAGTTCATATAAATATACAATTGAACTTTTCTACTGATTCCTAAATTAGAGCAGAATAAAACAATAGTAGGAGAATGGCTGCTATGCAGAAAAACACTCACAACTTGATTTCATGTTTAATCAAGTTTTCTAAAACTTTCAAAATAAAACAAAAATTCAAACAAAAGGACGCCAGAGGGAAAGATAACAGAATATTAAATTTCATGCAAATACAGCACAGTAGCACCTTCTCCTTTGGGACACTCCTATTAAGGAGCACTTTTTTAAGGCATGGAATGAGGAAAATTGTATCTTTTAACACTATGGCCAGCAACAATTCAGGGAACACCCCGATAAAGGAGACAGTTTTTCTGGTCCCAAAGTTGCCGCTATTCGTTCCCCAAGGTGCTAGAGCTTTTAACAAAACTTTTAAAAGATGAATTATGGTAATAATGATGGTGAAAATGAAAAATGATAGTAATAATAATAATAATAATAACAATAATAATAATAATAATAATAATAATAATAATATTAATAATATTGATAATAACAACAATATTGATAATAATAATAATGCTTTGGTGACTTATAATGTTTTAATGGTCGTTGTTTGATATCTCTTTTACATTGTAATTTTTATATTTTTTATATATTTGATCGTTCTTTTAATTGTTTTACTGTCAATTGTATTTTAATGCGAGAACTGAATTTCTGACTTAAAGCAATTAAGTGTGTATCTTATCTTATCTTGTCCCCTTAATAATTTTTGTTGTTAAGCTTGTTCTGTTTGTTAAGCTTGTTTTATGATAGAAAATAAATGAAATGAAATGAAATACCGGTAGTGGTTCTAATACTGTATGTCTGCAGATAAGAAAAGACAAACTTTTACTAACAGTAAATAGGGAAATTTTTTTTTTTTGTATTATATAAATAATAAACTTTCAAAATGGCAAGTGACAAAAATGATTTCTCGGCTATTCAGGCAGACAATGCTACACTTAACATCCTGTTTTCAGGTACCATGTCTGCATTCAGCATAAATGTTTTGGATACACTTGGTTCAAAGGTCATGTTAAAATTGCTAAGTCATCATAAAATGCTATCCAAGGCATTATTATGACAGTAATGCCTGTCAATTCTCCCATCTACTGTTAGGCTACAGAAATGTTTATAATTGAAAGACAGGGAAAATTATAGCCTGACAAAGAGAATGGTTTGAGTACATGAATGGTGTGAATAAACTACAACAAGAAATACTGTAATATCAATGAAGGACCATTTCAATGCAAAGACTTTTTTTTTGCAATAAGATCTTTGATAAATCATTATCAAATATCTAGAATTCATGCAAAATTATTTGATAATATTCATTTGTAGGAAAGCTGCCACTTGCCTTCCAATGCTAAGGTTCTGGGGTTAAAATCTTATAATATATACCAAGCTTGTCTAACCAAGATACTGTAAACTCAAGCCATAACTGTACATATAATTTTATGATCCTCAGTATTAATATGGAATTCAACAACTTTTTTTGCATGATCTAACATTCACTTGCAAGATTTTATTTGCAAGCATATGGTAACGTACTGAGCATTGCAAAACAGGTCAGGTGGGGCAACCATCGATTTGTATTATTTCTCCTGACACAAAAAAAAAAAAAATCTATAAAAATAGCATTGCAGTACCCACTATTACATAGGGATCGGATTCATCGCTATCCATCAAGCGCAAGCTCGGTGGTAATGTGGTTTAGACACAAGGCTAGTTTTCTGGAGGTCGTTGGTTCGATTGCCACCCAAAAGTTTTTTTCGTAAGCATTTGGACGTACTGAGCATTCAGTATTCTAACACGTAAGGTACAGTAGGGCAAACATCCATTTTGTATGATCTAATAATGGTCATAGAATCCCATGGACGGCCAGCTTACAATGCCGGAATCAAAAGACTCAGGTAGAGTAGGCATTTTTTTTATTGAAGCCAAATTCAGAGGAAATACATTACACAAAAAATATTCAATGTAAAGATCATAAAATTACTAAATGTTTAAATAACATTCTACAAAAATATAATTAAGAACTAATGGGCTTTGATTAAAAACTGTTTACATTTTTAGTTAAAATAATTGACTATAATAATAATAATAGTTGGATTTGTATAGGGCATCATGCGAAAAAGCCTCTATGCGCTTTGGTGATTGAGCTCTTGATTATGCGATTGAGACCATAAAGTGAACCTAAAAAAAGTGTGTGTTTTTTACTCGATAATGATAAAATGATAAATGAAGTTTATCAGGGATAAAATATTCTACATACATTAATTTCTATGTTCAAGATGATCATTTTCAAGTTATTTCATAATGAATACTGTATTTTACATCAAAATTGATTTTTATGAATATATTTCAGCGGACATACACTTTTCAGAGGTGTAAAATGTGAGTCACAAATAATTCCAATGAATTGATGCAATACAAAGCAAACACATTGTAACCTACTAATACATGTTTTTACTAAGTACAGTATTGGTTTGTTTTTCCTAATGCTACAAATTCCAGTGTCCCTGAACTGAACCTCAAATCAGGCGATCTAATGTCTATTTTTAGTATATTACTTCAACATTAAATTACACGCAGAAGTGTAATTTACTATCAGATGCACCCTTTAGAATTAATAATCCTCTGTTATTTTACCTAGTCTATGAATCCAGTTTTCCTACTGTAGGTATAGCAAAGCATGTTTGGATAAAAGAAAAGAAGGTTATATGGACATTGTGCAAACTTATATTAAAACTACTGTATGGTAGAATATTAACTTCACTATATTATTTTACATTATCACATACTTTATTTTTGTATTACTTATTCATTGTTGATTATATGCTGTTGTACAAAGCATTCACTCTATACTACTGTATTATTTTTATATTTATACTACTGTATTATTTTTATATTTATATTTCTATAATATATATATATATATATATATATATATATATGAGGGCCAGAATTTCTAAAAAATATAGTTAAAAATATTTTCTATAATTTTTATATCAAATTAATAAAAATAATAATAGTATATATACACTATTTTTATTATTTTTATTAATTTGATATAAAAATTTTAGAAAATATTTTTAACTATATTTTTTAGAAATTCTGGCCCTCAAAATGAAATTGAATGTATTTGTACAATTGCAGAAAATACCGTAGGTGGATTCGTAATTCCTGTCTGCTGCAGACGCTCAGTGATGGTCTGAGCGTCTGAGCTGATATTGCTCAGTCAGCTATTAATTGCATTCAAGACTCACGCAGCATAAATCGTGTCTGCTATGCTGTCTAGCTCTAGCTAGCTTTCACAAGTTGTCTCACAAACCTCAGGATATCAGGCATGAAGGCTTTATAATGTCTGTACATATCTTGGTTGCATGTGATCTGCTTTTCGTCTGTTCATTTTTCTAAATGAACCATCATACCAAAAAACAACATTTTTTTGAGACACTATACGTTAAAAAAATTTAAAAATACCATCACTACTGTATTTATTTACCATACTCTCTTGTCATGCAGATCAAAGAATATAATAAGTTTGTCTATAAATTTGGAAACTCAAGCTGTAATTTTAAAAACTTTTTAAAAACAAATTTCATAGATGGTTTGTAATACCATAGGCATCTATTAAAATAAATAGCTTACCTGTTCTTGCTACGCTGGAGCTGCGAGAGCCACTGCCATGCGACATGTTTTCCCAATCGGCATCACAGTCACCGGAAAGTTCTCCACGAAGAGTTTTTCCATGCATTGATAGATGACGAGAACAATATCCTCGACGCTGCGATTCCTTGCTGCAGCCCTCTCTCGAACACAAGCGCCGCCACTGTTTACCATTGTATTTTTTGCGGACACCATTCGGTGTGGTCACAACGTCCCCCTTCTTGTATTTGGCGGGTGGAGATATTGGAGAGATAGAGTGTGAGGATGAGGCTGTGCTAAGGTTGCTTGCATGCCGCCGCCGACTGAAAGCGTGATGTGGCCGTCCCATTACTGATGGAGAGGAAGTAGCCATTGCAACTTCTGGTGTTATTGAAGGAGATTTGCCAATTAAGTGAGGCTCCTTATCAAAACGAATGTCCTCTTTTTGTAGCTCGCAATCGGAACCTTCAGAAGCACTATCAGTTTCCTCATCCTTCTCTTCTGTGCGCGTTGACAGTTGTGGGCTGTAAACAAGTTGTCGAACAGTTCCAGTCATCGCTGGACTTCCTAACTGCCATGGAGTTTTGAGAAGACGAATTTTGGATAAGGGCACTAACAGTTCCGTTATTTGAAAACAATTACTTACTTCTCCCGTAAAGCTAATGCGTGCAAACCACGGATTTGCATTTTTAACTTCTTCTACAACACCTTCACAAAACATGTGTTGGTCTTTGCTGACCTGGGCGATTACACGTAAACCGATCGTGATTTCATTTTTATCGGGATCACTATCACGAACAATTCCAACATTTGCACTAGAAAAAACATCTTCAAAATCAATCAACTGTTTGTCCTTTTCAAACTGGACACTTATGTCTCTGTTCTGCCTGCAATTTTTAATAACGGCTGATGTGTATGTGATGCCGCGTTTTGCAAGTACCCGTTGGTTCCGAAATTCTTTCAGATCAAGTGCGATCTTTTTGTATGGAGGAGTCATTTCTGGAGTTTGTGTTGGTCGCTTTGTTATTGGTATATCTTTGGTATGTACGACAGCTTTGTCTTCTTTATCTCTCAAATCAGTCACGGAGTAATCGTGCGATGTGGTTGTGACTGGTACTGCAACAGCATCAATTTGTTCTCTTGTTTTAGGGCATGACGTTTTGGCAGTTAGCTTTCCATTGGATACTTTGGATTGCAGATCGAATGTATGAGTTTGTTCTGTTGTAAGCGATGTGGGTGAACGACTGTTTTCCACTCCAGTTTTTGTTCGCTTTTGTCTTTCACTTTTTCTAGTAACCAAGGGCATGATTTGAAGTCTAAACCGCTGACATCAAAACTGCTAACATGAATCATTTAAAAGTTCCTGGAAAAGTAGAATAAATAGATATTAAAACGACATCCTGTGAAACACTCAGGATAAAAAAACTATTGTATCAAAATAATTTCATTTCTGAATGACAATGTAAAAGTGTAAAGTACAGTAATTGTTTTATTTATCGGCTTGTAAAATCAGAGAGCATTTCAAGGGACATTAGTTAATACAGTACCAACAAATATTAATCAAGCTAAAACAAATAAAACATGTTTCTTAGGCAACACTCAATATTCCCAAGTAATTGGCCAATGAAAAAGATGAAAATGTGATACAGAACTGTGTTTGCTGCTAGGAATCGTAAACAGAGATCAACAGCATCGTCAAGATGTAGGCAAGGCTGACACCTTATTAAGTTTTCAAACGAGCACTCAAACATCATTGTGATAAAGATAAGTTGTCGAAAAACAGATTTGTATGCGTAACTTCATTAAGTATACAGTAATTAACAATAATGATACAGTATGTTAAATAATATATTTGTACACTTAGAGAGCGGAATAAAAAGAAAAAAAAAATGTGAATAACTGACTGCACCATAGTCTATCCACCCATACAGTACCAGGCATGTGATGTTAATTACAATATTTTGACCAGTATTTAATTTGTTAGAAGGTTACGTGTCTTTAGAACGCCCACGGTTTTTTAAAAACTAGAGGAAACTGCTTCTCCACTAGACTTGGAAACATGGCCTAGATAAATACTACAAGGCAAGAAAAAAGGGGAGAGTACCAAGTACCATATAAGATTAACATATTAAATTATAGGACGATCAACAACAAACTTTATTCAACCAATATTATTGTTCTGATTGAATACGTAAACTTCAATACTCGCATCATTGTCGAGAATATACTTTTAAGAATAAGGCAAACTTTTTTTTATAAATTTATTTAGCAAAATTCTTTTTTTAATTCATAGGAGGGCGGGAAAAAACTTCTTAATTCTAATTTAGCAAAATAGTTCAACCAAAAGCATCTACTCAAAAAAAAATAAAAATAAAATTTTGAAAAAAAAAAAAATGTTAAAACGTGAGTTAAAAAGTAATATTGCACGATTATCTGGAGTTTATGTTAACGCATTCAAGCAACAACTTTCAAAACCTCAACGAAGCGGAATATTTTCAAAAGGGTGGCAAAGAATAAAAAAAGCAGGAGCATAATATAATACGTGCATACTATGCGTTCTTACAGGATACACATCCTCCGCATGAATCATATCATGTGATCACATTACATTTAAAAAGTAAATTGATAATTGATTGATAACTACATTTCCTCTCATAATTTACTTGGAATCAAATAATGTTCACTAAGTAAGTGCCAATGTTCAATACACTGTAGCAAATTTAGAACTTCAAATATGTATAGTAGTGAGTGTACATTTTGCTAAATAGTTGGGGCAGGTATGTTGAATGTAACACACAGGGTATCCATCCTCCACCCACCTTCTGTACAATGGCGGAGCCAAATGGGGGGAGGGGGTGGGGTAGCACTTATGCCACGTCATACATGCAAAGCTCTTCGTTGGCCACAACTCAGACCAACAAAAAAAGCGATTTTTATTTTTTATTTATTTTTTTTTCTATTTTGCGTAATGCACACTAAATATGTTTTCATCTCAATACACCTTAACATGGCCTGAAATTGCCCAGTTTTTTTCATGCACCAGTCCAGGGGTGTGTGCATTTTCAAACACTGTCCATGTATTTCAAGCTGCTCCATGAAAAAAAAAAAAAAAACATTTTTTTTTTTTTTTTTTTTTCCAAGGTTCTCTATATTTTCATTACAGGGTACTGTAGGTCTGACTTGGAAAACACAAAAATATCTTTTTTTTTGCTTAACACTAACCAGAATACAAATGAGAAAAATCAAATACATCAGTATTAGCTAATTATAGATTGACCAGTTCACCTCAAACTGAAGTAGGCAGAATACCTTGTACTGAGGTGTACTCATTAGCATATTGGACCCCATGATATGCACTAACTACTTAAGCCGCCAAACATGCACCACTTAAGCCCAGAGCATGAAGGGATCAATTATCATTGTTCTGACATGTAAAGTTGTACTTGCAGTTATCTCCAAATCAATACTCAGATAAGACTCTGGATGTTGCAATGAAAGATGAGGCAACTTTGGTTTTAGAAAACAAAATCTAAACTCTCCAATACAAATGAGCAAATTGGCAAACTTAAATTCTGTCTTGTTTGCATCCTTAATTGTTCAGTACAGTAGTTTCCAGTTAGTAAAATGAAATTTTGAAATAAGTTTTTTAATAGTATTCAAAACTTAAATACAGTATTGGATTCACCTTAAACCATGACAGTTTCATATTAAATTAGACTTAAAATATGCAAATCCATCCAAATATTGTATACAGTAAGTGTTGGTAACATTTGAATAGCAACAAATGTTGAAAGAAAACTTTATTATTAAATTACATGTTGGGACTGACTTGGGGAGGGGGAATATGGCTGGAGCTGGGGTTTTGAATTCCATGGGTAGCTCTGGCCACATTGATAATTACTGTTATATTATATGTTACAATGAAGACGTTAGTTTAAAAATAAGTTTGATATGGGGTGGAGGAAGCTGACAGGGTGGGGGAAGCTGACAGGGGGATTAGGCCACATGTTCAGACAGTCCAAGACTTGTCAGACTAAAGGTGCTGAAACTTTTTTCATTTTTTTAAATTCTTTGCACAGGTACAAGCATTCTTAAATTAGTTTTTTTTTTAACAGCCAACAAGCTACGCCTTGACAGCCCGCCAAGGCTTCGCCCATAGAGCCTTGCTGACTTCTGTCAAAAATGGTCATACCCCCTGTTAAATAATTTAGCCACTGAATCATCACTAGAACGATGGAATGTGAATGTGATGTTCTACTATCTATCCTCAATGGGAACTTGGAAGTCAAGATGTTGGAGAAAAACTTTATTTATGCGAGTTCAACCCAGCACTTTGAAAGCAATCCGCTTAACGACAATTCTTATTGGTTCAATTATTGATTACAACAGGCTAGAGCCCTAAACCTTGTTTGCTGGAATTTAAATAGGAATTACACTTGGCCTCCGTTGGCCTGACAAACACGGAAAGGTACACTTATAGTACTGCTAAATATCTGTCTATATAAACAAAATTATAAAAGGCATTTGATACAATTTTGTACACAAATAATAAGTAGGCAGTGACATAACACCTTAGACTCTTACTGGCTAAAGACTTGGGCCCTGTGAGATATTTATCTCCATTTTTGTTTGCCAGGACCATGGGCCCAAATTGGCCAAGCAGGGCTTTTAAAAATGCCCTTAAAATGTCAATAGTACATATTTGTGTCTTTTATTTATTTTTTTACAACTTAAAAATAACTCTACTGTAGTACTCGTTAAGTCATAGTCTATAAGACAGTCCTTGTTCCATTCTATAATTGGCAAGTGCAGGGCTACTTACATAGATGTGAATGATATCATGCAACAGAAATTATTGATTGGGTACTTAAATCACTACATTTACTAAATAAGCCTATGGTGGCTGTGCTTAGCAGTTATGCTTGCTAATGTACAGTAAGCACAATGTCTGCTTAAAAGCATACAGGAGTTTTTAATCATGTGTGTGCCAATTTATGAAAAAATTGTGCAGATTTAATAATACAGTTTAGCAATACAAAAAGTGATGACCTTAACATAACAAAGGACCATGCAAGTCTGGGCATGTCATATACTATCTAACACCACAAATTATGAAGACTACGAAAACAATGCAAATAAGTATTGATGGTTCTTCTTTTGCAAATAAATTTTGGAAATTATATTAATACATAGGTAAAGTGAAACCTTAAAAATACATTAGGCCTACTGCTACTGTACATCTCAGCATGATCTCAGACTTCTCAAGAAGATGCATTTCTGTAACTATGTCTTCAGATTTTCATAGTAAATGAAAAATTTCTGTAGCACCACCCAATAATTTGCCTTGAGTGCAAGATATAAGAATGGAGTTAAAATTATTTTGAAAATGGACCCGATCGTCCCGGGCCCCGACCGTTTTTTGGGCCCGATTGTCTGTAATTCCATGTGGAACTTTAAACAAACAGGACAGGGTGAAGCTTTTCGGCCACTTTTTCTTAGTTTTCACCACAATTTATCAGTAATCCGACAAGTATGAGTTGTCTAGGGACAATGTAACCAAAGATTCTGATGGAAAATTCATTTGTTCTGAACTGTAGACCTATTTACTTATGGGTCTAGGGCTACGATAAATTTTTTGTCAATTTCTGTATGTCCGTAATTAGGCAAAATTTCCGTAGAAAATAGGCCTAACTACGGAAGTTCGTGGTACTTGAGAAGTCTGACATCTACGGCCTACTGTAAAGTATTCTTGGCAGTCAATAAAAAATGATGAAGATACAGTTCTGATACTAAGCTCCACTGCTGGGATTACTGTAGGCCTAGGCCTGCCTGCTTGAAACCTGAATTTAGTTAAATAAAACAGTTAATGTCTTGCATGCACTTAGGAGGAGTCCAGGGTAGGCTCTAACTAGTTTAATATGTCATTAGCATAGGCACCTTACTGTAAAGTTTTTTAATTGCACAGAGGATACCCAAAAAATCAGCTCAGATTTGCGCGGAAAACCACAAGGAAAATAGGTGTGCGGAATCCTAATTGCAGCATAATTGAATTGCTTATATTAAGGCTTGGTCAAAGTCAAATTTTCGGCAAAATCTCTGTGAAAATCAGCCCTTATTTTCTGCAATGCACCAACGGATTTCTAGGCCAAATTTTTCAGGAGGAGGATATATTCCCCGCGCAGGCCTTACTATACAGTTTGGCATAGGCCTAGGATAGGCCTATTAAAATAATTAATATTAATAATATTAAATATCATTATATATATAGGCCTGGCTTACAGTAGATTAGATAAGCTGGCCCCTGACTTTTATCAATTTCAGACAGAATAATATGACTTAATACACGTCTTGGCAGATTGGATTTTTTGTAGCAAAACAAAATCGGCCTAATCATACTATTACTACCTAGCCTAGCCCTAGCTTTTTAACAATGTCCAGTTGGTTGCCTGCACATTTTGTTGACAGGGTGCTGTGCTACAAAATCGGAGGCCACAGTTTTATAAATTAGAGGGTGGGCTGCCTTGCTTGGAAGTGCCTTGCTTACTTTGGTTGGGGCTGCCTTTTGACCGATATTTTTTATTTAGGCTAGTAGAAATGTATTTACCACTTGGAAATTTAATAAACTGGGCCTAATAATTTCATCCAAAAACAAAATAATCTAGTGACAATCAAAGCTAAGCTTCATGATGCAATTATGATGAATTCGATATGATGACAAAGCATTGCGAAATAACTATGTGTAGCACAACAGACAGAAAGGAAGCGGTAATTCCCTTTAAAAAATAGATCGCCTACACGGCACACAATAGTGTGTGGTAGTGTGTTGTGACGATGAACGAAAAGGACCCCTGACGCATGGAGCAGGGGGTTGAAAAAACACCACAAACTATGTGCATATACTAAGAAACTTAATTAAAAATACAAAAAGTTTATTCTTATGGCCAAATAATCAGCTTAAGCATTGGATATTAGTTGAACTTACCTTTATAAAACAGAACTGAAGTAAAACAAACTGAAAGATGCCGTCATTTTCACTACACGTCGCGCTGTTCAATCCCTAAAAAAGGTGAATGAGCATAAGCGAATGCGATTTCTGAATGCTGATTGGTCAAACAGAAAGCACGAGATCTAATTTATTCAAGAGACTACGTTCTAATTGGTCTAAAGATATTGATTTAATCTGACGAGCTGTTTATTGCTCAGGCAAGGTTTGACATGACCCTGTGCTTTTCCATTGTATGCTTATTAGGAAGTCGCGTCTTAATATTACAGGATTGCTTGTCAAAAAATGGCGTCTGAAAATAAAACGTATGCTTTAGAATACAAATATGTAGATGATGTGTGTTTTTCGATTAATTTTAATGGCTATTAGACAGAAAAATAGTGGCACTTCCGGCGTAGTTCGAAGTATGAACGTCATGAGTGCCTTGTCAATGACATGAAATAAACACGATTAGTATGCCAGCCAATCAGCGACCGATTTCAAAATAGTTCTTGTTGCTTAGTACGCTACAAATGGCTTACTACTACTACGCTAAGCGTGGGTCAACCATTGACAGATGGAGTAGCGAATCAGCTGATAGCGACGGCGGCTCATTCAATGAAGATGAGTTTTTACTACCCTGGGCATGCAGAATCAATTTGCTTTCGTAAGTTATTCGAAAACGAAGAGTCGCGTCGACGGAATAAAAATGAGGAGGATCGGAACACATCATCGGTTTGGGGTTTTGCGCACACCGCCGCCCGGGAATATATCTATTCGCGGCCTTGGCTGTATCAAATTAAAGGCCCTACAGTTTGGATTTTTATTTTTGTAATGATTTGTCTCTAAACTGAATCGATAAGTGTTGGTAGTTAGCATGAGAACTCAATGCATGATCATAAGCTTCAATAAGACAGTCACCAGCAAAAGACTAAAACGACTGAATTTATAAAATGAACACTAAATAAAAACAAATTGACACACATAAATCAAAATGTATTTTCACCAGAGAACTAAATCCAAATATTATCTAATAAAGCTACACTTACATCAAAATATCAAACAATTAATTTAAAAATAATTAAAGGGAATTTTGTATTATTGATTATTATACATTGAATTAGATAGAAAATATAAGTTCTCCGTGGGTGTAGGGCGCATTAGGTTTCTTCGCAGAGTGGATTCAGGGGCTAGAGGAAAATATTAGGTTAATAAAGATGGTAAGAAAAGAATGACATCAAGATAAAATACTTTCTCTTCCATATTTTTACCTACCGAAGTTCTGACCAAAACTTCAAGCAACGCACACAGAACTTTATTGAAAGGTACTGTTAGTATGTCGCATATCGTTTTGTTTTTGCAAATCATTTGATAAAACATACGTAAACTAAACATGCTCCCAATATCCGTGCTAACGACCGGATAAGCAACAATGCCAGCCTACATACAATATAAAAGGTAAATCTTGAAATTAGTAATAGCGCACATCAAATCGCGCCGATAGAGGACTCACTTTGGCTTATTGCCGCGTCAGAATTTGGGCTGCATTTTGGTTTTTCATTAATTTTTTATATTAAATAATACCGTAAGATGGGATTTCTTATTTCTTATCTTTCTTTTTGTGGTTATGAATTATAATTTTACTTACGATAATTTTCAACGAAAATTTTTAAAGATATGTTCCCCTATTCCTTGAGTCGGCCTGGGTTGGTCCTATTAGGTATTAAATCATTAGGCCTATATTTAGTGTGAGACAGGCTTCCAATGGTGTCCGTATTGTGCAAGACATTTTTATTCAATATCGGTACCATCATGTCGAAATATTATTTACGCACTTGATACTATCAACGCTTTATACAATAATTAGTATATTAGTATGAATAAATTTATTAACAAATCGAAGTAAAAATTAATTACAAATACGTACGTGACAGAAACAGAGTGGACAAACTTCAACGTGTGTATAGCAGATGTGGATTCAAGGTAGGTGGGTGTTGGTCAGGGGCGGATCCAGTAGAGGCACTTGGTGTCCCCCGCCTCCACGTTTGCCACTTGAAAATTTAAAATTTTAAGGCATATATTGAAATTAGCGCTCTCACTTATTTATTATGAATAGGCCTATGTTGTGCCCTCCCCCTCCCCCCGTTTGAAAAATTCTGGATCCGCCCCTGGGTGTGGTCCAATTGAAAATTTGAAAAGTTGGAAAAATAAGAACAAAGTGAGGCCTACACAAGTCTGAAAGTGAGTACTGGGACTTATCTGCAAAACGTAAGTTTCCTCCTGGGCCCTTTCTATTTTCGTATTCCTGGATCCGCTATTGTATAGGGGAGAAGTACATTCAATCTTTGGATCATCTGAGACAGTTGAGTTTCCATATGATGAGTATTTCGTAACGTTTGTATTTTTTATGTTTTATTTATCCCAGAGCCTGGGTACTGCTGTTCAATGTTCAACACCTCTATGAGGGCGTAGTTGTCGTGCTGTCTCATATTGTTACAGTATTATTATCTTTTGTGACAGATCTAACTAAAATCTTAACAGAGAGAGGTTATTCTTTAAAACGAAATACAATACTTCCCTCCCCTGTTCCAACTCCCATTTACTAGTGATTGACCTGTCCTACGAATAATAATGTTTATAGCAAGGTAATAACCTACAAATAATAATATTTATGATAACAGTGATAGGCCTAGTCCTATACGTGTGATGGTGTGTTCATAAAGATGATGATGATGATAATGATGAATATGGTGATGCCAAACAGATAATGTTGATGAAGATGAATATGATAATGATGATTTATATTCAAATATAATGCAAACATAGGCAAATATGTCAGAAAAACAACTATAATATATAAAATCATTTTGCTGTATTTTTGTTTTATTTTTCTTAAGTTTGATCATTATTTTGGTACAACATATAATGCAAGTTATGAAAAAGAACACAAGCCTGTTCCTAAGGAACTACTACACCTTGCAAGTAAGTTTTAAAAAAATCAAAATGTTGAATTCATTGTAAACATCTTCACTTTGAACAAATTAATGTGATATAAATATAAATATATTAAAGTATAATATACAGTAGGCCAATACTGCGCAGAACTTATAAAACTTGGTACCTTTTTCTCCTCAGGTCGCGCACCCCGTGCGTACAACACAGCTCAACCTGAGCTTGATCCTCCTAGTCTGAGAGAGGAATACCAGTCTTTCCAAACGACATCCAGGGCCGCCTATGTAAATCCTAAGCTTCGCCAGCAAGTACTTACTCCCGAAAAGTTTGCTGGAAAGCCGAGTATGTAGTGGATGAAACTCTCCCGATTGTCTATTTTTTTAAATAAAATATATACCAAAAGACAATGCAAACAATATTTTCGATAAATATTGTTAGAAGTAACGATAGTTGATAATGTATTGTAGGCCTAAATGTTTTAAAGTAACGAGAGTAACTAATTTCACTAAATATTTATTACGAAAGTGGGCGAAAATAGAAGAAAAGAATTTTATTGTGAGAACACGTCATGTACATACAGTTGTTTTAATGCCTCGTGCTTTCTGGTTTAACATTTCTACGTAAAATATCGCAATAATAATAACGCAAAAGAAAAAAGTAATTGTTTGTTTAGTCTTGTTTTTGTTTTTAATTCAACACTGTCTGTGCGATTTTAAAAGGGTGTTTTTGAAGGAAATCAATTTGATCGGGATAATCATAAATGTAAGGAACCGTTACGTCGGCCGTTGGTGTGAAAAACCTTTGGATGTTTTGATTTGCTTCAATATTTGGTCAGCCGTGTAGAAATTGAATACCGTGTAACCACCCGCTTATAAGTACCTTTGTACATTTTACAAGCCAGCGTCTGACCAGAGGTATACAGTGTTGTATAGGCACATCATTTGAACACTGGGGCGGATCCAGGCGGACATTAACGTCCTAATAATAATTAATTATTAAACGCCAATCCGTCGACAAAGAACGCAGGTAAGCATATCCTGGCATACTACAGTTATGTAGTTTCGTTGATTTAGAATACAACATTTATTAAAGTTTTGTTGTTTCCCTTAAAGTTACAAGTTTTTTCTCATTGAGATACAGTTTTATTTTATTTCACCGATTGAGCAGTGCGTGAGTTCACGCTTTCTTAAAACACGATGTTAAAACCTGTATATTTATCAATCTTAACCAAAATTTGGACAATTATCGCTATACTTACAGTGTATAAAGGTCAGTATATATAGGCCTTATTAAACAAATCTCTCATGATGTATATTTTAAATATTTTTGTATGCGGTTCCATGTGGTCGTCGTGTTTTAGAGAGTTTAAAATCCATCAGACTGGGTCCGCAATAACATAAGCAAGTAAAACGAATAATATACAGTAGCCAGGGGCGGATCCAGAGATTTTCTGACGGGGAGGGGAGACAATATGAAGTTCACGCCGCCACGATCACCTTAGCCCCCACCAATAATTGGTAAAAAATCGAGCTCTCCTTTCGCCCATTGCTGTATCGCCAATGAACTCATGGGTGCACTCCCTTTTTAGCTCTTCCTCTCCTTAACTCAAATTTTGTCACCCTCTATTTTATATTTCGGCTTGACTGACGTGGGCACGGGCCCACATGCCCCCCCCCCCACCGCTGGATCCGCGCCTGAGTAGCTCATTATTAACAGCATGTATAATCTAAATCATAACGAATACTCAAACAAAATTGTAGCATATCTCATGACTCAATCTAGTCTATTGAAAAAGGTTAGGCCTATATTCGACCTTTTCATAAAGTAAACAAATTTAATATTGAAACCTCGTTAAATCCAACACGTACGCTTTGATCAATCGTGTCGTGTTTGTGTGATTTAGGAGGCATTTGTCTACAAGCTATTAAACTACTGTAATGAGACCGGGTCCAAACTCTATCTAAAAATCAATTAATTATAGGGTCATGGACTTCAACCTTTACGATGACTCCGACTTCACAAGTAAAACTACCGGTCGTTATTCAAAATGAAAACCGGTCGCTTGAGAAATAGACTGCCATGCCTACTTGTTTTAGTGTTGGTTCCATTTGGCTTACTCTCAATTTTCTATACTTATAACTCGAAGTTACGAGCGATTAAGAAACCCAGCTTGCAATATGCAGAAGTCGTTACGATGTAAGTACCATTAATTGTAATACAGAACTAACAGAGCCCGGTAGGCCCATCATATATAGTCAAGTTTAAAAGTGCTCACACACGTAACATGCACACATTGATATTTGGTAAGTCTTTGATTTCATCTATTTGATATTGCTAATATAAATGACTTAATCGGTGTAAAAATAGGATAACCTACGAAAGTCTGAAGAAGACTTATTTCCAAAGGGTACTTTGGTGGTGAATGGGCAGTGACATTGCCGGAGACAATCCCCTACTCTTTTCCCGAAGAGTGTACCGTAATGTTCGAATAAGCGCCGCGGCGCTTATATTATTTGGAAGCTTCAGTGCGGCGCTTATTTGTTAAAAACAAATTGGCGAGGCGCTTTCCATACCCGTTCCCATGTTAGGCCTGTACCTATTTCACATATTCCTGTAGTCTATCATAGGTCTTATTATCATAAATAAACGTTTATAAAGAAATGCTTGTCTTTATTTTATTATTTGTTCACTTTAACACTGTGTCATTGTATTTAAAACCCTGTTTCTCAAAGTGTTTCTACACACAGCGTAATACAGTATAATTATATTCTCGATTAAGCGCCGCAGCGCTTATTCGAGAGCGGCGTTTATTCGAGAGCAGCGATTATTCGAGAATTTACGGTAGGCCCTACTGCGTTTTTTAACGTGCACATGGGCCCAATTGCACACGGAACCAAACGTTTAAACGCCTCATCCGAAAAGACGGTGCGCTATCGTAACTTGCATTTCAGCCCTCCAGCTGAAAAAGAGCATGCAGCGATGGGAATTGAACCGGGGACCTAGATATCTCCACGGTTCAGCGCGCACACAGTGGCACCACCAGTTTAGTCGACTAAGCTAAAAATAATCTTATAATAAATAGGCCCTTTTTTTTCAAAAATAGGCCTATTTTCATCTCAGCATGAACGATGAGTTTCCGCTAGAATAACTTGTAAAACAATTTCACGAAGATGTACCTGAATCGCAGCAGTAACTTATGTACAGTGCTACCTTGCTGATATTGTTAATACTGCATATTATTTGATATCCCTATCTCATGCTTTGTTCCCTAGCATTAAAAAGTCAGGCCTACAAGTAAACCAGCCACAGGAAAATCAACCAGAGCCACAAAAGTAAGACACTTTCATTCTTTAACAACATTTGATGCCATGGACACAGCGAGTATACCTTAGAGTTTGCAGGAAATCCAAGCGTATGAGACTGAGGTGTCTCCCCCCACGACTTTTATAAATACCTAAAAGGCATTGCAAACAGTAAATTTGTTAAATATTGTTAGAAATAATGAGTTAATAATTGCAGGGGGAAGATTTACGGGGTGGCGACGGGCAATGACGGCGCAAAGATCTGCCCGACAGGAGGGGCTACTGTCTCTTATACACATCTAGATGTGTATAAGAGACAGGCATATCTCATGACTCAATCTGGCCAAAAGTAAGACACTTTCATTCTTTAACAACATTTGATGCCATGGACACAGCGAGTATACCTTAGAGTTTGCAGGAAATCCAAGCGTATGAGACTGAGGTGTCTCCCCCCACGACTTTTATAAATACCTAAAAGGCATTGCAAACAGTAAATTTGTTAAATATTGTTAGAAATAATGAGTTAATAATTGCAGGGGGAAGATTTACGGGGTGGCGACGGGCAATGACGGCGCAAAGATCTGCCCGACAGGAGGGGCTAAAACCCCCAAGGGGGGGGGGGGGCAAGCGACCGAAGCGAGCCTCGCTTTGCCTGGGGGCCAGGGGCCGCCTAGGAGCCACTGGTGGGGGCCCAGTCTCCTAAAAACTACGGATATTTGACGAATTTTGGTGATTTTTTTATTAGCTATTTGATAGGCATCAAGCTACCATATGACTTCATGTAGGATGTTTTTTTAATTAGGAAAACACAAACACAGAGGAAGATATTCCTTGACTGTGGAGCAAACGTGGCATCCTCAGTACAGTTCTTTCGCGAAACGTATCCTGATGGGAAGAATTTTATTATTCACTCATTTGAAATCGATGAGAGATTGGCGCCATATTTCAAGCCATACTCCAACCACGTGCTTCACTGCCCTGTCGGTGTGACGTCACAGAATGGTAAGCAGTGTACAAAATATTTTGAATCCTATTGGAGGCAACTGATTTCACCCTCTTTGTATATGCGTTGAACAACACTGATACAGACTACCAACTTAATTACCGCTAATTTATTACCAGTAATGAAATGAATAATAAACCATGTGAGAATAGAAAACTGTATTTTTTCTTTGAAAATAGGCAGTATGACGGCATACACGGAATCTGCTTGGTCGCCAAATAAGGGAAAAAATAATGGAATAGATATGCAGTGGGGAGGTGGGACACTTTATGTTGATAGATTTGAAAAAGCTGACATTACAACCGGTGGCAAACGAAAGCTGAGTCATCGTCGACGCATTCCCACCATCGACCTCTCTATGTGGATTCAAACGAATACAAGAATTGAGGATTATGTTATCCTAAAATTGGACGTAGAGGGTGCTGAATTTGAGATTTTCAAGAAAATGTTGAAGGACGGAACTTTTAAATGGATCGATAAGTAAGATCTATCATCATCATCATCCTAACCAGCCGTCATACTCATCATCATCCATAAATTAATTAGCAATATATATTATTATTAGAGAAGTACTATTTTCAACATATCATTATTATAATCATTGAGATTATCAATATCGTATCATATAACTATATATTTTTTTAAACTACGCACGTAAGCCTTACCTTAAGTAAGTAATACTTTTATGGGTGTCCTTTTAGTATCGAAGCGGTCATGCTTTTGTTAAAATTATACTGGATTAACTTTTAAATTTGTAGGCTGTATGGCGAGTATCATTTTCATCAACCAATCGAAATGGCCGCCAGTACGAAACGTTCCATTATGTATGAAGTTGAAAAAAGGGCAATGAAATTGAAACAATGGGGTGCAGAATATCGAACGTATTCCGACTTCGGGGAACTCCACCCAATAAAGGTAGGCGGCGTTTTAAAGTCTACAACGTTCCTTCAAAAGATGAACATAGCACAGTTGTTTGCAATATTTAAGTGTAATTTAGTTTGTTGCCTAAAATTCCAATTCGCCTAAACACTGTACGTCATAAGGCCTAATTATTATAATGGCAGGTGAAGATAACGATAAAAATATATAATGATAATGATTATATGAATTGAAAACAATAACAAAAGCATTAACATACAATAGCTTTATCAATAAATTAAATTAATAATATAGTAATAATAATAATACTTATTATTATTAAAATTATAATTATTATTATTACAATGATGATGATGATAACTAATGTGTGCTCTCTCAAAAGGTACCGCCGGGCACATCTGGTAAGCCTGGTGTTGTCTATAGCATATGTACCGCTGGTGATAAAAGACAAAAAGTAGCTATTGCCATTGAAGTAGGCATGAACAGAAAATTAGCAGAGAAAGTGATTGCCACAGTGATGGCATATAAACCCGAAATTCCGGTCACTCTCTTCGTGTACGGCGACTTTGTGGAGGAGTACCCGTCCCTTGTAGAGTCTTGGGCCAGCCGATTTGAGATAGGCATACGGGGTAACCATCCATATCCCCATGGTCATGCAGAAATGATTATGGGTAACTGGATTAAAGAGGCAGGAATTAGTGCCGAGTTACGATTGGAGGAGATTGGTGTGGTTACCAGGTTCTATATGCCACCCTGTGACGTAACAGATATTATACGAGGGCAAGGAAGACATCGAGAGTGGCGCATAATTAAACCAAGTTCAAGTTTTCCACCAACTTACGGTAAAAATTATTCTTGTAAAGAAACTACTTTTTACATAATATGTACTCAATGCCGTAGCCAGGATTTTCAAACTGCGGGACAGTAACGGGGTGGACCCACTTATGTGTAAATTCGAATAATGTGGACCCATTTTCTTAAAAGTTGACCTATTTTACGCAAAAAGTGTGAAAAATATGGACCCATTGTCTTAAAGGTTTACTAATTTTATGCAAAATATGACAAATATGGACCCTTTTTTTCAAAAAGCAGATTCATTTTTGCATAAAATTGAACATTTTTAAAAATGTGGACCCATTCTTTGTGGACCCAATAGAAAATTGTGTGGGACTGTCCCAATAGCTTGCTGTGACATTGTATGTACTGTTAGTCATGTGTATGTTGCCAATAAATTACTGATTAGCAAGACAAAACTATTTGACTTTATCGTCATCATCTCTCATCATCCTCATTTATTTATTATTATTAATATCATTATTACTATCATTATCATCTCTTTACAAAAGCAACTTAATTTCATTACAGAGCCACTGCTAACTGTTGCCAAGTACTACAAATACCGTGATGTTGAACGCGTGCCGAAAGCACTACGCATGATCAACGACCAACTAGTGACATCAAAAGGTGGTGTTCTTAGTCTAAACACTGACCACCCAGATTCATATATGATCATTGTATTTTTACTTGACTACCTTGTTGAAAACTCAGGTTACGAGTTAGTCACAATGGAAGATTGTATATCTGAAGTATGAAATTTTGTGCAGGGCCTACTGAAAACCCAAACCAAGGTGGGGCTGAAGAAATGAAGGTGGCCTATTTGTTGAGGAATGACTAAATGCCGACGCCAATTACATGATGATGCTGTTTATAAGATTAGTTTCGTTTGTGCTTTAGATTTTATAAAAGTCAAAATAAAAACAGTATGGCCATGTTATTCTTCAAGCATGGTCTTACTATTTTTAAGGTACAAAATTATTATTTAAAACTCAGAAAGTGGGTTTTTGAAAGAGCATAAAAGTATTTCGAATTCTTCAAAATATATATTTTTGCAAAAAAAAGAGAAAAAAACACCGACTCTAGAATTTTGAGATGAGCTTGGGCATCAAAAAGTTTTATTTTGGCATAATTCCATCTTGTAATTGACAATTGCTTTTGGATACATAGAAAATCATTAATCAACTTATTAAATTATATTTTCTACTCACTGCTGAGTGAAACCATTCTTCAATCTGTTTTGATGTTGGCTAATTTATGTTTTATAATTTCCTGTTTTTAATACAATTAACTATAGCCTACTAATACAAATTTATGTCTTCAATAAACAATAATCATCTTTTAGTTTTTTCAGGAATCTGGCCACAGAAAAACACTTAATATTCCAGTTAGAAGATATCTTATTTCAACATAGAACTAAACCACAGAATCACTACTAAACTGATTACCGTACTAGAGGAAACGGAAGCTTGAATTCAACTCAAAACAAACCATTACAATTATAGCAACTATGTAAATACTGAAATGTTCTAAAACTTGCATATAACATAGAAGTTAATATTTTCAATACTTATTTTTATACTGTTATTAAAATTTGAATCTCAATGCTTAACACAGTAAGAACAGTCCATATGTTCACATAATACAGTACACTTTAGTGACCCCCTTTTTTCCCCGTGGACAAATATTATCATCCTGAAATGTCCGCTTTCTGTTTGACACAAGTCTATATGACCATTAAAATAAATTACTGTGGAAGTATGGCTACAACATATAACGACACAATTCAACTAATATAATGTACAGTACAGGTATTAACAATTATTGTTTTCATACCAATAATCTGATTTCACTATCCTTGACACTTTCACTTTCCTTTCACTACAGACTATCTGTCACTAGAAAGATTGACCCCTAGAGGTCAAATTCTGTCCAAAAAGGTCATATACTTCACTTAGGTAGTGGGTGCCCTCATCTCTGGATTCATAGTTTTTTTTATACATCCGGCATTTGTGTCAGCTTCTCTGTCGATGATTTTGGGTTGTGTCCAGTTTATGACCTGTCTCTTATACACATCTAGATGTGTATAAGAGACAGCAAGAAAAAAACACCGACTCTAGAATTTTGAGATGAGCTTGGGCATCAAAAAGTTTTATTTTGGCATAATTCCATCTTGTAATTGACAATTGCTTTTGGATACATAGAAAATAAATACAGTTAACTAAAATGGAACATGCCAAGAAAGGTTTATTACAATTTTTAATCAACTTATTAAATTATATTTTCTACTCACTGCTGAGTGAAACCATTCTTCAGTCTGTTTTGATGTTGGCTAATTTCTGTTTTATAATTTCCTGTTTTTAATACAATTAACTACAATTATGTCTTCAATAAACAATAATCATCTTTTAGTTTCTCAGGAATCAGGCCACAGAAAAACACTTAATATTCCAGTTAGAAGATATCTTACTTCAACGTAGAACTAAACCACAGAATCACTAAACTAATTACCGTACTAGAGGAAACGGAAGCTTGAATTTAACTCAAAACAAACTATTACAATTATAGCAACTATGTAAATACTGAAATGTTCTAAAACTTGCATATAACATAGAAGTTAATATTTTCAATACTTATTTTTATACTGTTATTAAAATTTGAATCTCAATGCTTAACACAGTAAAAACAGTCCATATATTCACATAATACAGTACACTTTAGTGACCCCCTTTTTTCCCTGTGGACAAATATTATCATCCTGAAATGTCCGCTTTCTGTTTGACACAAGTCTATATGACCATTAAAATAAATTACTGTGGATGTATGGCTACAACCTATAACGACACAATTCAACTAATATAATGTACAGTACAGGTATTAACAATTATTGTTTTCATACCAACAATCTGATTTCACTAACCTTCGACTAACCACTTTCACTTTCCTTTCACTACAGACTATCTGTCACTAGAAAGATTGACCCCTAGAGGTCGAATTCTGTCATATACTTCACTTAGGTAGTGGGCGCCCTCATCTCCGGATTCATAGTTTTTTTTTTATACATCGGGCATTTGTGTCAGCTTCTCTGTCGATGATTTTGGGTTGTGTCCAGTTTATGACACAAATCAAATTGTTGGTTTGAAAAAAAAAAAAAAATTAATACATTTGTTTATCCACAACAACTAATATAATGCCGAACATAATTTCAACTCTAATAAGCCTTGTCAAGACTATCCAATTTTATTTGACAAAAACATGTGACATGCCTAAATATGGTAATGATGACATCATATAATGATCATATATAGGCACATCATGACTATATATGGGCATATACCAGTTCTTTGTCAAATGAAATTTGATAGTTTGGACAGAGCTTTAAACTGTTTTAATTTTGGGTTGTAAAGTAATTTTCTCTTTTGGAATTCAATTGAGACCATACATTGTATTTGATGAAATGAATCTTAAAAGTGTGTTAATGGGTTAATAACCCAAGACGAAGAGGCAACAGAGAGATTGCCGCCCCACTTATTCCATGGCAGAGCGTCTCCCAGTCTTCCAACTCAATATCATACACCTGAGTAGCACTTGTACTTAGATGGCTATCAAAACAGAAGCCATTCACAAAGAAGTATACCCTATCGCCAATTCTAAACGCACCAATACCATTCTCTGGTATAAGACTTTGGTCTTGGGAGATGTACATTCCTGAATGGACTGTGCCAGATTCATCCAACAGATGCTCCACTACTGATGGACACAAATCCCATTGTTGAGATCCATACACCCTACTTGGCACGGACTTGTAACACACAGAGTAGAGTTTCTCATCTTTGATGTACAAGTCTACCTGTCGATTTGAATTTAATCCTAATCGTTTCTCTGGTAACCATGAGTTGAGTTCTGGATCGAAACAAGTGTAGCGAACCTGACCGTGTCCTTTGAAAATATGGATCTTGTTATGGAATAGAATGGCGGTTGTGTTGTAGCGGGCTTCATCCAATGCAGCGACGCAAACCCATTTACTGCGAGCAAGATCGTAACGCTCCACCGAACGAAGTGGGTTATCATCTTTATCAAGGCCACCAATTGCATAGATAAATCCTTCGTGATGGACTAGTGAGAAACTTTTTCTCTCAACTTTCATGGGTGGCAAACTGGACCACTTGTTGCCTTTTGCATTGTAGACAAAAAAGTAGTTCCTGGTGGCATTTTTACCAGAGTTGATGTATTCACCACCTGCGATGAATAGGTGTTCACCGACTACAACAGCGGTGTGGTTGATCACTGTCTGATATGGCAACTGCGCAAAGTTCTTTAGAGGTTCCCATGCTTTGGTATTTGCATTATACTGCCGTACGAAACTCATCGATGTGTGTCCTCCAATTGCTACCATAGACTAAGACAAAATAAACAGAATTTTAAGTGTCTACAAAGAAAACAATCATTACCAGCCTATTGTATTGTATCATTCATTCAATCTGTTAATAGATGAGAAAGTCATTCAAACTTTCAAATTGAAAACTTTTAAAGTATCAACTTTTAGTTCGGTATATACAGTTAATTAAACAAATAGGCTTAGAAATGAAAGCAAGAAAATTTAGATTATCTGGTGGTGGTGGTGGCCAGAAATTTGTCAACAGGAGGTCTAACAAGGGGTCTGAAAAAGGGGACTTGCCCATGACCTCTGGTCAAGATCCCAGAATAAAACTTATGGGGAGGAATCATATGGTTTATAATTATAAAAAAAATGTGCTTTTAGACATACCTTTGAAGAAAGTCTTGGTGCAAACAACTGTGGAAGTTGAGCGAAAAGCGGTCCCGTAACAGCCTTTGCCGTTGCATGGTGTTGCATCAGCTGATCATACAGCAGTTTACATTGAGGTACTGTTAAAATGTCTCGATCAAATGCTTCTACAATCTCCTGTGCCGTCAGCAGCCCTAATCGTACCTTCTTAAGGAGCATGGCTGAGTGATGTAAACGGGTTTCTTTGTCGTGTCGAATCCAGTTTATAACAGCTTTCAAAATCTTAATATTCAGAAAAGATAAAAAACAATCATTAAGATAGTAACTTAAAAGGATGAATACAAAAGTAAAGTTTACTTAATATCTTAACATGCTCTATTTTTGTACTTGGCAATGTGTGTATTCAAACAAAAAATTGCCATTTTAATATACATTTGTACTTTTTATGGACAAGTCAATAAATGAATCTTGAATCTTAAACAATAAACATTGCTAAGTCAGAACAAACAAGAAGGAACACAACACAGGCAGCATATTGTGTATGAGTGCTATTGTTCATAATGATTAGTGAAAAGAGCTAGATGTTCACTGGAAAGTGTAAAATACAGTAAATGTACAGTAGTTGAAATCTAAATTTATACCGGATATTCTCCACTAACAGCCAAGTCTTCTTTCTGCAAAAAACTAGCTAAGCGTCTCGCCGTCATATATTCTAAGAAATCTTCAGTCTCGCAAACCTCTACAAAGTTCCGTGTGATGTACCTATCAGCTGTCTCTCGTAGACTTTTCAAATCAAAATTATTTGCCATTTCAGATATTTTTAGAAAATCCTCAAAGTTGAACTTTTCATGAAGGAAGCAGTGTTCGATATAATCAATGCACTGTGTAACTGCAATGGGCATACTCAAATGGTTTGCAGCAGCAAGAACGTCAAATACGTTTTCTGGGGTTAATGCAAGATGCGAAGAATACGCAAAATTGAGAATCAATTCAAAAGACTCGGCACAGACATCGGTCTCTTCTTGAAATTCAATCATATCTTGCGAGGATTCTTTGAGTCCACCTGTGAACATGGCACGGAAATATTCACTTGCTGCCGACAAAACAATTTTGTGCGCAGGAAATTCCCGCTCTTCAACTTTGATCTTAATGTCGCAGAATAAAGCCTCTTCTCGCAGTGATTGAAGACTGTCCATTATGTGCTGGCCCCATTTCATTTGATGAGCACTTGAATCAAACATAACAAATGTTGGAGTCCGAGTATCCATAGTTACTAGAAAGATAAACAACAATAATTTAACTACATAATAACGATTAATCTTAGAAAAACAATGATTTAATGAGGAATTACAATATCAATTGAGTATAGGTTAGTAAGAATAAGATGGGCTAGACCAGGCCGGCCTAGCCTAGAAAAAGGAGGAGGGGTAGCCTAGCCCAGGGCCTGGTCTCAATTTTCGAGGCTACCTAGCTTAGGGCCTAGGTAGAAAAAGAATAGAAAAAGCTGGGCCAGGGTCTGGCTGATGTGATGTGTGTTGTGGTATGCCCAGCCTACATTTAGAAGCATAGGCCTCTAGATTGTATTATTAACCTATGTTAAGATAAGAAGAGTAAGATTAAGAATATAATATAAATAGATATATTTTGTTGCATAAGTGGCAGTGGGCGTCGGTAATTTATGGGATGGGCAATTCATGCAGGAAATGATGGTGCCTGGATGGTCAACTATTTGTACAGGGATTTTCCCAATAAAATAATCAAACAGAGCTGAATTTCATTATTTAATTTTATTGTACCCCTATTCATGTTCATTCAAAGTTAGGGAGAAGCTAAAAATTTTATTTAAATAACGACATCCTAGGCCAGTTTGTGTTTTTCCCCTAGATGACAAAGTAAATAAATGAGTAAAACAAATCAGAAATATTAATTCAGTTTAAGTATCAATTGAGTAATTAACTACAAAATTTTACATGACAACATTTGAGACATACAATTACAAAAACAGCATTATTACAAAATTGTAGGCCAGGCTATGCGTGTTCTAAAAAAAAAAATAAGACAAAGAATATTCTGCTATAACCACCCATCCATTTCTACAATGTACAGTATATGACAAACTAATGTACTTTACTGTTGGTTAAGGGCCGAGCTGATGCCGTCGAAACATATCCTATTCCTAGCCTACACCCTAGCTAATCCGGTTAATCACACTTTCACCACGGAGCTATGCTGTGACTGACTGCTTACTCCACGATATACCTACCTAGCCTAGCCTACTGCAGTGTTAGGCCTTTCCTTGTAGTTGGCAGTAAATTTTAAGAAAGTGGGCTAGGCTAGCCAGAACTAATTAGTATTTAACTTATTCAGATGACAATCTACTAAACTTGGGAAACATTAAAATGAATGATGAGTAACTATTAATTGGCTATTCATACCTGTTTATTGCTATACCAACGTTGACTGAGAACTTGGCATTTCACAACAATGTATAATGGATGTATTGACTGGAGCGCCCTCTATACATTACAATTAACTCTTTGATAGTCGCCCTACTCTACATTCTGGTATATTAACGATAGGGCATACAATCGAGGGTTTTAGTTTAGTTAGACTGCTAGGCAAGCATTGCCGATCTATAAGCGAGCAAAGGCGTTAGAGAATATGGGTTTTTTTTTAGAGATAATAAGAAAAATATTGTCTACCGTCTATTAACAATATCGTTAGACAGTAGGCCTACTTTTCCTTTATTCACGAGACAGCTGTATTATGCGCCTTATATCCATCGGACTGATTAATTGTCTACCAACGATTTTACAATACCAGGCATCCTGTTATTTTAGCATCATATTGAAAAATATTGATTCACATTTGAAGAAATACTTCAAATCAACAAAGATAGTTGACAGCACAGTTACTAAATTGGCAAGCTAAAAGATAAGAGCCACATTAAAATGTGAAATAATTAAAAACAAATCGAAATGCGTCTTAGATGTTTCAGAAGGGGTCAAGTCAACCATGGGATGCACATACCTTTATCAATGTGTTTGTATTTTAAAGGGCACATGATTAAATTTGGCATAGGCCTTTTCAACCCCAAGTAATACAATTTAATTTATCAATTCTTGAAACTTAATGTACATCATGAGTTTGAAAATTCATCTTTTTAAAAAATATATTATTAATTTTACCAGAATATTATGATGTACGTTTCTAAAAAGAACATTAGAAGTTACGAGGCGCGCAGGACTACCGCTCATAAAGTGTACTTCACGACTAGCGTGCTGAAATTGGTTAGTTTTTAAGCTGAATAGACCAGCAGTAAAGTTCGTGGTCGAAATTTTAAACTTCACGAGCAAAGTCTCAGAAAATTGCATTTTCGACAGTAATTCGTGCTTAGATTATAGAACCGCAAATTTCTAGAAAGGTTATAAATTATAAGTCTGTGTCTGATATAGTCGGAGTTTTTTGGAAGCCCAATGCCCACTTCGACCCCATGAAGACATCAAACGTGTTTGTTAGGGACCATACATAATTTTCAACATTTTCAAAAGAGTACAAAACATAGCCTACCCTTTAGGGGGAGGGGGTTGAAAGTTTAGGCAAAGTACTTTTTTATGAAAAAAGTATAAAATAATGATCTTAAAATTACAGAAATCAACATTTTATTGTGTACTCTTTCAGGGGGAAGGGAGGTTACAGAAAGAGTATGTTTTGTACTCTTATGAAAATGTTGATCCTTAGAGAACTGTCCGTTAGGTTACTGCTTTCAACTTTAGGACCCCTGAATTTCGTGGAATGGTGAAGGAGCTGTTCTCTAGACACTGGGCATTTTACTGGTCTCTCACTAATACATTGTTGTATCCACGTTACACTTCACTTCACTACCAGCCAACAATAGCTCTTAATCTAATTTACAAACACGTGAGGAAAACTCAACACATGCATATGCAGAATATAGTCGTTCTTTAAAGGCAGTCGGAATGCGATTGCCTCATTAGAGCCACTGTCACCATAACGTAGTAGTCGTAAAGCAAGCTGTGTCCGCTAAAAACACGAGAGTTCAGACGTATCAGGCGGTATTGAGAAGCAGACAAAAACAGTTTGAAAAGGTAATTTTGTAAAGCATATTTCCTAGCTAGTACCGTAATTCAAAAGATACCTGTATTTTCAATGATATAATTTCGACTTGAATGCATCTCCCTAAAGTGCTCCGAAGGGCATTAAGAAATGAATTGGGTCCGGGCCATATACATCTGGTGTTTAGTCCATCGTAGGTGGAGGTGCTAATGCAATGGAACTTTATAATGGAGCTATTTTGTAGTTCGTCGTTACAAATATTGTTTCACAAAATTTGAATTTGACGTCTTGTTTTTCATTTCTAGAACATCTGGACATCATGCCTACTGAGATTAAAGCTTCAAAGCCCGGGCCAGTTCGCCCGAAAACACTAGACATCATAGTAGCTGCAATTGAAGACTTAAACGAGAAGAACGGAGCGTCTGTGGTCGCCATCAAACAGTGGATTCTCACTAAATACCCAGAAATCCCCGAAAGTAGACTGAAAGTTATGATGAAAAAGGGCTTGGCAAAGGGCATCGAAAGTGAAGTTATCGTCAGGCCGAAGAAATCGTTAGCGTCAGTAGGCATGACTGGGCGCTTCAAGATCGGAAAGCCACCAAAACCAGTCAAACCTCCCAAAAAGAAATCCGAGAAAGGGAAAGAGAACAAGAAACCTCGCAAAAAGCCAGCACCCGAAAATGGATCGTCGGCTGACGAGAAAGCACCCACTCCAAAGAAGGCTGCCAAGACGTCTAAACCTAAAAAGTCCGCAGCCACCAAACCTCGCTCAGCGAGCAGTTCACCAGTTAAAAAAGTAAGCAAGTCAAAGAAGGCGGCTCGTAGAAGTAAATCTCATTCCCCGCTCAAGAGTAACGCGAAGAAATCTGCTTTAGACAAAATTGGAAAATCTCCGTCTATCAAAAAATCGAAATCGAAATTAAAGACAACTGAAAAGGTAAAAGGGAAACAACCCAAATCAAAAGCACTGAAAAAGACTGCAAAAAAGTGATTCATAAATACGCTTGATGTAGCCTCAAAGAATGCGAACTTTCAATTAGTAAATATTCTGATGACGGCAAGATTAGATACGATATCAATGATGTAAAATAAGTTTAATGTAAATGAGATGTATAGATTGTTTGCTTGTTGGAATGGTTTTAATCTACCAACTTAAGTTGGCAGTGGCGTTTCTGTTAATCAGCACTTGCCGATGGTACATAAATTCAATTTTAAGAGTAAATATTATAATTATCATTATTTGTATTTGTTTGTAAAAATAAAAATGAAAAATATTAAAATTGCTATTACGACTGCGTTTCTTGTGACTACCGAACCAATTTTTTAGTATTACATTTTAATACATCCACATTGTTTTTGTTATTTGAATTGCAGAAATAATTTTTATAAAAAAAAAAATTTGACAGTGAAATTATGCAAATAGTAATTTACATATTCACAAGTACCGAAACAATAGGCTCAGTCCTCTTATTACCATCTTGCATTCTGCCAAGTCTGAAGCCAATTCAAATTTAGTTATCGCGGTAACAATAACCCAACAACATAAAAGCACATGAGTAAAAACAATAGCCTCCCCGGAGCTTGCTCCATTTGGGGAGGCTAAAAACAGAGCATGGTTTTAATGTAGTCCTACATGAGTTAATTTCCTGAACGTGCAGCAATTTAGGTGTGTTAATTAATAATGTAGAAATTAATCTCATTTCGCAAAAGTCTAAAGGCTGAAACATAATGCAGTAAAGAGGATGATCTAATCCCCGTGTAAGGGCCGCAGGGCATCTAACTTTTTTTTTCCTGCTCTTATAAGTGCTGCGTTTTGGAGAATACTATTTTTGGATAGACATTGCAACAAAATCAATAGTAGCACAATGTATGAATAGATACAGAAGAATACAGAAAACATATTAATGAATCCGTTTAGGTAAAAAGGTGATCAACAATATTATATTAATCGTCATTATCATAATCTCCATAAGCAGTAAAATGCTCATTTGTCTTCTTTTCATTGTTAAATTTAAAAAAAAAATCACTATAATGATTATGATCGTGATCAAATATCACGATCACAATGTTCATTCATATCATGCCATCCTTATTCATGATCATAGCTCATCATCAGCCTCACCATCACTGTCTTACGTCGTCATCATCCTCCTTGGCGGCCGTTTACCTCCATGTCAACATCAACATTTCATTAACAAAAACAGCAAATAGGAGTATAGTAAATTTGTTTATGTTTATTGTTAAGCACATCCAAGTTCCATCTGTTTTTAACATTATTACAGGTACATCATTACAGATGTTACAATGGGCTGTTCCCCTAAGCCTTATGCCTTGGTTATTGTTCTTAAGGTCCCATAAAACGTCAGCGTGTGTTTGTGGGATAACATGCGTGTGGGCAGTGACATATATAGGAGTCCTAAAATGGGGGCAGGGAGGCACAATGATTAGGTAGGGGGAGCCAGCTTGCAAAATAAGGTGATTTGAGGTGATTTTTAGCTACTTGAGCATGATTTTGTGGGGCAGAATGGGGGCGCACACCGCATAGATAACCCACTGTTTGTGGGACGTGTGTGTTCCTGGCCCTTATGATTAGTTGGCGTTCACTCACTCTGGGAAGGTTCACTGGACTCATTCAAAATACAACAGCATCAATTTTTAGGAGAGACTGCAGAAGCTGTAGAATATCCGTATACATCCTCATTTTAGATGTCAGCGACACGACCAAGCCCACTTCAAACCCGCCAATCAATTTACCACTTTTACCATCTACAGAAATCATTTCATTTTTAGTCTTAACATTATTAATTGCTTCATTTAGTAACACCATCCAATTGTCTCTAGTTCTGGAAGAAAATGAGTTACAATGCAAAATATGAGGAATGTTCAAAACAGCCTTTGCCATTATCGAGGCTGCCAATGATAAATAGGGATCATTTTTGTGATCTGCAGCATAATCAGTTAATGTTTTACTGACAATAATCTCTGTTGCCCCACCCCCTGGTAAAGTTACAAAACAAGTTTGTCTTACAGTAGGAAAATGTGATGTTGACTTTTGCAATGGTTGCTGACAATTTGGGTTCTTCTTCGTACCCTGCGGACCACTACAGGATGATTCATTAGAAAATGTTGATGCATCTTCAGTCCACATACGAAGCACTTTGATTGTATTTCCGAATGCTCTTATATATTCTGTTACAAGTCCCGGCGATGGGGCACAAATAACTACCTGATGGGTTTGCACCAAATTTGGGACAAGATTTACAAAAGCTTTAGACCCAATTATGATTCTCTCACATCGTATGTCCCCTATTGATGCATCTGTTATCCGATCATCAATATCAGCATTAATTACAACTCTAGTTAACCTACTTATACGGTCAACATCATCCTCAGATAATAAATGAACAACAGAAATTTTATATTGAGAACACAAATGCTTAGCAGTGTCTGAAAACTGGTCTGTGCTTAATACCAAAGTGATACCTCTATCCCTGAGGACTTTTAACCGTCGTTCTAATGAAGTTGATAAATATGTAAATGCCTTTGTGACTTGGCTCTGTTCTTTTAAAAAGATAGTAGCATTTGATTGTGGAACGATATCTTCTAGGGAGCATTTTAAAAGAATAAATTTCATCTTTGTGTCACATGATTCATTAAAATGTACACAGAAATCCTTTTGTATTACCATGCCTGGAATAAGCCTGGACATGGTAACAGCTTGTCCGCTGATCTTCAAAAATAAATCCGCAAAATCATCAATCAGTTCACACATCAATTGATTTAACTGTTGAATATTTTGACAATGTCTGGTGACCAGTTGCACCACAAGATCCGATAAGATCCTCTGAGTGTGCAAATTAAATTTACTTGCCATTGATGTCTGCGCCAAATGTCTACAAATGTCTTCCATGTTTTTTGCATCATCTTTATGAACCCTTGCATGCTGCTGTAGTGCCTGCAGGACAGTTGTCTGCAAAACGTCTGCATTCAGTCTAGCAAATGCATCTCTTAATTTAAAAATGGTACTTGCTCTTTCTGGAGTGTTCAAGTTTTGGGATATTTCTCGTAGCAGTTCAGTTAAAATGAAAATAAATGCTTTTGAGTTGTCTCCTACTAATTGGTGGTGGGATATTACAGAATCTAAAATAATTTTGCCAATGGGGTGTTTGAAATTTAAAGATTGTAGTACAGCGACACCATCATTAGTTATGCATATAGTTCCACTAGAAGAAGACAGCAGTGTTGACAATGCATTTGGACCGAATGATTTCTTTACTAGATTCTCCAGAGTTTGGCAAATGGCCAGAGCATCAGATACATCAACTGCTTGAGCTGTAGTCATTTTCTACACACAACTGCTTACTTATATTGCATTTCGGAACCTGAAAATAAATATTGCTGATTTAAGTTATTCAAATACATTTCATTAAAAAAACAAAGAAGTACATTGAAATTCCTGATGATGACATAATTAATGTCGAAATATTGAATCCCAACATGATGGCGTGTATTTCAATACTTGGAGTATGTATTATACTTTCTTACATTGAAATTGAAATTCAAATAATTGTATTCATTCTCGAAACACACAAAATACAAGTAAAATAGTAGTGAATTGGAAATGAATGAAAAGGAAACACCAAACAAAACTTAAAGAGCTTGTTTGAATGGTGTTCCAAAACAACCACCCCTCTCTAACCTAAGGCTAAAAGAGTGAATAAATAAATAAAAAGCAATTGTTGTACTAATATAAGAAAAAGAAGTCTCACTAAAAAACGAATGGTCCAGGAGACTATTTCGATTTTACTTGTTGATTTTCAACTGTGCACCATTATTTACATTTACACCATTTGCAATGTTATATGGTGGTTTAAATAAGAGATAAAATTAAGAGTCATATTATATAAAGACTTACATTATTTACATACTACTACAACAGTACTTCTATCTAATCTTAGTCTAGTAGTAGCTAATGTTTGCCTAAACTCTTAATTAGTTGAGCTAGAGGGTTAAAAATAACACAATGCTCGGCCTATTGGCCTATCCAGGCAGTAAAAAAAGTATACAAAAAAGAGCCTAGGCCCAGGCTTTGTAGGAATACAATCCATATACGGCAGAGCCCCATGAATCGGCCTCATTCAAGGCTGCTTTTTACTGTACTGTTGTAGGCCTAGAGGCTAGGCCCAGTCTAGGCCCAAAAAGATCTAGGACCAGGCCTTCATTATGCACAAACAACTAACAAAATCAACATAAAGTATGAATAATAAAGACAGCTTTTAGAACGAACCTGAATCCGGGCATTATGTCATCACTGCTAACTAAACAACTCTCCGTGTGTTCGTGTTGTTTGTTTAGCATTCATGGAGGCAGACATGACAGGCTCGTACATATATTTTTTTTTAAACAAAAATAAATATTGTTGATAAATTATTAATATATATATATATATACATAAATAAATGAATATAATAAATCCAACTTAGAATCTTCAATCAAGGTGGTATAAAAATCAAGATTAGTAGGTATAACACTCTCCAAATGTTACTAATAATGTAGAAATATACTGTAAATGTACGGGTCTAGCTAGCTGTACAGGTCTTGATGAAATAAAACAAAAAGACAGTAACTCAAGAGACACAGACATTTTGAGATTCAAAGTTTCGATTGATCATTTTCAATATACAGATGAGAAAATCTCACCCATTCATATATATTTACAATATTTATAGAAGTATGGCAAAAGCAAATCAAAAACCGACCAATCAGAATCAGAATCCCTGAAATGAGGTAATCAAAAATGAGGTACGTGTCTTACATTAAGTAGATCACTTATTTTAATGAATTAAATCAACAATTGTACTGTATATAGAAGCCTGGGAGTGCTAGCTGAATGAAAGTCTCATGAAATGAAATAAACAATAATATAATCCAGTGAATAATACTTAAACAGTAGAAAATGTTTACAAGATAAGTGTGATATCAAAAGTTCAGAGAATTAAAGTAAATAATGAAAGCTCCCGGCTTAGAGATGCCATCTAAACCATGTGTTTAAAACAGGCTTAAAGCGCCTAATGCCAATGGACAAAGCATCCGTAAATAAAATTTGTGACCAAAGTAGGTAGGTTAGCCATACATAATTTGAATTATCAAATATTAAAGTTTGCTTTAACAGGTCTTATTATTTGTAATATACTGTATATTATAATTTATACATTATAACATCGATCACTATATAATGTTCCTGGCATTCGATTTTTTTTTCGCTCGTTTCCTGCACAGCTTTCATTTGCCATACCTGCAGATCATCCTCATTTGATGTGCAAAGAAGCATAATAATAATAATAATAATAATAATAATATTTCATATACCTCTTGGCACCAACACTAGGAGTTCACCTCCATCCCCCACCCACATACATTGAAAAATGTTTTGTTGCTTCATTTATTTAAAAAAAAAAAAACCTCATTTTCAGCATTACAATGCACAGCATGATATTGCACCTCAAGTGTCGATTAAATATAGATGATTAGATGTACAGACTTTTTTAAAAGATAATAATATAGGCCTATTGATTATCATATCAGCCTTTGTATGCAAAAACTATTCTTTACTTATTTATGCCTTGCTTATTTATTTAGTTATTAATTAATTTATTTATTTATTTTAATTAATTAATTAATTTTTATTGTTGGTAATTACTCTATTAAATTAAATATAACGTTGGCCTATTAATATTACTATTGATTTTGTGCTCATTATTATTGAATTGTTAGATTATTCTGATAAGTACTTTTTACAGGGACCAGTACCCTTTGTTACCTATCAGTCTTTATTTGTTGAGTTAAAAAAAATGAATTATAAATTATATGAATTTAATTGTCCAATTAACTTTTTTTCTTCACATCTAACTTTTTTTTATTGTAAGTTATTAACTTACTTCAATAGAATATACAATTTAAACAATTTGGGACGGGTTGGTTTTCGTTTGGGACACCTTTGATGATGATGTAAGGAATCGTGAATCGACAAAAATAAGTTTTGATATCACGATTCATTCGCGTGTGAACTAATGGAACTAATGATGCTGATTGGTTGGGAATTTATGTTTAGCGCCCTCTATTAATGTTGCTTATTGTTTTTTGGTGTTAAAAATGACGACAAGAAATCCAGCTGACTGAGATATAAAATCGAAGGCTGAAAAACAAAATAAGTGGTATAATTGGAGGTGTGTGTTACTAGTTCCGGGTGGTGTATTTGCAAGTTTGGTATGTAGTATTATAATATTTAGAATAAACATTTAGAGGTGCTGTTACTTCCTAGTGTCTGATTAAATTTTCTTCACATTGATTGGTGTAGGGCCTAAGCCCTAGGCCTACTACTACTACTACTAGTACTAGTAGGCCTAGACTAGGCCTATCCCTTGGCCTAGGGGGGTCCGGTCCACCGGGCTAGCCTAGGCTTAATAATATATAGTAATAATTGTATAGTATTGGTAAGGACCTACCTGTCTGTGTGTGTAGGGTTAGGCCTCCACCAAGCAAGTCTTTGATAGCACAAGAGTCCTGAAGTGGCAATGTTCGGGTGGGGAGGGGGTAGGCCTTACTTTTAGAAGGTGTGGTGAGAACAATTGGGGTAAAGAGCTAGGCCCTAGACCTATGTAGTTAAGAGGAGGGGTGGATTGGGGTGTTCCCTTACCTGTTGTAGGGTAGGGCCTTTTTTCTATCTATTATCTAAATGATTTCTCACTTGGTTAGAGATTGTTTTGTTTGGCTGCTGCTGGGTAGGGTATTTAAATATTAGGATTTAAATAATGCTGAAATAATTATAAATTCATCTTTTGCAGGTTCCCGCTACTTAGAAGGAACTCATCAAACAATATGCTGCATAATGGACAACTCCGAACTCTGGTCCAAAGAATTAGCAAAAAGAAAATATTGCCATCTTGGGTAGTGATTAGTTCAAACGCATCAACAACGAATGAAGCCTCAAATCAGAGTAAATGGTCACAGAAGAAACACACCAAACAGAAATTCCAACGGCATCTTCATACGAGTGGTAAATGTTGTTACAACTGTAACACTCCTGTGATATATGAACCGTGGATGGACGAAGACATCATCTGTGTCTTGCAGGGAAGTTGCATGCCCGGTAGTACTCGTTACTGCAGGACCAATTCTATGTTTGGAAAAATGGATATCACTGATATTATGCAAGGGGTACCCTTTGCGAGAAAGTTCTCAACTCTAGCTGGAAATCCTAGATTTTCATCAGACGTCAACAGATATCATCACACCTTTACCGATGGAGCACAGTCCTCTTTAGGAGGAGTACACGCCTTAAAATATTATCAACCAGAGTTTGCATTATTCAGTAAGACAAAAAAAAAATTTAGTATGGTTAATAACAACCCCTTTATGCAATTAAATCAGCACTGCCTTTACTCAACATCAGCCCTGAGAAACGCAACAGATACAAATGAGGAGGGAATGTCTGACGTAAATAAGTCATTGAGTCAGCGTGCGAAACTGAAGCGAGCTGTGAAGGAGTATGGTGGCACTGTTGTAGTCTTTCATGTCTGTATCTCACTTGCCTCCCTTGGTGGATTTTATCTCGCTGTCTCAAGGTAATTTTACTTCACATGATCTCTGATTAGTACCGTAATTGTTTGAATAAGCCTCGTTCTCGAATAAGCGCCGCTCTTGAATAAGTGCCGTGGTGTTTAATTGAGAGTATATATCACCATGTGTGTTAATAGAACACTTTGAGGAACAAGGTTTTAAATACAATATATACAGTGTTAAAATGAATAAATAACACAATGAAGACACAAGCATTTCTTTATAAACGTTTATTTACAATGACGTAGGACCTATGATAGTCCTACTAAACTTTGGTAATACGTGAGATAGGTAACTTGGGAATGAGAATGGAAAGCACCGCGCCAATATTTTTTTATAAATGCCATTCTTGAATAAGTGCTGCTTTCGAATAAGAGCTGCATTGAAGCCTTCAAAAATGTTATAAGCGCCGCAGGGCTTATTCGAACATTTACGGTAAATACAGATCTCCCTCTAGTTGAAGAGCCCTTCAGTTAAAGACCACCTCAAATTAAAGACCAGTTTTGTGTGGTCACCAATTATTCACAAATGTTTTTTTATCTTTATTATTCTAAATTACAGACTAAAGCTGCTAATGACCATAGAAACCCAAGTCCCTAAAGTAGTATTTAATTGGAGGGAGACCTGTATTATCAATTTTATATCATTAACCACCAGAAAAGTTTATGGTCAAAATTATTAATTTAAAAAATGAATCCAATTCTCTCACATCCTTCCGTGTTCAAATTGCATCCCATTTTATCACCTCATTCATTTTCTTTTAAACGCATCCCATCTTTCTCAGCTGATTTTGTCACTAAAGCCGGTTTCACACTAAGTGAATTTATTTGCGCGAATTGAAGGCATTGGTTCATGCACATTCACATTGGAGTTCAGCAAAATCAGTAGTTCGAACTGTTTCTACTTTTTGCAAATCAAAAATATGCACAACCAATCAGAGCTCAAAAAGTAAACCAACGCTTAGTGTAAAACCGGTTTAAATCCCATTGTATCACCATATACTAGTGCTACGGTATCAGAAATTGTAATGTCTATAAAATTATATAATTTGATGATTTTATCTTCTAGCGGACTTGATATGGCAACACTTCTGAAAACCCTTGGTTTTAGCACTGATATGGTACAATCTAAACTTGCTACGGGAGCCAGCACGTTTGTAGTTGCCTACGCTGTCCACAAAATGTTTGCACCTGTTCGCATTGGGATCACACTGACCACTTGCCCTTTCCTTGTGAGATATCTACGCCGTGTCGGTATTTTAAAGGTCACCAACTAAAAAAGGGATAGAACTGGGCTGCCATACCATGTCATTTTCATTGAAGAAAATATATAACTGGAATATCACAAATTTCTCCTGCAGTGGCCTCGATGTAGCAGCGATGCTGAAGTTTGTTGGATTCAGTGAAGAAGTGATCCAAGCTCGTATGGCAACAAATGCAAGTACATTCGTGATTGCATATGCGGTCTACAAACTCTTTATGCCTGTTCGTGTAGGTATAACGTTGACTGTTGCACCATTACTGGTTCAATATCTGCGTCGAATTAATGTCTTGAAGCCACCAAAGAAATGAGCGTCAAATTTTTAAGGAAGTAATTTTGAAAAGGAAGATATTGCCAAAATTATACTCGACATGTTGACATAAACGTCACTCTATAAATTGTCAAGGACTTTCGTTCTGCCACTGAGAGCACTGCATACATTTCTTGGACTTTTTACTTAAGGCTACCATTCTACAGTAATTCTATGGAACCATTCAGAACTCTGCATCAGTAACAAGCAGCAACAGTAACATTGTTTTCATTTGTATACATTTTAAGAAAATACTGCATTTATATGGAAAAATATAAATTATTTCATATAAAAAGAGCTACTGTATATATTGAAGCAAAATCTGCTGTAAATGTCTATGTAAAAGTTATGTTTAGGAAATGTTTCTAAACAAAGAAAAAAAAATGGAATGAGAAAAATATACTGTATAATTAACAATTAAATAAAGCTGAGGAGTGTCCTCATGTACCCAGTACACCAATTGTTTTCATTTGGCTTATTAGTCATTGAATCAAGCATCATGTAGCAGATTTCTCTGTTGACTATTAAGCTTGCCACAGGATTCATTTTTTTTTTTAATGATTGTACTGTACTGTTGTATAGACAGATTTAAAGAATAAATAAAAATTATTGTACATAGAGGGAAGTAGATAAATATAGTGTATATGTATACAGTTAACCTTTCCTAATTCAACTTTGCCTAACTTGAATAATCGATCTTATTTTACATGCCAGAGTGTTGTGTTTTCCATTAATTAACAATCTACAAGTCACATTTTATCTAAAACACACAATTCTTCAATGCCATTTTGGATTTGACTTAGGCAAGTTCAGCTGTATACAGAATTCTAGTCATCACATTTATCATGAAATGTATTTGAAACTGCTGTACAGTACTGTAAACTGTACTATATATAAGATAGATACTTATAGAAAGGTAAAACACAAGAAAATGTTCCAACAACATTGAAATTTTTTGATAATGAAAACTTTTTATTTTTAATAAGACTTACTTACAAAAATGGAATAGCTTGTGGTTTTTTAACATGTTTTTAATAAACACTTTTATTTATAATAAATGTACATTATCACTAAGAGAATTTATGCGTATATTTATTATAGTAAACTACTGATAAATGCCTCTAGCATCATCTTTGTCTCCTGCCATTCATAATATGTACTGTACATATTATATTGTGTTGTTAAATTTCATTACCTGGCCAGACACACACTGTCTTAAAATACACCACTATGTTCCTATATTGAAATGCTTTGATATCTACCCTACTCTGCAATTATTTCCTACCACAAGTTTACAAATATTGATTCCACAAAACCACATATAACAATAAAATAATTTCAGAAAAACATAATTTCACTACACAGTGTAACAATGTCAATAAAACCCCCATTTTGTACAACACAGTTTGCAGCAACTTGCATTTTCAGAATTCTCAACAAAAGCATTGTTTTGAAGGTTATCGAACAGCAAGATTTTTTTCAGTTCGGATAACAAATATTTGCATGGAAACTCTTCTTGCTTTGTTCGTAGCTTCATGATAGTTGCACCCAATTAATTTTCTTACATTGACAACAAATTTAAATATGCCATCTTAAAACTATGCATGTTATGATGTAGATGGTGGCATCATACGTTTTACCTCGGCATATTTCATAATCCAGGGATGTTCTAATACCTCATGAAGCCTTAGCCTTGAGGTTGGATTGTGTCGCAACAACTGAAAAGGAAGGAATATTGAATATTACAAGGCAGTCACAAACAATTATTGTTCTATACACATGTATGTTGACGACAACATGTACAACATTGGATGAATACATCTTGGCCCTCTACAAAATTTCTTGACTGGTAAAAAAATCAGACATCATTTTGCGCAAGAGCAAATGAACTTGAATATAATGTAATACTTACTTTAGAGATTAAATCTTTAGCACCTTCAGATACATAGTCAGGAAATTTATAGTCCACCTACAAAAAAGAACAAAAGTTGGAAACATTAATAAAGTATATCTCACTACTGTATATAAAAATGTGTAATGGATAAACAGTATTTAGTTCCCCTTCGTTGTGAACAAGCAGGCCCGCAGCCAGGGAGGTTTTTATGGTTCAAGCAAACCCCCCCCCCACCTTGAATTTCCCGAACAAGTCCTCCAACCCGATTAATGCACTTCAGACCCACCCAGACTCAGACGGAATGTTTTGCTACAGACATCTTTTAAACATAACTGCTATTATAGCATTATTAGACTCAAAGAACACAAAAAAACCTCTGCCTTCGGGGGTTTCGCCAACCACACTTCGACTCTGGGCCTGTCAAATGTAATCCAATGCGAGCAATATTGCAATTTGCAGTAATTATGACGGCATGATTGCCGTCCTATAACTTTTCAAACAGCGCCTTTACACAGCTTTGTCTACGCTATCAAATTTTATGTGACATAAAAATGTGTTGTGCCCATATATGGGTACGATGACGTCATATCACATATTAATAAATTGTATCAAAAAAAGTTCAACTCTCTATGTTCCATCACATTTTATGCGACACATTTTTATTGAAATTTGATAGTGTAGACAAAGCTTTACCGCAATATTGTCGCAATTTGACGCTTTTCTGTCCGAAACGGTCAGAAAAGCACATTGGTGCACAACTTTAACCTTTATAGTTATGTTTCAATGCGCATATTTCGGCATGTCCCAAGTTTTTGTCAAATTAAATTTGATAGTCTGAACAGGGCTTTAGGAAGTGCTTTTTATTCACAAGAAAAAATCTAAGTGTGAAAGCATTTGAACCCAGGACACTGGAATTGGAGGGCAGGCATCTTAACCACCAAGTTAGAACTCCACTCAGGTACGTACCTTTGTTATACGTCTATAAGTCTCACTGTTGCCTTCAGCTTCGAATGGCGGTTTTCCAACAAGAAATTCGTAACATAACACGCCAAGACTCCACAAGTCTACGTTAGCATCGTGCATCTTGCCTTCGATCATCTCTGGTGGGAGGTAATCTAGTGTGCCACACAACGTTGCTCGCCTATGTGAAAAAAAATATTTAAAAATTCTTGAAGATGATATAATAAAGGTCACAGCATTGAATTTGGACTCCCTCTCATTATTCGGAGTAACATTCATTCTATCTTAGGAATGATTTTTTATAAAAATGTTGTTGGTAATTTCTTTACTGTCCATTAAACCAAATAATTAAATACCTTGATGATGGTGCATGAACAGACCATCCAAAGTCTGCAATCTTCAGATCTCCTTTTAGACCGAGCAAAAGGTTTTCTGGTTTGATGTCCCTATGTATGACTTTCTTACTGTGACAATACAAGAGAGCTTCAGCTAACTGTCCGATATACTGCAGGAGAAGACATACTGCATGTTATGTAATAGATTCTATGACTTTAAGTATAAAGCTTCCAAAATGTCTTGTAGCAAATAATGATGTCATCAGTGGACTAAAGCTCTTTCTACACTATGAAGTTTTATGTGGCATTGTGATTTGCTTATAATGATGATAACATACCCCACCCATAAATTGTCAAAAATAACAATGACAGAGCTTTATACAGAACAATATCATACATAGCTTCCAGGAATATCATGAAGTTATTGTAGCACATTGCTCCCTTTTTTGGGTAACTAGTCCTGGATGGTGAGAGACAACATAAACATGCCTTCTTTAATAACTAATGTGGTGGACACTAAATCTGAAATTACAACCACTGAGTCAATTATAAGAAAACACATTACATGAATGATTATATGATTTCTACACATTATATAAAATATAAACCTGAGTAGAAAGAATTGTCTTACATTTGAAGATCTTCTTTCATCAAATCGTCCATGCTTCTGTAGTTCTTTGTAGAGCTCCCCTTTTGGTGCAAATTCTAAGATAAGGTAAACTCTAGTTGCATCGTAGAAATATCCATAAAGTCTAAGGATGTGTGGATGCCTAAAGTAATAATAATAAAAAAAAAACACCATTAATTGAATCTTTTGAAATGATGTAAGATGCATAAATTATAACATTAAAAAAGTTTAACACATGAGCCACGGCAGTTAAGTTATCAGCAAAATTACTACATGTAAGTGTTCAAATGCTGTTATTAACTGAGAAATAAAATCTAAAAAAGTAGGGTATTATACCTGAGATGTGCTTGGATTTCAATTTCTCTCCGTAACTGATGTTCAACATTTGATTTCAACAGTTGCGATTTGAAGAGAACTTTCAGGGCTACAATGAATTTACTTTGTTTTTCTCTTGCTAGATAAACATTTCCAAATTTGCCTTTGCCCAGAGGTCGTCCGATATCAAAGTCCTGTAGAGTCCACTTTGACCTGCAAAAAACAATACAATTGATTGGTTAGTCATAACATCACCACTTACTAGATAAAATAAAATGATAGCCATCTGTAATGCCCACCCACACTGCAACAACGGTCCTCGGATGACAATTTCATTGGGACCACAGCAAAATGAGGTTCAGCACACTACAAATAATTTTCAATTAACAATCTGCTTTGACTACCACTGACAGCAGATAGCATCACACAAAGCAGACAGATTGTTATAACCTGTGTGTGTGTCATAGTTTTTGTTTTGTTTTTGTATGATTGCTATAGACTATTGAATAGCTTCTTCTGATATGCCATTGGTTAAGTTTTTATTAGTAATTTTTTAAATGTTTTAATTGCTGATCATACCCCATTCCTGATTTAAAGTTAACATCTAATTTGCCAAATGGTAGCAAACCATCAGAAAAGTTACAAAGGAATGTAAAAATGAATACTCACCACCTTTTTTGTCACTCACACCATAAACTAACACAATCAAAGTAGATTGCGTTAGTTTGTGGTGAAAGTGGAGATTTGAGGCACTTACTTTGGGAGCTGTCCTTGCATTCCCGTGGCTTCAGGTTTCCTTTCAGGTGCTTTTGGATTTTGCTGACATTCATGGTGATTCTCTTTGTCTCTAGTACTGGTTGGGACAGCATGATGTTTACCTGCCATTATTGTTGATTGATGACTTCCATGTGCTACATTCATGCTATTCGGTTTCAGGACCCTTTTCGGTCCACCGTCAATTGAACGAACCTATTATAGTATGATAAAAGTAAATTTATTCAGCTATAAATACTGTAATGAATACTGTACAATTTGTGGTATAAATTATGGCATCTACACTTCTTGTTAAAATCTTTGTACACTGTATCATCATATAAACAGGCCTACACTAGATATTCTTCGGACATGCCTGGTGCATTAATAAGATAGTGAGACTGAAGTTTAAGCTTAGGGTCAAGTCAGCTTTATTAGTGAACTCCTTGGATTTAGGTAAAATTGCCGGAATAATATCAACAGCTTAACAGGTATTTGTGGTTTTGTTTGGAGAAAATATATCTGTTATCGTCACAAAATTCTTAGTTATCTCAGATTTTAAGTCTCACCTTTGAATCAGCTGTTTTTCCAATTGGAGTCTGCTTAAAGGAATTCATCTTAAGTACATTAATAAAATATTCCTAGAAAATAAAGCACAATTTTTGTTAAATGTAAAAAAGCATAATTTATCAAAAACCCTATTTTCTAATGTACAGTTCTGTTCTTGTGTGGGTCAGTATGGAATGTTTATTTGTGCCAGTGTTTTTCCAACTGAAAAATTGTTTACTGGTAAGGTCAACTGAGTGTGCACAGCGCTAGCTCTTTTCATTTATTGAAAAAAGTCCTTCCTAGGCTATCAAAGCCTATTCAGTGATTTTTTTTAACCAATACAGTACACAATTTATACCAGTAAGGCATTTAGGTTTACCAGTAAAATTGACAGCTAAAACAGCTTACCGGTAATAAGCTGAATTTGATAATGATTAGTAAATTTTTTATCTATAAAATTACATGACAATATAATCAGCGCTAAATGGATATAATTGTATGGGTTTTACTTAATAACCTGCCCATGGCATTATTTTAATTTATTCAGTTTTTAAAGGTACTTTTGGATTCACCTTTTTACAACCCAGGAAGAAGACAGCGATGATGAAAACTTGTTATGGCTGTTACTTTGCCGATTCAATTAAAGCCAGGCTCCGAGATGAAAACTGGATAACTTGCACCATGGTTGCACAATTGATTTTCAGGAAAAAATCAGAGTAACTACTCCTCCCCACCAGATTTTAAATATTCAAGCATCTGTATCTTACACCATTCCCAAGCTTTTTAAATTTTTCTATCAAACACTCCTTCAATGTTAGAAAAATCAGTTGTACAAATTATCAAAATTAGCTTTCTTTCGGAGCATGGCTTTAAAGCATGTTACTGTGTGAACATGTTTTTATTGTTGTTATTCACACGGTACAGTAGAGTAGCGTTAGATGGCATGCCCGTATCTGGGATAGAGGAATGATACTCACACCGAACAATCAGTAAATAAAGGTCCAGAAATTTTAAGACAACTGGTCAAGAATGTACTGAATATTCATAACATTACAATTGTTATTTAGGCCTGGGGAGGGCATGTGTGTGTGTAAAAAGAAGATTAGACCTAGGCCTAATTAATAAATAATTATTAATATTAATAATAAAAAACTAAATAAAAGGGAATCTGAAATGTTTACATTCTTCTTAATTAACCATACCAGCCAGCAGCATCATAGAGTAATAATAGGCCAGGATTTGGGTATTAAATTTGCCAGTAAAATTTTAATAATGAACAAATGTGGCTAAGTTACAAGTAAGCAGTAGGCCTAATAAGGGCAGACTATTTATCTCACTCAGCTCAGGAGGACCAACCAGCCATATTTTGGCCTACTCTACACAACCAACATGCATGAACTGCACGAATCCGAGAGCTACTGGCTGCACAAACTGATGATGTATCGTATGTGAGATGACCACACACGCCACGCTCCACGGACTGACTGACTCACATTTTATAATTCAATAATTATGATCAAGACTAAACATTTTAAATATGTTAACGCATAAAACAGTATACAAACACTAATTACAGACATTACCACAACTTACTTGAAAAAAATAATAAGAATTATATCCTTTTTTTGCGAAATCAGTAGCTTGTTTTCCTCTACAACCCTCTCTCTTTGGTAAACCTTTTAAATTTTGAAACCAAAATCTCTACAGCAATGTGATTGGCTAATGAAATGCTTATTAGCATATGAAGAGGTCATTGGACTATCGTACAAATTTAGTCCTCCAAAAACGTACCTCTGCATGTTTTTGTGAAATAATAAAGCCTCTGGTTTTATTTTATATTTCTAATTAATTTAAGAGTAGACGAATATTTTATATAAATCATGTTTTAATAAAAACTGCGAGGTTATGACGGTGTCAAGTTTGGAAGTCACATGATGGTTACATCACATGATCAAAAAAGAAGATGGAGGTTCAGTTGAGTTGTTTCGTTTCAGTTTGCTTTTTATTTTCACTCTCTGATGCATCTCAGCAGCCAAATATTGTCGTTATGTTAATGGACGACGTAAGATTCATTCTTGCTACACCCATTCTACCTTAATAAATAGTTGATTTGTTGATTAAGAGGTTTAAAGTTATGGTCTAGAGCCTACACTAGGCCTGTATTAGCTGGTGTGGTGTGGTGGTGCTGCTGCCGGTGGTTGTTTGTGGCCGGCAGACAGGCGCTGGATCTGATCGGCTTAGTTAGCAAGCATAGGCCTAGGCGTTGCCCGCTAATAAGGGCCACTAAGGCTAGGCCTATTTATAGGTTTACAGTGAAAAAAAGAAAACAGGTACATTACCTGGGCGTATAGCTAGCTTAGTTAGTAGTGGTGAATCCAAAATGCTCATTAATCAATAAATTTTTATAAAATAAGAAAAATTTTTTTAAATGTAAAATACATCTAGGCCTAATTAATAATGGCGCTATTATTATATCTTGCTTGTTCTCAACAACAAAATTTCTAGATGGGATGGGGAGACTTGGGAGTGTATGGTCAACCAGCAAAGGAGACGCCAAATCTGGATAAAATGGCTGCCAACGGTGTTCTAATGCCTGACTTTTACTCAGGAAATCCCCTCTGCTCGCCTTGTAAGTAATGTTTTGTTACCACATTTTCTTGAAATCTAAAATTTTTTTTCAAAAATAATAATTAATATCATGGGCCCTCAATAATGGCATGGGTCCCCTCCAGATTGACACGACAGGGCCTCCAAAAAAATTGTTTGCACCTTCAGCGCAATATTTCTCGTGCTCCCACTTGTAACTGGGGGCTCACACCTACCTTGCCCCTGTTACAATTTCCCCTCTAGCCAGCCCTGAGTACAGGAGTAAGAGAAATAGCTGTAAATCAAACAATTATAATAAAATAACCTTCTACAGACATATTTACCACACAAATTTAATTTTGTCAACAAGCCTACTGTCAATGTAAAGAATGAACAATATTATTATAAATAAATTGTGTCTATTAATTGGCAAAAACAAATTTTTAACAGTTACCAAAACAGTCAACAAGGTATGAAAAAAAATATATATGTTACTGTGTTGTTTATCCTACAGCCAGAGCATCATTACTAACAGGAAGACTTCCAATTCGTAATGGTTTCTATACCACAAATGCTCACGCCAGAAATGGATACACTCCACAAATTATTGTTGGAGGGATTCAAGATTCAGAGGTGTTGTTGCCTGAACTCCTGCATACAAAGGGATACAGGAGCAAGATAATTGGTAAATGGTGAGACTCAGAATCAAATATTTGCTGTACTGCTTGTTTTGATGAAAATTCATAAATTTTGTTATGTGGTACAGTGAAATGATTTTGATAGTATTTGGAGCAGAGAAGTGGTGTGAAAGAAAAGTTTGATTCCTTTTAGATATCTCCAGTGGAAGAGTTTCTCATGCGAAAGTTACTATCTTGTGATGTACAGTGTCAATACAGTGGGAAACTCCAAGAGAGTATACCTGCTTGACCTCTGCTACTTCGCTGTAATCTTCTTACTTAACAATTTACCTTCATCTTTTTTTGATTTATAGGCATTTAGGGCACCAACCACAGTTTTTACCTTTAAAGCATGGGTTTGATGAATTCTTTGGGTCATCAAATTGCCACTTTGGACCATATGACAATGTGAAAACACCAAACATTCCTGTGTTCCGTGATGGAGCCATGATTGGCAGGTATTATGAAGAATTTAAAATCGAAAAAGGTGTTTCGAACTTGACTCAAATATTTATTGAGGTGAGATTTGACATCATACATATACATACTTTACCAAATGTAGTTTGTACTGCTCAGAGATGTTCATTAATATTAATATTATAAGTTTTCACCAATATTTACAGCTATTATACAGATTGTTTATTGCATATTTGATGCTTCTGTTCGTTTTACAATAGGAAGGTTTAGATTTCATTGTAAAGGAACACATTGCAGGAAGACCTTTCTTCTTATACTGGGCCCCCGATGCAACGCATACTCCACTTTATGCATCCAAGGAGTTTCAAGGCACAAGCCAGCGTGGACTATACGGTGATGCTGTGCGAGAACTTGATTCTGGTGTTGGTAGAATTCTCACTAAACTGAAGGATCTGAAAATTGAAAACAACACTTTTGTTCTGTTTACATCTGATAATGGCGCTGCCATCGTTTCACGGACGGCTGGTGAGTTTGGGGTTTGCTAGTTTTGGATCCATGGTATGAATGTAGTATTCTGTCTTTCTACAGGAAGCCATTGCGTTCATTGACAAGCAAGCTAAACAGCAGCAACCATTCTTCCTGTACTGGGCGCCAGATTCAGCACACCGCCCTCACTATGCTTCTAAAGCTTTTCAAGGACGTAGTCAGCGTGGTTTGTACGGCGATGTGGTCATGGAGTTAGACGATGGCGTAGGCCGTATTCTAAGTTCGCTCGAAAACCTGCAGATTGCTGAGAATACATTTGTGATTTTTTCGTCGGACAACGGAGCGCCTCTGAATGCCAAGTCCGATGGTACATGGTTTTGTTTCAACTGCACCAAAAAAATAACTCACTAACGTTTATTTATGTATTTGTGCATGCAATGTATAATACTTGTCAGCAATTTGAAAAAAAGAGTCCCTGTGTCACTAGTTCCTTTTTTTTAAATTTGATTTTTTACATTAATTTCGTTTAAATTGTATTATATGTAGTTTTCAACTCAATACTTAATCATGCAATAGTGCATTTGATGTATTTTATTATTAGTTTGCAAATTTTAAGCGTGTAAAGTATTAGAATTTATTTGTTGTAAAGAAATGTGTTCATAGGCAATTTAGAAATAAGGTACAGATCTCCCTGTTTGCTGTGTTCTAGTTTTAAAAAGGTTTCTGTCATTGTAAATAAGAGAAAAAAATAATGAGAAATGCTTGATATATTTTAAAATTAATAAGTTACTTACATCAGTTGTTAATTTGTTTAGGTGGCAGTAATGGTCCATTCCTCTGTGGAAAGGAAACCACATATGAAGGTGGTATGCGTGAACCAACCATTGCTTGGTGGCCTGGCAAAATTCCAGCTGGAAAAGTAAGAAATTGTCTTATACTGTATTTGGTTTAATAATTCTTGGTATATTATATTTTTTTAATATTTTTTCGAAATTTTTTTCTTTGGCTGTAGTGACTAGAAGAGCTTAATTATCAGTGTTGTAATATTATTTCGTTTTTTATGTTACAGCACATTCAGGGCTTGCTTATATGTGCTATACAAGAATGAACTATTATTATTATTATTATTAAAATTATTAGTCTTTGAAAAATATGGGTGTTATACTTACTGATATCCATTAAGGATTCTTAAAAAAAGTGAATGTACATTACCAGGGCCCTACATATAATTGTAACATTTATAGTACAGTATAAAGCATACAGTACGTCATTTTTGGCATTTTTCTTAGTTTTATGTCACTTGGTGACTGGCCAAGCAGGTAATAACAGGGTTTGAATTTTCCCACAGCACCAACAATTGCTATAGAAAGCGCCGTGCACTGTTATGAAATGAATGAAGGGCGGATGAGCAAGCTTTTTGCTGTTGAGTCACCAGGCCTAGCAGTGGATTATACAATTTCATTTATAGAATAGGCCGCCTTAAAAAATTTACGAAGCTTGTTGCTGTAGAAGAATAAATTGCTGTAGTAAAAGCCATAGTCCACAGCAACTATTTGCTGATGGAGCATTTTGATCAAATATGAACCATGAATAATATTAATAATAATAATAATAATAATAATAATTGTATATGTATATAGAACATTTGCCCCTATGTGATTGACACAAAAATTATATAATAATAATAATAATAATAATAATAATAATAATAATAATAATAATAATTGTATATTTATATAGCACATATTGCACATTGCCCCTATGTGCTTTACACAGAAATTATATGATGATGATAATAATAATAATAATAATAATAATAATAATAATTATATATTTATATAGCACACATTGCCCCTATGTGCTTTATACAGAAATTATATAATAATAATAATAATAATAATAATAATAATAATAATAATAATAATAATAGTAATAAAGCTAAACTACTCCTATTCCTTACACCAATTGATGGATGGCCATTGACTCTGAGGGGCTCATTCGTGCTTCGTTCATCTGCTGAATTGAAATTGAATTGAACAAATATTTAATTCATGCTAATATTTTATCTCAGGTTAGTCATCAGCTAGGTAGCGTTATGGATATATTTAGCACAGCTCTTGATTTGGCTGGGATTGCAGCACCCAGTGACCGTATATATGATGGCCGTTCACTTCTGCCAGCTCTTCTCCATGATGATATTGATTCTAATAAGACAATATTTTATTACCGTGGTAACGAAATGATGGCAATTAGGAAAGGTCTCTATAAAGCTCATTACTGGACGTGGACAAATTCCATTGATGAATTTATGAAGGTAAAAATAAATCTGTTTGTGTTGATTGTAAAAAAATATTTATTTGAAGTTGAGTTGTATATAGGCCAAGAGGAGTAGAATAGCTTAGTGGTTAAGATGCCTGCCTTCTAATCCCAGGGTCCTGTGTTGAATTCCTGTGATAGCAGGTCTTTTTCTCACAACTAAAACTCCACTCTCTAAACCACTTAAGGAGACTTCACTGACAGAAGCATCACATTATTTCAAGAGAGCCCCTGAATATCAGCTGATCTTCTAGGATACGCTGGAAGAATCACCCTCTATGAATATGGTTTAAAGAAATAGGGCCATGGTTCTATAAAATAATATGTCTTTTCCATGTCTGTTGAATTTTTAACTATACACTGTTTACTCCCAACAAGTTTGTTTGTTTACTTTTTACACAAACAGGGCATCAACTTTTGTAGGGGAGAGAATGTCAGTGGAGTAATGACACATGCACAAACAAACCACACCAAACAACCTCTTCTGTTTCATCTAGGCCGAGATCCTGGTGAGAAGTACCCTCTTAAGTGAGTATTTATCCCTCTTCATTGCGTACTTAATTCACTTTATTTATTTGCTATAGATACTAGGATTGTTGGAAAGACACTTTTACAGCAAAGCCTAGAGTAATTTTACTTTGTTATCCATTTTGTTTGTGATTTATCAGACCAGCCAGTAGTGAATACAAAAGTGTGATAGCTGATATTGAAAGTGTGGTAGCAGAGCACAAGACCAATTTGAAACCTGGTGTTCCTCAATTAAATGTGTGTGATAATGGAGTGATGGTAAGTACAGTATTTTTAAATAGATAATATGAATATTCCAGTCAAGCTGCATGTATTTTGGCACATACTCATTCATGAGGCCAAAAATATAATAACAACTTCAAATGCCCAGTCCTAGTTTATCCAAAATCGCAAACGTGTAGATTTGAGTGATGGTTAGATATGAAGTCTAGGATTTGGCCTGTAACACCTGGACACTGAACAGCTCTGAGGCTTCTTAACCAGATTATACCTTCACAACTAAATTTTTAAAAACCACAACTTCAGATACAGAATAAAGTCATCAAAACTGTTAGTCATCACACAAATCATCATTTGTTTCATCATTCATAAAGGGTTATTAAAATTATAATAAAAGACGTGGTTCTCTGCAGCGGGAACGATTTAATTTCCCAACATCGAGGTCGGGATTACAATCTTTGCTGTGCGCTTCACTTGTGTCCTTGAGCAAGGCACTTTATCTGCATTGCTTCTCTCCACCCAGGTGTTTGTTTTTTATTCGGTTTCAACCTTACAAAAGTACAATATAGATGAAATTACAAAAAAATATTGAACATTAAAACTTGAAACCAGGATAACCCATAAAGTCAAAAAAACTAACTTATTTCCAATGGGATCCAATATATATAGGTACCTACTGCGCCAATATGGCAGCAACACTGAAGCATGTGGACCCATAACCAGGGAAAACAAAGTACTTTGTAAACTAAAGGAAAAGGCGCTATATAATACCAAGTAACAAAATAACAAATAACAAAATTACAAAACAATAATAATAGATTACACTATGCAAGAGGAAGGACAAAAAATACATTGGTTTTACTGAAATTTTCCAATTGTTTTTATTCTTTCAGAATTGGGCCCCTCCTGGATGTGAAAAAGTGAATAGTTGTTTAAAAGGAGTTCCGTCTAATCCACAGAAATGCACATGGCCACATTAATATCTGGTTGTCATAGCTCCACCAGGATTGGATAAAATATACACAGTACTGTAATGTATAAACAAATTTAACTTAAGCTCAAAGCATTATGATGTTTTATAAGGCGTGGCGCTTTTGGAATCATATCGGATTCGCTTGTACTTAATAAGATAAACTCAAGTATTAAATATTTGTAGGATGAATCATCGCACTATTGGAATCGTCATCCTCAATTAAAATTATAATGACAAGTACATTTTAATTATACACAGTATTAATGCTAAAATAAACTTAAGTATTATAAATTGTAGTACAAAGTACTTTGCTATTGGAATTATCCTGAATTATTACATTTTGATGGCAAGTAAATTTTAATTATACAGATAATTATATGTATATGTATATACACATACATATCCATGTATATGTATATAAATAATAATGTGGACAAAAAGTGTGCTATTAACAGGAGAGACTCTACTTAATAGGGTGTCCTATACTGTATACTGTGTATCAGATAAGCAACACCCATGAATATTTTTGGTAAATAATAACTGAATGACTGAACATTAGTTTTTTATGAAATCTGCATGAAATAATATTAAAAGATATATATTGAAATACTATGAAGAAATAATATTTATATAATATATGATCTGATATTCTTTTGTTTTATTAAGTTGATTACATTTTTTAACCTTGTGAAGGGATACTTTATAATTGTGATGCCAGTATTATATTTGTTAGCTTTGTATTTCAGTTATTAAATATAATAATATGTTTATGACTGATCTAAATTCATTTTTATATTAAATTCCATTTTATTATATCAATTTGATAATGATTGATTAGCCTGCATAAAGTTATGTAGCAATGGATATTACCGCAGTTTTTAAAACATTTAGTTTGAATTATCCAGATAAGGTTTTATTATAAGCATAAAATATTACAACTACAGTTACCTAGGAACACACTGCATTGGCTAACAGTTTGCACAGCTGGCGGAATGATTGACAATACAATGTTGATTGCTGATTGTCGCTGCAGTTTGAGTGCATACCTTAAATGCTCGAATAAGCGCCGCTCTCAAATAAACACTGCTCTCAAATACGCGCCGCATGCAAATAAGCACCGCTGTGTTTAATCAAGTGTATAATATTACGCTGTGTGTAATGAAACACTGAGAAACAGGGTTTTAAATACAATGGTACAATAAAATGAATAAATAACACAATGAAGACACAAGCATTTCTTATAAACGTTTATTTACGATGATAGGACCTATGATAGGCTTACTGAACTACCGGAGTATGTGAAGTAAATATCATGGGAACGGGCATGGAAACCGCCGCACCAATATTTTATTTATTAGCACCGCTCTCGAATAAGCGCTGCACTGAAGCCTTCAAACATTTTTTTTCATCATAGTTGACTCCTTGTGTTGTGGTCTTCATGTAACCATGTTGATTGACCATCAGCCAGTGCAGTGTGTGCCTAGGCTTGTATGATTTCAAGGGAAAGGGCCACTTCTACAAGCACTAGGCTAAATGTTATTACTTTCATAACTCCATGCATGAAGTAAATTTAGATTTTGTTTGTACAACATTCATTACAAATGTATTTATAAGGGAAGTGGGGACACTACAGGGAAGGAGTACACTACATTCCATTATGGGAAATGTATTCCTCCATGATTCCACCATGGCACTATATAATCCTATTATTCTGAGTCAAGTATGCATGAAATGAAATCATGGCCTGACAGAATTTTAACCCAGGATGCTTGGTGACATTGAAAAGGAAGTTGGTTAAAACCACAAAGCTATAATTCAGCTCTCTGAATTAATTTGAGAAACAATTCAAAGTCTTCCTTGTTCTTGTACATTCAATTACAGTACTGTATTACTGCTTTAAATTTTAGATTTTATTGTGCTAAAAACCATTTGGGCTTTTTTTTCATCAAGTTGTATTCCTTAATTTTAACTTACCTGCTAATGTATGGTAAATTGTAGAAAACCATCTTAAATGATCAGTTGGCCCAATTTACAATAAGCTGATGACAATTGGATTCTCAATCAAAATATAACTATCTTTAAAATACAATGATTAAAAGTGTGTCTTAATAGCAAATCTAGGAGAATATACTAGCTTGTTTTTTTAGCCCAGATCGTTGAGATACCAAACAGAGGAGATTTATGGGTTTGAATCTCAATAGCAACAATATGTTGTTCTTTTTATTAAAAAAAAGGTGTTTATACATTAGCAATGGAGGTGTTTCTCCATACAATAAATAATATTGCTGTCATGTTAATTTAAAAGGATAAGGTGGGGGTATTTATTGGAGTCATTCCCCTTTCATGGGTGTGGGGTATTCATTAATTTCATTCCCTACTTTAGTAACAGTGGTTTGCATTTATAAAGTGTTTATTACTCTTCTGATCCATTTGGTTTGATCACTGAGTTAACTAGGGTCCATATTTTAAGACACACAGTCTTATGTTTTATCATGGACCTATAACTGTCTCTTTATATCCAGGCTTTAAATTCTGAATAATTTGTATACAGTATGCTATTAAACGGTATTAATATTTTATACCATTTCAATATTTTTAAGAGGTTCTATTATGTGAATAAACAAGAAATTAAAACTATTTTACAAGTCTTATGTAATCTTTTTTTTTTAACTGTGAGCCAAAACTGAGTGGATGATGCTGGAGAGTGTTGTACTTACAATTTTATGAGTGAGGAAAGCTATTGTCTTTATTTTGTGCCATTCTTTATATAAATATGAAACTTAATATATGATCATTTTAGCACTGAACTTAAAAAATATGGTTTTTGCCATGTTTAATGAATTCCTTACCCACCTCTGTTCATATTAGGAGGAAAATCGAATTTAACAGATGATGATAATAATAATAACATTGATAATACTAGTTATGATGACGACGACGGCGACAACTATGGAGAAACAATGAACGTTTATGAAATATTATTGTTTGTCCTATATTTCGTTATGAATATTTTAAATTCTGTGTAAGGGCTTATATCTTATATTCGTGCATAATACCTTGTCATTAATACAATAATTTCCTGAACCAATACGTAAATTTCCTTTTCAATTCCTGTTAATAATTATCACAATTGATACCACAATTGCTACTTCAGTTTCAGGTCATACAGTTCTTGTGTAGGAGGTCTTGCGTACCCCCTTCCTTCCTCTTGACCTGAACCCCTTATTCTAAACATGGAAGATATTAGAATAATTTATCTGAACCAAGTTCCCTTTCTTTAAAATTATAAATTTTGATTTTATGTAGGCTGACAAGTTAATAATAAAGTTTGAGATAACATTATTTTTTATTATATTAACTATTAATTTCTTGTTTATAAATATTCATGCTTAATCTTGTAATATTTTGTCATACGTAGGCCTATGTGCAAACATTGTACTCTCGGCAGGTTTCCTCCGGTAGGGTACTTGCAAAACGACTGAATCCACAGTGGCGGCCATACAACTTACATTTATTGTAATATTAATTAACTGAGAAATGTCGACAGTACTGTTATAATATATCATAGACCTAAATTACATTTAGGACATGGGTGGGCATAAAAATCGGTCGGAGGGCCAAAGTGAATTTTTGATTTAACACCAAGGGCCGCTTCTAAACATTGATGTTTCCAGTGAGCTTCCAAAAACCTCCAAGCACTGCTTTTACATCGCTTTATTCTCAGTTTTAATGCTACTTTTTACATATGATTGGTGTCGGGCCGTAAAAAACAAGGTGTTTTCTAGACAATTATGATTGGCGGGCCGCAAACATAAGGTTTTTAATTCATTGTCGCGGGCCGCAAAAAAAAAAATCGCTGACGGGCCGCACTTCGCCCACCTGTGACTTGGCATTACTCTGCGATTTACACTAAATTATAAAACGCTGAAAAACACTAGATTGTCGTAGCAGGCACTGTTATTATCATAGGCCTAAAAGATAATGAATGCAATAGAATTACGTATGAAGGCTAACAATAAGCACATAGATAAACATCTTATTTTGCTACCTAGCACTTCCTAAATCATCGAGCTCCCCCTCACACCCCTCCCCTGATTTCAAGAATTCTATACACTCTGCTGTATTTACGAGCTACTACCGGTATTAAATATTTCAATATATTAATGTAGGCATACAGTAATCACATTCTAACAAATGGTTAGCTCTCTCTTTTGTGTGTCCTGGTTGTCGTTTACTACAATTCGACCACAAATATTCAAACTGTGAGGTCTTTACAAATATATCAGATTCCCACAAACGTACACAAAGAAAGAACAATGGCAGAGTTTTCGTAGATTTAGTTTTGTATAAATGGAAAAAGTTACCCAATTCAGTACTTTTATGTTCGTCAAGGAGACTAAGGACATTGTTGTGAAAGCAGCGCTTATCACGACAATCCACATTCAACATACTTTTTGTACGACTTTGCTCTAGGTGACATAATGGTATAATTTAAAGAAACACTGCCTGCCAAAATAACGGGAAAAAACGGGGAAAAAATAATAGCTCATTTGAAAGGATTAAATAAGTTATTAAATTCTAAGCAACACTATATCGAAAAAGAAAAATAGTTTGTGCTGATTTCGAAATGTTATTACAAAAATGCATAAATTTATTACCTGTCAATTTAAGGGTCTTGAGGTGTATTATATTTACTGTTCGTTTTCTCCATTTTCTCTTGGAACGATCATCAGTACTGTTGATGAGGCCTACCTAGATAAACGCAATGGAAAATTACCACAAAATTCTATTTAGGAGAAATTACATTACATGTACTTTTTTCTATAGGGGGTTCCCCATTTTCTGTGCGAAATTTCAAAGGATTATATTATTATGTAGTACAGTAATTACTGCGCTGTAACTGTTGCTATGGTTTCTGACGTCATTAAGTGGATTCGAGTGACTATTGGCCAATAATGATGTAATCACATTACAGCCAATTGCAATGGCAGAAGGAGAGATCGTCGAGAAATAAACCAATGAACAAAAAGTGTTCGGCACATTCATCGATAGATCGTCGAGTGATTAAGTACGTGTAATTGAGAGAGCTACAGAACAGTTTTATCGCATTTTCAGGTCAACATTTGTTTCCAATATGGACGCTTCATTACTAGATGTGTCGAATACTTGTTTGAGTTATCTTGATTCACCTGAAAGCTTGTATTCAAGTCAAGGTGCGTTTGCAAATACAGTGGACCTCGACTCGGATGAGTTGTTGGCCGCCATTTCTCTTTCATTGTGGGTTTAGTGTGGCGGAGTAATATTTGCTTTTAACTATATTCACTATAAATGTACTCGCACATTAATTAGAATTTGCAAAAATAAATCACTTGTTATATAGGAAGATGTTAAATTGTCTGGAAGTTATTTGTTATGACAATTAAAATGGAATAATTCATTCATGAGACAAAGTAGTACCGTCGTAATAAGTCTAATCCCTAGGGCGTGACGAGTCATGTGATCTTTATGCAAATATTTTGTGGGTATGGCATCGCGCGCATGCCCATTCAATCGACATGAATGAATAATTTGCCGTCTCGCGCCAATAGTTAACCAAGGATGATTATTCCTACATATGATATATCATTAAATGCTAGACTGCAGGCTTAGGCTAGGCCTAGTTTGTGGTACAGTATGTTACCAGTAATCCGTCTAACTAAAATTCTGTGTGTTGGTTTTTTTTAAAAAAAGTACTCGAGCGAGTCATTATAACTATATAATTAATAATAGGCCTAGGGCATTCCCTAGTAGTAGTAGTACTAGGCCTAGTAGCCTAGCTAGTAGAGCTAGGCCTAGTCTAGAGTAGTAGTATTACTATTAATTAGCAGCTGAGCAGCCTGGCTAGGCCTATTTTATAGATTAAAAAAGAACACTGGATGGACCAGTGAAGTGGTGTAACTACTGTAGGGCCTAGACCCGGGGGTTGCATGCCTCCTCCACCAAATAAAAGCTTGCTACACACAGGCCCCCATTGAAAATGTCCAAAACAAAGAAATTATTATAATCATGCTCAAGTTTTAAAACTGTCCTATATTTTGAGACCTAGCAGTTGCCCCTTTTCACTTAAATATTGAGGGGCCTCACTCACCTTTGCAATCTGATGATATTTTGTCTGTACCAGACCTCAGTTCAGGTTAATCTGATGTTGATAAATATTGTACTGCCTTTATCAATTTGTATACTGGTTGAATAGCATACTCATTTCTTATTCCTTATTTATTTATAGATGGTAGTGAGAAAGTTGAGGAAAACCGATTTTTCCCTCAAGACAGCCCAGCAAATAATTGTAAGTTTTAAATTTAACATAGTAAATATATATAAAAGGAACATTTTGTTTCATGAATAGAGAAGTTTTTTCTATGTGCATTTAGTAAACTGAAGTTACTAGGCCTCACCAGGCAGTTATACTTTTGTAGTTTGAAAATCATCACAAATATTATGTACTAGGAACATTTTTATTGTTGAAATGCTCATATCTAAAAATATAAAGAATGGGAACTTGCTCTTCCCTGCTTCCCACAAAGAATTGCTTGTATGTAGATGTCACCTTATTTATCCCCGTTATTGATTACAGATCCAGCATTAGATACTGTGATGGGGGAATCTATTATGTTATCTAATTTCCAAGACAACATTTCACTTGATGCCTTTTCCAACTCGCCTGGCACACCAATGAGTACATCGACTGATTCCACAGACATGTCCCTACCAAACAGTCCGTCTTTGGATTTGCTTGACGATGACACAGTGCAGTCAATTGTATCAATGTTTGCCAATGAGGAAGCAACAAGTCCCGTGTCTGTCGGTAACAAACGCCCATTTGAAGTCTTTGAGAAGTCCTCAAATACATCATCAAAAAAGATTTGCCTGCATTCGACTTCAAGCAATCCTCCAACTCAAAAGAAATTTGATTTCACAACAAAAACTACAGACTTCAAGGAGGAATCAAAGGCATCTATTGTAGCCAGCTTAGCAGCAAAGGTATCTGGAAGTGACAATTTGAAGCAACGGACAAGGTATGTTAATCTGCTGATTTAAACAAATCAGAGTTTTTTTTCTCTCTCTTTTTTTTTGTGACAAAATAAGACATATTTCCCTAAATTCTGCTTTTTAGGTTATTTGCATTAAAAGAAAAATATAGTTATCTAAATATAATTTTTTATGTTTATTTTGTCTCCTCAGTTTATTGTTACCACCCAGGTTGAAGCAAAAGAAGTTGCCAAACTTGAACTTTTGCCCACCAAGCAAGCAGGACAATATTGAGTTGAGTATAATTTCTCAGCCAGAGAAGCAGCACAGAGCAAGGTACCTAACAGAAGGTAGCAGAGGTTGTGTCAAAGATGAAAGCCAGCTTGATTTCCCAGCTGTAAAGGTAAGAAAATGTATCAAAAAACTTAGTTATATTACAGTTTATTTGCATTAAAAATATGGAAGTGAAATGTGGAATTATTTTTAACATTTTTATTTTAGCTGACAGGCTGGTTAGAGCCAGTCACTCTGCAAGTGTTTGTGGGAACAGATCAACAAAAAGTAAAACCACATGGATATTACCAAGCTTGTAAAGTGTATGGCAGGACTACAACTCCATGCAATGAGGAAGATGTTGATGGTACAACAGTAATTGAAATTGCTTGGGAACCCAATAATGACAAGATGGAGATGTTGTAAGTAACATGTATTATTATGGCCTGATTTCCATCTCAATGTAATACTTAATAACTGTCAAGATGTTTTTGGAGCCTGTCAAAGAATATTGGCATTTAAACAGAATATTGGGAGTTTAGGGGTGACCATTGGAACCACAGTTTGTTAGTTCTATTATGGGCTGTGGCAAGTGATTGATCAGTTCCTTAATGTGCAAACAAAATTCTTTCTGATTGTGGTTACAACTTGTGTTGCAGATAATTAAAAAATGAAATATACCATTCCAATTTATTATATTTGCTTTCAGTATTGATTGTGTTGGTATTCTGAAGTTGAGAAACGCAGATGTTGAAAAGAGAATAGGTCTTGCAAGGTGCAAGAGGAAAAGCACAAATGTGAGATTGGTGTTCCGTGTCAACATTCCTCAACCGGATGGAAGCATCCTGACCCTTCAAACTGCATCCAGATCCATCTCATGCAGTGAGTACGCATGAAATTCTAGTAGCAGGAACAATATTACAAGATAACTCTATATTAACACTGTATATTTGAGAGTTTGTAGGATATTATGTAGATTCTGATATACATATTGAATTTTCTTATACAATATCTAGCTCAGCCACAGGGGCATCCTGAAATCTCTAAGAGGAGTTGCAGCTCTTGCTCTGTAAAGGGTGGTGAGGATCTTTTCATCATCGGTAAAAATTTCCTTAACAAGGTAACGGAGGTAAAAATTCAGGAAAGACATCCTAATGGAACACTGATATGGGAAGCAGACTGTGAGGTTGACAAGTCCTTATTTCATGGAGTAAGTGAAATGTGAACTTTGACATGAAGTGTTTTTGGGTATCATTGCTTGCAGTTTTAATCATATACCTGTGATGAGTTCATTCTACATAAAAACAAAAAAAAAAACTTTCCTCGGGTCCAGACAACGGTGAACAGAGTATTTTTAGTATTACATATCTATAAATGTGTTATTTTATTCAAATTATTGTATTGTTTTTTTTAGACTCATATCGTGTGCACCATTCCACCATATAAAGATCAAGAGGTTGAAAATGATGTTGAGACAGTAATGATGGTAACTACTGGGCCTGGTAAATGCAGTGAGCTGCATCCTTTTACTTACACCCCTCGTCCAGGTATGGTTAATGTTTTTATGACTCGATTGTTTGGTTGTGGTTTTGAGCTGCGACCACCAGGGGATGTACCTGTAGGTGCCTAACAGCACTTGGTAATTAATGACACTACAAACATGTTTCCTAAAAACAAGAATCTGTACAGGGTTTATTTTGAATGGATTCAAATTTACGTTTTTAGTTCTTTGTGAATAAAAAATTCAATATTAAACCAGTGATAGCAAAAATTAGGGAGTAGAAACAAAATTATAGGAATTCAAAGATGATGAAAAACAAATGTGTCTAACCAAGTTGTGAAGAAATTTGTATGAGAAGTGCATCAACGGGTCTCCCTGTTTTTGCTGAAGCAAATCAAATTATGAATCCTCAAGTAAAGTACACACAAGTGACCAAAAAAAAATTTACCCAATTTTGTTTGGAAATATATAGATAGGAACATCAATTTTGTATATCTACTTCAATATAGTATCTGAAGTAAACATATATTTTAATGGACGGTTGAAAAGTAAGATTTTTTTTTATGAATTTGTGTGTGCTTTGCTAAGGAAAAAAAGTATATTTTGAAAACAATTTTCATTACAAGTGGTTTCAATTGGTTGAAAAATAGTTTTGAATTTACATAGAAACTATATATAAAATTACAGAATTGTTATTTCATTGATTATATTACAAGGTAATGAACTAAAGATTTTTGAAGTATACTTACTTGGGTCTTCAGCAGATTCGTGTGGTCCGAGATTGTTTAACATAACATAGTTTGTCGAAGTAACCATGACTCAACTGCACATACTAAAATTCAAATAATTTTAATAAGATTTTGGGAATGTTATTTTCAAGTACATCAGATGAGTTGCAGTAAGGAGTGTTTTAGCTATATATATTTATAGCATTATTTCGCACATAAATTTACACTAAATAAATATTGCGAATTTTTGATGCAGTTTAGACATGGTTTACAATTTGTATCTTGATAAATCATAGCCATTGTTCAAAATTTTAAACAAAAAAAGAATATATAGAGGAAAATGATTTTTTTTCCCTGCATTTCTGACAATACAATGGCATTGATTTTATTGAAATGTATTTGAGGGAGCTTATGTTTGCCCAACACAGGTGAAATCGATTGGAACATACACATTATTTTAAAAAAAAGGCATGTGTTACACAATTTTTTCCAAAAATATTGGCAATGTTCAAGATTTAAAAAAATAAATATTGATTTAGAAATACACTAAAAATTTAATGTTATAATGTCAAACGTTTCAGTTGATTTCTACCTTCAATAGTGCTTTGCCCTTGCAAGGTCAGTTTCTAGAAAAGTTAACACTAGTTGATTAAAGTAGCAGAGACGACTTCCCTGAATGTTTTACCAAATGGGGCTTGCCATGCCAAAGCCAGCATCAGTGACCAAAACAAGAAAATTGACGTTTTAATATATTCATATTTCTCCACATTATAAGCTTTAAAATGATAATTTAGTGGAGTAGACTTACTATTGCCAAACTTATGAGTAAAAGTAGTACAGCTTCTCTGTACAATGAATAAAATGCTTCACATTCTTGTGCTAATTACTCAGTTCAACATTTAGCGACAATATGCTGTTTTTGTAATGGCAAGGCTCAAATGGAGATGCTAGCAGTTCAAATGGTGGATCTTGGTTGGGAAAACCAAAGAAATCAACCACTAGTGGATACTTTTCTAGAAGCTGTACATTGTTATTTTGTATTGATATTTCCATGTTTCTTAATCCCGGGTCGGTGTCCCCTCTTCCAAGTGGGAAGGGTCAAGAGATTTACCGCAAACAATTTGTTTTTCTTCAGATGTCAAAACCAAATGGACGCTTTTGCACACTTTGTGCAGTGTAAGCGCAGCACTGGCACGTTAACAAGCTTTGAAGCCTGTTAACGTTCGTCCATGTTCCTGCGGAATTATGGTAGTACATCGGCCACTGTTATAGAGTACAGTACCGTTAATCTTTTATCTTTAAAATCAAAAATCAAATCTTGCTCTATGTCAGGTTTGCACATCCTTAATAGAAACTGTATAGAAATCTTAACTGTGACAAGTCTGTGGTGTGTTAAAGTCATAAGAAAAATTTTTTAACAAAACTGAAGATTCACTGGCCTTTTTTGGCTTATAGTGACTTCAATGTGTAAGCCAGGCATAGAAATCACTTCTGATTCAAATTGTCAGTTAATTCTCATACGATAACTATCAATTGGGAAAAACATTTACCTTCAAAAGAACAAAATTTAGATAATTTTTGATATTTAGCAAGAGACTCGCATTTATTTTTTGTTTTCATTGTTGTAATATTTTAAAAGTTGTAATTTTTTAATGACTAGGATTAATTGCATGTAGCGATTTTAAGGTGCTTAACCAAGATAATTTTTCCCAAGGAAGGAAAGAAAAGGAATGGCCTGATGCTGGATCCTGTAACTTGTTTCTTTAATTTGCAGGTGCTTGAAGAACAGCCACCCAGCACCCCAAGACTTGACCTGACTTGACCTCATGACTAAAATTAACCAACTTCTCTCTTCTATCACTAAAAATACTAATTGAATTTGGCTAGATCTGCCTCAATACAATTTTCTAACTATCTAAAGCAATTTAAAACCACTAGACTAAATTCAGCAGCTTAAATAAATTCCACTTTCACCGCAATGTTTAAATGTGAATTTTAAAATATTACCTAAAAATTATACTATACATGAAATATGACTTGTATAGAATTAAAATTGAACAATAACTTGAAAATCCAATGTTGGAATATATACCACACGTATGATAAAAGAATTTCACTTTAAACCATATTTGTTTTTTATATTGATTTATATTGCATATTGCCCGATTCTGGAAACTGAGCTCATTCAAAATGATGTGACGATTTAAAAACTATTTAACTTGAGAGAAGGTTGATCTCAACAATAAATGTAATGAGACCTGTTCGGTTAATAGTTAACCAAACGTTCATCAGAGATTTGAGAACAGATGAAGGATGAAGGGCATTTCAAATTGATACATATGAAAATAAAAACAAATATAGTTTGTATTTATAGATCGTAAATTGTGGGGAAAGTGAGCTCTTTTGTAATCAATTCGACTGACATAAATGTACTGACAATCCCATAGCCCCTGATGCTGTTGCCATTTGATATTGAACATTTTGGTCTCACTTGTTATGTTTTGCCTCAACAGAAAGTGAACGGAAGCCACAAACATTCACTTCATCTCTGACACAGTCACTGAGTAGTTCATTAGGTAAGTCTCAGGCTAATTAGCATAATCTCAAAGTGCATAATTAAAATAATCTACTTTAATTTTACTTTAAATTTAGTGAGAACAAAAATGGTAAAGAAAACATTTGTAAAAGTACAAATTTATTTTATCTTTGATCATAATTTTCCCGTTTAGTTATCAGCATAATGGAGATAATGCTGTTGAAAGTTCATATTCACTTTAAATTTCTGTGTGCTGACTTTGACCTTTTTTCACCTCCAAGTGTGCCAGTCAATTTGAATAATGTGGTAAAACATTTTCTGTTTACAAACTTTTATTTTTCTACAGTGTACGATAACGAACAAGTACTGAAGAATATTTCGGTGAACAGTTCAGTGAACGACCTTACGAGTCTAGTGACTGACAAACTACAGATGCCCATCAATCAACCTGGATCTCTCACCACAAGCTTATCGACACCGTCAACGATTCAGACACCGTTCGAATTGTCATTATTCATTGCTTCCCAGCAATATGTGGACCAACCCAGCCTGACGACCCAGTTACAGATGAATGAAGGTAGATATAATTTGTTACTTTGTAAAGGATAGCTCTGACATATGCAGATGTTGTGTAAAATTTGAAAGGCCTCTACATGGTTATCTATAATTAATGGCTTGACAGCATGGATAATAGCAGTTTATTTAAACAGATGATGACGATGCTTTATTTAGAAGAACCTGGTTGATTTTGGTGCATGTTGAAGCATTACTCAGAAATAGATACCATGTTCAAGCCTTTTATGTTTCAACAACTGAATGTGACTGGGAACCCATGGCTATTCCATTTACCTCTCACGGCGACATTATTCTAAATGCAATTTCAAACTAATTGTAGGCTTTAACGGGTACCAACCACAAGTAAATGAAGGTGAGAATGAAAGGTTGCCTGAAGGCATGACAGATGTAACAAGAATTGATGGCAAGATTGAAACGTTGCCTGATGGCTTGACAGATGTAACAAGATATCTGGAGAATAAACCCTTTGACGAATTCAAAATGATTATGGACAACATCAGTGTGCCATCCAATGATATGACCTCCTACCCTAAACAAATTGATGAACACTGGGGTGCCACTGGCCAAAATTCCTGCATCACGATAGAAGATGGTATTGTATTCTTTCCTTTCCAGTCTCGTTTCTAAAATTATTTTGTTTCTCTCCTACTGTCTTTGTATTTCAGGTGACCCTTGATGTTAAAACATGTAGCAGCATTCACTTAATATTAAAGAACATTCAACAAGAGCGCCCTCTTCGAAAATGTGCACTGTAGATTCTTGTTGTCTATATGTTCTTTGATATTAGTATAAAGATATTTCTTTGTGGCAAATCATATATTTACATGTTACTTACATTATTTTTTTTCTCTTTTGCAGTTGCTGAGGTTCTTGGGATTGGAAGTTCACACTGATCTGACAAGGTTTACAATTACTGTACAAATGTATATAAACATACTCCTATTCATACACAAGAAATATTTTGTTATATCTGTTGTAAATAACTGTAAAAAAAAATATTTGTAGTAAAGTATAAAGGTGTTTTGCAAAAATATCTTATTTATATACGTGGAATATTTCACGCTAAATTAAAAAGCATTGATTGTTAATTCCTTTTGTGGGAATAGTTAAAAATTAAAGCTAGTTTTATAGCTTTAGTTTGCTCCAGAGTACCTTGATGTTTAAAAATAGTCAACATATTAATCAGCTGATTTTTTGATTATTTAACTGGACAAATACCTATTTCATTGGGTTTTTATGTTTCATCTACTTGCCATTAATTTAAAAAATATGAACTATAATCCTGTAATAAATTAGTATCTGGATTAGATTGTATTGAGAATACAAGTAACTTGCTTTGAGACTTAAGCGTTTGCATCTAACAAATGCATAAACATCTTAACTGTATTTATTAGTGGTGCAATTTAAGTAGCATGCTTGTTAAATTAGACAATGTTTTTGAGTTGGAGTGAGTCTTTAGAATTGTGATATTATAATTCCAGAATTGTTCCTAATTCCTAATGTTGTTTAAACTTAAAAACATGCCAGCTTATATATGAGCATTGTTTATACATTGCAGTTAAATGGACTGAAGTATGATTTGATAATACAAACCTGTTTGATAGCCCAAGTAGTAGTTAGCCCAAATTATATACATGTACTACACTAATTGGCACACAGCCATTTGGATCACTTTTGATGTACAGTATACAAACCATGCAGTGCAATAAGATTGTGGTATGTACATCTGTATCTGCTCACAACATCTTGGGCTGGACTTGTACAGAATATCGATTCAATCTATTTGGAAAGCAAATTAAACTAGACTTTAGTTTATTGAGAAATGCCTTTTCATTTTAAATTTTTTTTAAATGTTTTTTATTACAAAATGATAATAAAAATTAAAAGAAAACATATTATAATTTTTGTCTTTTGTTTGTCTGATTTTGAAGTGTGAAGAGTGAGAAGCAGTGTTTACGTATAGACCCATTTTAAAGACATGGAAAATATTAGATTGTTGAAACAACATTTTACGGAGCTCACTACTAAAGTATAATATAGAAAATGTATGTGGAATACAAAAACATTCATTAATGAATAATTATTAATAAACAGTGTTATATTTAGATCGGTGTTGAGTGAACGCTGGTTTCCAAAAAAATCCTTTGGTCACGATGATTTGGAATTGGAGAGAGGGCGACAAATAAAGACTTTACTGACACCCGGCTGGTTTCAGCACCCCATTGAATTTACCATGCTTCACTTGCGTTAGAAATTGAATTTCCAACGATTTTTAGAAACTGGAAAACCTCAATTCATTGATTGTACAGTGTTTGATATTAGATTGTGAGAAATACGAAAACTACGGAGCTTCAGACAATACCACCGGTAGCTGATTTTAAGTACGATAGGCCTATTTAATACAAGTACAAAACGCATAATGAAAAAAAAAAATTACACAATAGGCCTATATTTGAAGTTGTAGCTTTGGCACCAATGGTTCCTGGGCTTTACACAATAATGAGAAGAATCAAACAAAAAAGTAAAACATTTGAAGAATATATATCCGGTTTTCATACAAGAGCTTGCCGAGTTTTTAAAAATTGAATTACAAAAAAATGATTTTCATGTGCTGCTCTTATTATGGAATGAATTAGGCCTACCCACCGACATCCGTTTATCTTTTAAATGTTTTTCTTTTCCAGCATAGGTCAAAAGCTTACCTTTTTTTCAATCTTGTATGAAGTGATTGACACAGAAATGTTGATATGTAAATAGTTTTTCTTATACAATTTAATAATTTAATTTATCGTGTGCACTTTGAGTAATGCCAACGTCGTTAGCGCCACTGAACATTGCATTGCCGTGGATATTGGCGCTTTACAAATTACTGTTGATTGATAAACAAGGGAAGCCTATCCATTTTTTTTTAAAAAGTAAGAAATATATATTACATGTAAGTACAGTCGGAAGAAGTGAGTTGGATGAAATTAGATTTATTTTATTAATCCTGCTTTACAAAATTTCCACTACAAAATTTATACTAATTGATTACAAGCCAATAAAAATGTTAACATTTATTACTGTTTAATTTAACTGTTTAAAAATGGATGAAACCCGAATTTCTGGTCAGTTTACCGGTTTATGCGTCCGATGACTGAGACTGACGAGGAACATGCTGTATCCTAATTTTTAATTGGGAAGTAATTACTGTACTATAACTTTACTTATTTAATATTATATCGCAAACTTTTTATTCAGACACAGGCAAACTAAAGTAGATCAGCGCCCTCTCACGTGCATAAATTTTAACAAAAACAACACAACCTGTAAAAAAAGTACGGTGATGATCCCGGTGATGCATGTGTTGTTTTAGAGTACAGTGCATTTAAGTAGAACTTAATGGAGGCTGTTAATTATTAGCTTCACGTTAATGTTGTATAATATTTAGAGAAAACCCTATTTATTAGTTGGAGGCGCGTAAGTATATTAAGAGGAAAATATAACTCCGAATATCTAGGCCATAGCCTAGCTAGGCTGCCTTCTCCTGTTTTGTACTCTCCAGCTGCAGGTGAATAATACACCGTCACCGCCCATCTTGATTTTGAGGATCGATGCATACCTAGGCCTAGATAGACACAGTCCAATAGAATAGATCGTTTTGTGACAGTGCTATAATCATGTCTGACACATGGAGTGATATACAGGCTGTCAAGAGGCGCCAAGAAAACCTTCGTGAGCGATTAAATAGACGTAAGAATGAACGACAGAATATTGCTCTTGCGGGAGCTGGTTCAGCAGGTAGCAGCTCTCCTTCTCAACAGCAGTCCAAATCAACTGACCAGCAACAGATTGCAACAATAGGCCCAGAGGTACTGTCTAGTGGAAGGCCACAGACAGCTGCAGATGATAATGTTGTGAAACAAGTACCACCTGAACCTGCAACTACCACCAGCAAGAGCTCATCCCGACTTGGGGGTCCTTCATCAGGCAAGTAAATCAGTACATATTGTATGAGATTATAAAAAAAAACACCTTTTAAATATAGGCCTATGTTGCATTAGTGTATCATTATAATATATGTAGAAATGACAAGCACCATTGCGGTAATGTCTAATAACTCTTCGCACAAAGGCTCTTAATCGTAATGTCGAGTATCAACTCAGACTTTCTAGGTTATTATAGTTACAACTTATCATTGCACAAAATACAGTTGTAATAATTTTATGAATTTATAAGTTAATAACTTACTTACCTACTCGACTTCATTCCTAAATTTGTCTCCTTACCCTCCCTCCATTCTTCTGGGTTCTGACCTTAATCTTCTCATTGTTCCAAGAGTTAACACCAAATCCTACGGCCACAGATCGTTTTTATTTTCAGCTGCCACACTTTGGAACTCCCTCCCTAAACATATTGACGGCTCACCTTCAGTTGCTATTTTTAAGACCAAACTCAACTCACCTTTTTAACATCTAAACATGCATAGCACCTTTGATTTTTACTTCGGTTTAGTGATATTGGCACTTTATAAATGATTATTATTATTGTTATTATTTATTTTTATTTCAATTTTTAGGCACACAAGGCCAACCACAGAGTGTCGGAGACAACAGTGCAACAAAACCATCAATATCTGAAGTAAAGACAGTCTTAAGTAACAAAGCAGAAACCGTTGATAAAATTAATCCAGAAATTGAAAAAAAGTTGCTGGAAAACTTAGGGAACCATGACATGAACCTTCCAATAGATTCTACAAGTATACACAGTTTAATATGCAAGGTAAGCAGTAGAGATTTAAGTTTTTGTGTACACTGTCAAATTTTATTTGATAAATAACTGTGATATGCCCATATTTGGTGTAATATGACATCACCATTTCCATATATGGGCACAAAAGTTTATCCCATAAAATTTGATAATGTGGACAGAGGAACATTAAAAATTAAAGCTGCTGTAATATGTGTCAAATAATAAGGCAAAAGAAAATTATTGTGTTTCCCAAGCAGTGTGGTATAAAAATGTATTAATTGAAGCTTGAGATATGGCCCTTTTGAACACAATTTTGAGCTGCCTGAAAAGATAAAAGTTTTCCTTCACCAAAACATAAATAAATAAGCCAATGTACAGTAGATTGTAGAGATTTTGGGTCGGTTAGGCTTTGCCAACACATTTTAGCAGTAAGTGATGATAACCAAATTCTACATTGATACTTTAAAATATGTTACTAATACTGTACGTTAAAATCAATTCTTTTTTTGAATTCACAGGAGTTAGAGGTAGAGGTCTCTCAGATTGGTATTCATAGTTTGTTAGAGAAGCTAGCTGCTCAAGAGTTAATAAGGTACGCTTCTTTTCATCCACAAAGAAACACCTGTAGTACTTTGGTGAACTTTTGTGACAATCCCATCTGGTAGCTGTATAACAACATTGTGAATTTGGAACTAAATCCCTATTACAATGAAAACGTAATTTTTACATCCCGCTTAGTGAAATTAATTTGCTGCTTTCCGCACATCCAAAACCCTAACCCCACCTGCCAGAACATCCTTGTATAATTTTTAAAATTACCTTGTTGTTTCACGTATTTTTACCTGCCTGTGTATTTTGTATATTCTGATAAAATTGATAGATTGAAGAAATCTGATGCTGAATTCCAATGCAACGATGACTGAAATTTAAGCAAATACATATATTTGTGCTCGGCAAGCTGAATCAGATTTTAAACCTCTTGTAAACTTTTTAAGATAATGTTTGTTAAACAAGTTTAATCAAACGCAATATTCATTTTTTGTGTTATTGTTTCCTTCTACTTCAGGTTGAAAGAAAGTCACAAAACGGATGGATCTCCACAACTTTTAGTCACATCTGTTGAACATGGCAAGGTAACTTAAGAATCTACATTTAGTATATATTTTGATCATTATTCAACAGGCAAGTCTGATTTGAAGCTAATAATATTGTTTCTAAAATTTCCTTAGATAAAGGCAATGACAAGTCAAGAGAAAGAGGAACAAAATAAGACAGGATCAAGGAAAAGACCCCATGAAAGGTCAGCATTTTTGTAATAATATTTTCTTTATTCTTTATGTCATTTGAATGTTTTTTGGAAATTGTACTGTACATACTATAATATTCCATGGATTAAAATTGATATGCCAGTATTTTCAATTTGACTTTATAACAAGTCGATGACAAAAGACAGAGTACTTAACTACATTATTTATAATGTGTTCATACTGAATTTAATTACTGACAATTTAGAGTTTTAGCAAATGCACATTTTTGTTAAATATATCACAAAATGTCAGTTATGCTTTTTTTTTATAGATAAGTTCAGTTTATGCCTTTTTCACATTTTGATGTTTGGACAGATGGGATATGTGGAAAACCCTTTTTCACATTTTGATGTTTGGACAAAGGAATATGTGGAAAACCCATTTTTAACTTGAAAAACAACCTTATCTTTTCAGGGATGAAAAAGACAGTGAAAAGGATAGCAAAAAGGTCGCTTGTGAGCATGCACCTGAAGAGGATGATGAAAGCTTCATCAAGAACTTATTGTCAGTCAAGTCATTCAAAGAGCAAAAGGTCAGAGTTCAGTGAAGAGTTTTTTTATAGCGAAATTACTTACAAAATGCATGTGTAGCTGTGCATAACCATAATCGAAAGGTTTGGTGCAACACATCATGTAACAAAGATGATTTTCCAAGGCATTAAAGTGAACAGTAAAGTATTCAGGGGTGATGAATCGTTAAGAAGGGAATCTGTAACAAATTCTTAACATTTTGAACAGCATCATGTAGAGGGCAGCAAATTATATTTGAAAACCTATGATATATCCATTGAATGTGTAACAAATAGAGCTACATGCTAAACACATTTAGATTATTTTTTAATATTCATGTAATGTATTCTAGTAGTAATCGAGCTATGTGTGTTTTTTTGTATTCAGAGCAATGAAGTTGGGAAGGAAATCTTTGACCTACTTAATATGCCAACCGCCAAAGAGCAATCCCTGGCAGAAAAGTTTAAATCTGCAAGTGGTGAGTTTCATTTATAATCTTTAAATACAACAGTCAATGTAATCAATAATAGAGTTCTTAAATTGAATAAATTTATTGACTTGTTGACTTTACTGTATTTGGCAAAGGTGTATGGAAATTTCCACACTACAGTTGCAAGTCAGAGGGTGGTAATCGCAACAAAAACATTGTAACCAGATTTTTAATGAAATCAACCATTATGAATTATTTATGCCAAAACTCTATCTAGCAAATAGTCGTTAGCCCGATAAAATTTAAATTTGCTCTTTTTTACTATCTACAGGCACAGTACAAGAATTCTGCCCTCATGGGACACGAGAGGACTGTGAGAGGGTGGCCGGGAGCAATACTGTTCGTTGTAGCAAGGTATGTGCTGATTGTTGCCATGGTGATATTCCTTTAAATCTTTCAAATACCTAAGATTTGCTCATGGGCAAGATTTGTCACATAATACTTATTATAAGTCAATCGTGATGTCATCAATGCAACTCCCAATGTTATTTGCCTATCCAAGCAGTGCACTATTTTATCGCTAGTGTGCTATGCGCAGCTTTACTAATTGTTTTATGGTGTGGACAGATCTGTGGAGTGCAACAAATTATGCAAGTATTAATGATGAGACCGTTAGCAGAGTTTGTGAGATTGAGGATTCATTCATTTATTGATTCTTAAACCATCGTGGGTTATTATTAGCCAAACAAACACATCGTACCCAACAAAATACATACTGGACAGACGTCCCACTCCCATCCAAAATATGCATACATGCCAATCAGTTACAGGTATACTGTATAAGCTATGGCCTAATTTTATTTAGCTTTCCAATATTCTTAAATTACATATAAATATTTTCCTAAAGTTTTCATCTTTCATAATTAAAAAAAAATCTATTTACAGCTTCATTTCCGACGGCTGATTAACAAGCATACTGATGGTAATACATTTATCATTTATTCATTAAATTATAAATAAATATTTAAGAACTCATTGGCTACATGTCTGTGTTTCACTTTCTCAATCATAAGTTTGGGACACATAATCTGCATTTGAGACCATTCCACATACACCTTTATACTGTCACTAGATGTTTAACTGAGTAATTAGCATAAGAATGTTGCAGTATACTTTGTTACAGAGAAGCTGTAATACTTTTACTCATAACTTTGGCAATAGTAAGTCAATGCCAGTAAATGACCCATCATTTTATAGCTTGCAATGTGGAGAATATGAATATATTAAAAAATCAATTTAAATTTTTTGGTCACTGATACTGGTTTTGGGATGGCAAGCCTCATTTGTTAATAATTGTGAACAATTTTTCGACCCTGGTGCGATTTAAACCCATGAAACGTAAATGAATATTCATGTACATTACTGTATGTTTTTTCACCAGAATCACTTGGCGATTGCTCTTTTCTTAACACTTGCTTCCATATGGACACATGCAAGGTAAGGTTTAGTATTAGAATAGTGGAGCTGCAACAGGTGATTAAGATACTTTCCTTTGAATCCCAGTATTAAGTAATGGGAATAAAATTGTACAGCATTATAATAAAAATGATACCATGCCCAATGCTCGTATCCATTTTGATTGATAAAGTTGATGCAACATTCCAAACTATTTTCTCTATGTGTTTTATTTTCATTGATTTTCAGTATGTACATTATGAAACAGAATATCCCTCCACACTGGATAAGATAACTGCCGCTCCTAATAAGGGCATTCGCGGCGACAGCACAGTGACACTTATACAGCCTCAGGTAGGGACAAACTTTATAACTTGTTTTTAACTCATTCTCTATATATCTCAAACAGCTTCCGGGAAATATGCATTGGATATTTGAACTTTCCAAGTAAAGAGAAACGACATGAAAAAAGTTCATGTGTATTTAACATACCTTCCAGTGATCAATAGGAAAATAAACCCTTTTTCTTGAAGACCAGAAACATTCAGCTTTCTCATCTTATCATCTTGCTTAGCATATTCTCTGTTATAATATCCAATCTATTATACTATGATTGCAAAAAAGGTGAATTTGAAATGAAAAAAAAAATGTCTTAGGGGGTTCATGCAAGATGCACAGCAAGAGATTTGAAACCCCTTAATCCCTGTCCAGATTATCATGCTTAAATATGGTCATGATGACATCACATGATGACCATATATAGGCACATTGTGACTATATATGGGCATAAGACAGTTTTTCAAAAAAATAATCTGGACAGAGTTTAACAGAATGAAAGGCTGAACCACAACGCTTTGCCTGCCAATCCAACAATAACAATATTGTTCTTCTAATTGCAGTGGGTACAGTGTGATGTACGCTCGCTCGACATGGATGTACTTGGCAAGTTTGCGGTTATCATGGCTGATCCTCCGTGGGATATCCATATGGAACTTCCATACGGCACTATGCAAGACGATGAGATGAGAAAGCTGAATGTTCCTGGTCTTCAAGAAGAAGGGTTCATTTTCTTATGGGTCACTGGAAGGTATGTTAAATACACATGAAAATCAAAGCTTCTTAGTTACTTTTTTCTCTGTGTTAATTCTTTACTTTGTGTAAATTTTTCGATCTTAGGACATGTGGGAGAACAGATTAATTAGTTTTTTATAAAAGTTTTTTCTGAACGTTTTTAGGGCTATGGAACTTGGACGAGAATGTCTGCAGTTATGGGGCTACAAACAAGTTGATGAAATCATCTGGGTGAAAACTAATCAACTCCAAAGGTTAATTCGCACAGGAAGGACAGGTCATTGGTTGAATCATGGGAAGGAACACTGTTTGGTAAGTGAGCCTCTGCTGCAGCAAGTTCTGCATTAAGTTCCATATTGCATGACAAATAAAGAACCACTGACAAAGAGACCTGAAAAGATCTCCTTGGTTCAGCACACACATAGTGTCTATTAACAGTTTGCTACCCTCAGTAACTAGTTCATTGCTTATCGCAGGTCGGTGTGAAAGGAGATCCGGCTGGGTATAATCGGGGCCTTGATTGTGATGTCATCGTTGCCGAGGTGCGAGAAACCAGTCATAAGCCAGATGAAATATATGGATTGATTGAACGTCTGTCACCAGGGACGAGGAAGATTGAGCTTTTTGGGAGGATGCATAATGTGCAGCCAAATTGGTAAGTGCTTAGTCTGTGAATTGGTAACAGTAGCCACATTCCCCTAAAAAAAAAGCTCACGGAAGTTAAAAATCACATCACCCTATTTTGCATGATAACAACCCCTCACTTAATCACCGAGGGGCCCCCCCACCTGACCTTTGCACTCCATCACCCCCAATTTCAAGATTCCTAGATACACCACTGATTGATAGGGGAAGTAGGGTGAGGATGGTGTAATGCTGCGCACATTCTAGTGCCAAGTATGACTTAACTTTTTCTTTTAGGCATCACATAATTTAACTCCAATTAATGAACAGTATTATATCTGTATACCATGATATTATAGCTTCATCATTTTTGTGATATACAAAATTTAATTTATCTTTGATTTTACACCCTAGGACTACGCTGGGAAACCAGCTAGATGGAGTAAATCTCATTGAGCCTGATATGATAGAACGATTTAACACGGCATATCCGGACGGTAATTGCATGAAACCAAGAGAGAAGAAACCAACAGAAATTAATAAGAACCAAACAAAGAGGTAGACTTGAACATTGCTAGCTGACAAGAGTGTAAAACCAAAGGAAAAGAATTTAGACCACCTGATATGAACAATAGTAACTTCATAAAGAGGTAGAGTACTTGAATATGGCTAGCTGAACAAGTGTATGAAACCCATAGAGGCAAAAGTGTAAAAAACCACCAGTAATGAACACTAAGAACATACTAAAGCGGTCAACTACTTGATTATGGTTAGCTGACAATGATATGAAGCCACCAGAAATGAACAATTGTAACTTATGCAGTAGACTACTTGAATATGGCTGGCTAATAAATTTATGAAAGCAAAAAACAAGAAAGCATCCTAAGATTGGCAAAAATAATGTAGAAATACACAACTTAACTAGCAAATTCAGATTGTTATATAAATTTGTATCAGGTCTCTCTCCAATTAAAGACCACTTTTGGGACAGGGGTTTATATAGATAATAGACATTTGTTAATTTGGGACTCAGAAAGGTGGTCTCTATTTAGAGGTGGTCTTTAATTGGAGGGGTCTTTATTTAGAGGAAGGCCTGTATATATTATTCATTTTTAAACATTTTTGAATGTTGTGTATATTATATTTTTAAACATTTTTAGACAATGTCCAGCAGGTACTCTCAGCCAAAGTTTCGAACATGTTTTTATCTGCATGTTGACCAATATATCAAAATTGAATTGAATTATTGACAAGCTGCTACTAGCACTCAAAAGAGAGACATCTAATTCCTTATTGAAATTCCGTAATGCTATCTGTATCTATGGTATCATTAAAGAAATTAGAACATTAAATACAATTTGTAATATTAAACAAATGCATATGCCCTTCTATTTATAGACACTAAAGGCTAAAGTCCAGTTAAGCTCGGGATTCTGTAAAAGCCAGATCTCCTCATTTAACATTGTTGCTATGTTTGGCAGAAGTATATCATGGTATTATTCAAAGCTAAACTAAGTTATTTTCCTGCTTACGTTGACCGCAACATCTATGTAAATACAGTTCCTTGGAAACATAATGTGTGTGGATTATATTTTCTTTTCTTTTCTTTGCATTGTTTGACTGTCAAATGAAAAAAATGAATGTTTTTAAAAAAATAAAGATGAATAGATTACAGTACTATTAAAGTATTTGGTGTTGAAAGCGGTCATGGTTCGGGTTTTTGACATAAAGGGCTGTCCACACTGCAAGTTTTATGTGATAAAAGTTGTCATAGGTGTGATATGATGTCCACCCCCTCGCCCTTTTGGAAAGTTAAAAAAAAGAAAGAAAGGAAAAAGAAATAATTAATCGCCAAAAAAACAACATTATTTTCAGTGGTCTGGAAAACAAAAATTTCGCAGGGGAAAGCTCCGGACCGCCAAGGGTAGTTTTGAATGTTAAAACTACTGGTTTTGATGTTAAAACAAAAATTTCGCTGGGGAAATCCCCCGGACCCCCTAGGGTAGTGTTGCCTCGATTGGCCCCTCTTTCGGATCCGCATCTGTATGGCAACTCACATATTTACTATATGTTAGTGTGGACTAAGCTTAAAAACCGAAAGGTCCACTGATTAATCTCAGATAAGAAAGTATAATACATACTCCAAGTATTGAAATACACGCCATCGTGTTGGGATTCAATATTTCGACATTAATTATGTCATCATCAGGAATGCCTGATGATGACATAATTAATGTCGAAATATTGAATCCCAACACGATGGCGTGTATTTCAATACTTGGAGTATGTATTATACTTTCTTAACTAAGCTTAAAGTGCTTATAACTAATGACCAGAATAGTAAATTGTGCACATTCCATATTATATATGCATTTAAATTTTTCAATGCACTATAGAAGATTTCACATGTGCTTTGAAATAACATATACAGTACACTTAAAAAAGAATCTTAATACTTAACATAACGATCAATCCTCGTCCCAATCATATCATTCTGGAAAAGATCCCGGTGTTTTACAAGCTTGGTTTCAGGATTGAAGGCATTTGAACACCAAAGATCAAAGATTCTGTACTGTTGTAGGCCGGGCCTTACTTTACTCTATCCAAACCAGATTTACCTTCATGATACCGAAAGAGGTATCATGAAGAGTTAAATATTGTTCATAAATATTATTTTTGTGCTAGGACGATGTTTTTGTTTTAAGTAGGCCTATTTTTGCTTTTAATCAGTAGTGCTTTTGCTGCAAAGTACGTGAGAGCCGGGGGTGAATGCTGAACAAAATTCGGCAAATTCGCACCACTGAGTTGAATGGTTAAAATCGCACATGTGGGTCACTGCAACCGCGATCGCGATTCTGTTTCGCTCGAGTATCGCGTCAGCTGTCACAGTAGAGTAGGATAGGCCTTCCTGTCATTGTTAAATCATGGAAACATGGAGAAAAAAGACATTAGATTCGAAGATATGATTGCTAGATTATGTGTAAATCACTATGAAGAACGCCTGCCTAAGAGAGGCAAACCCCAAGTCAACCGTGAATGGACTATTCTAGCTGGAGTTGTCCAGGCTCAACGACGGCCTGTGTCGTCGGTCGCCAAAGCCAGTCAAGCACGAAGCCTAGGCCTAAGTAAAGTTAGAATCGATAGCAAGTTTTGTACTACTACTAGGCCTAGGCTTTAAATGTAGGCCTAGTCCTTCGAATTAACCAAATTAATCCTCTCTAGGAATAGTGTCGATATAATTCCAAATTACAAATGCGACAAGCGGGGAGGGGACAGTTTTTCCCGTCGGAGAGAATTTCTGTCTCTTTTTTTTTTTTTTTTTTTTTTTTTTTTTTTAACCTTAGTAGACTCTAAAATCGATTAAATAAGCCTTTGAAACCCCTAAATTTTCAGTTTCCCCCTCCCCCGACTGCTTAACATTAGAAACTTACGGGCAATGCCCTTCAGTGCCACCTACTACACTCTTGTCGGGAAAATCCTGACGCCTCGCCTGTGTGCAGTTATAAAGCCCCTGATGGAATGATTTCACATGTTTTCTTTTCATACACTAGAATTTGATGAGAAATTTGAATATGAAGTTGTTGCCTTAGGAACAGGTTCCAAATGTCTTGGTCTGGATAAACTAAGCACTAATGGTGAGAATATACAAAGTAATTTTAAATGTAATACACTATACAGTAGGCTACGATAGATTGAAGGTGCACTTTTGGCCCTGCAAATTGAGGAACATAACCCCTTCATGACTCCGGCCAACACCACCACTATACTGTTGACTACTGTCAACTTCAGATCTGAGTCTTCAAACCACGTACACATTTTTAGATTTAAGGGTCTTTAGGAATGCATTTTGGGATGGTTACATTATTTCATTCATCTTGCACACCTGATAAATTTGCATATTTCATTGCAGGAGATGTAATTCATGATAGTCATGCTGAGGTTATTGCTAGAAGAGCATTCTTAAGGTAGGTATATTATACAAATATTGTAATATAATATAAGTTTGTCATATCACCCCTTTCAACATAGGATGGTGAAAAGGGCCCTCGCAGGCCAGGCTTCCCTCCCCCACAGCAATACAAATAATTTAAATTAATTGACATACGTCCTTGACCCCAAGGTAAGTGAACAGCACCATCCCCTCAGACCACAGATAATAGTTTGATATCAGGGTTTTAAAAATTTTATAAAGTTGTCCTAAAAACAATGATGCGATATTTCCTACACAACAATTCTTAAATGTTTCCAATTGTTATTTCAGGTATCTATATGACCAATTGAAGAAGAGTATTTTACAAGAAGAAAGTATATTTATTAATGCAGATGCGAGAGGAGAATTTCAGTTGAAACCACATGTAACTTTCCACTTCTTCACCAGCCAGACCCCATGTAAGTTCATGATTTACATGTGAGCCACAATCCTAATGATGAAAACATATTTTATATCTATCCTATATATATATTGTCTATCCATCTATTTTTGTCACTCCACTGCTGGCATAGATACCCTTTGTCAATTCTCTACTCCTTTGCCTTATCCTCTGATTTCTGCTCCTTCCATCTTTCAATCTATTGCCCTTTAGTGTCCATCAATTGTCTTTACCGCTTGCTTACTACTTACCATTTTCCTCTCACCAGTATTACATCTGCCAATCCTATTGCCATTTTCAAAATCTTCATTTGAATTATTCTAAGATATTAACTCTTGCTTCTTTGCTTATTGTTTTGAAGGTGGGGATGCTTCAATCTTCCCCGAGACCACAGATGACAACCATATGCAGACATCAACTGATCCAGTGACAGTTGTTGATAAAGTTGAAAGTTTTTGCCAGAAAGACGTTTCACAAGTGGAACCAATTGATGTTGGATCAACAATAGAAAGTGAAAAGGAAATTGTAGTGTCAGTTGGAAGCACATTACCAGTGAGAATTTCTAAAGGCAATCAGGATAAAAATATTGCTGAAGAAAATTTAGACATCAATGTCAGAACTGATAGTTGTAAAAGAAAGAGGGAAGCATCACCAGTATGCTATGAGGTGCAAACAAAAAATGCCAAACTCAACCTTGAGGATCATGCCATTGATGGAAGTCAAGATCAGAAGTATAAAGATCATCGCACCGGAGCAAAATGCGTGCCCGGAAATATCCAGGATCCTCTGAATCCTAGTGGATATCACACTGTTGGAGTCTTGCGCTTGAAGCCAGGCAGAGGAAACCGGAGTGTCTCAATCTGCTGCAGCGACAAGATTGCCAAGTGGAACGTACTTGGATGTCAGGGAGCGCTCCTCTCTCACTTCCTAACAGAGCCAATAGCATTCGAAAGCATTGTTATTGGAAAGTGCAGTTTTAGTGAAAGTGCTACCAAAAGGGCACTGTTGGATAGGATACATGGAGTTTATTCAAACCTAAGTTATGCTGTACATCACAATATTTCTGTATTCCATTCAAATGTTGAATTTCATCATTCAAAGGAGTACATCAAACAGCACCATATTAAATCCCTTGGCAAAATCGCACCTTGTGGGGCAGGTAGAGTAATCAATTTAATACAGATTATGGTAACAAATAATTTGATCCCATGAGATAGTGTATAAATAAACCCAGCATTTCAAGACAACCTGCTGAAACACAAGAGCAGAAGTTGGCATTGAAGCAGGGATGAAGTTTAATTATACATTCCGAAGTTCAGCACACAGAGCACCAGTTTAGCCTGCTGAGTCCAGTTGCTGTCTCAGTAACACCCAGATTCCAAGCCAGCAGTTAAAAATTATATCTTGTTAATGTCTAAAGTAATTTGGTTTGCTGTTTACTTCCATTAATTTACTGCTACTTTTGAACAAAGAGGAGGGAGGCACCCCGTATCCGCCTGGCTACGCCACTTCTATAAGGCAGGGTCACAGCATTTGCCTATTTCACGAAAGCCAGTGCATAACATCTTTATCGAAGTGGAGTTAAATTATAAACATTAAATGTGACTAATGTGTTTGACTATAATAGCAAATCAAATTAGTGGTCAAATCAATGCTATGTCTGGTTTTTTTACAGCTATTATATGGTCAGCTGTGCCAAACTCTCCTCTTGATGTCTCTGTAAAGGGTGTCAAACAAGGTGTGACATCAAAAGATTTGAAACAATGCAATGCAAGGTAGGGCAACCTAGCATTCACATAACATAAAAGTTTATCTCTGTTTGAGACAGGAGTATAATAAAAAAAAAAAATATTTTAATAAACAATAAAATTGTATTTATTCACCAGGTGTGACATTTGCAAATCTAAATTATTTGAAACTTTCAAGGAAGTGGTGAATCTTATCCCTGAGGACAGCCTTCCATGTAGTTTAAAGTAAGTGAACGTTAATTGAGTACATTACCATATTCATTCAAATTAACACGTTACTTTGAATAATCCACTTTGAATATAAACAAAATTGTCCATAAATTCCCTCTCAAACAAACTTAAGCAAACTTCCTCTCAAGTCAATACTCCTTCATACAAACTTCCCCTCAAACAATTCCCCCCACCCCATGATGTCCTCGAGTAAATGGACCCTCAAACAAGATTTCCCTTAGATAAAAGGACCCTTGATTAAATGTACAGGTATTGCTTTTTACGCCATGACAGTACTTATAGATCTGTCATTAACATAATGTCTGTACAATGTAAGGAAGGACAGAAATATTACTTTTTAAATGTACATGATGTCAATTTGAATAATTAAGTCTATTGTGTTTATAGCACTTAAGTGTTAGAAACTATAGAAAAACACATATCTTGCCAGCTTATCATTTAATTAACCATATATGACGCGTTATACATGATTGACACACCTTGTGTTTTGATTTTTAGAAACACTGAACTAAAAACGTACTGGGATTATAAGCAGGCATGCGGCAAATACCAAGAGTCATGGCGACATTTATTGCAACATTTCAGCACGTGGATAAGAACACCTGTTGAATATTCACAGTTTTCTTGAGCAGTACTAACTCAATTGGCAATTTATACTTCGAATATTGACAAAATATCGAGATATTTTATTTTATTCTTGCTGGAATGTGTCTTTTTTTCCAAATGTCTAACCGAATAAAAATAATTCTGACATTGAATGTTTTCTTGACTGTGCCTCAAATTATTATAGTTATTGGTTCTTCTGTGTTAGAAGTTGATAAAAAAAAAACAAAAAAAACTGGAGGATTGAGTGCTGAATTAGCTGATTGAACCATGTTTGTTTGTTTGATTGATTGAGTGATGTTTGAGAAGGAAGGAAGTGTAGTCTACACACACGAGACTGATATTCGCTATCGGTACCGGTATTGTCGCTTGCATCAATCTATTTTTTATCGATACCAAGGATATACTGCCACCCAAAAAACACTCAAAATGTAAAATAATTGTTCATGTTCTTCAAGATAAAGAAAAATATATCTCAATGATTTAAATACTTTTTACTTATAAAATCATTACAAATTTGCTGCCAGAAATTTAAGTGTATTGTACATGCGATTGATAATTTTCTATACGTCGTTAATTGGCGAGAATTGTTTACCCTTTCTAATTTTTGGATGAAATCTAATTTGAAATATACAAATTAATTCCTTTTTTTAGTTCTCAAGTTTATAATTTATTTAAGTGTTAGTTGATCTTTAAATAGTATCATCATTAGATGTGAACTTCAAAACACTCTGACATGTTCAAACATTTTCAAATACAGAACTCTAATGATTGGAATAATATGCCTACTAAAATCACATTAAAGATACAGTATTCGCGGTTTTTTGAACACATATACTAAACCTGTGACAGAAAGCCACATAGTTCTTTTCTTCTGGAATGTTACTAAGGTTATAAGTTACTTTCCACGAAACAAAGCTGGGTTACAGGAGCTGTCGGAGAAAACAATTGCAAGAGAAATAACTACATGGAGAAATTACAAAAAATATTTATGACAATATTACACCACTATTTACCCAGGTAGGCCTAGTAAAGAATTTTAGGTTTTTATTAAGAAACATACATATTCATTAGGACTAATTATGCGTCCTTATACCAGGTGTCCATCAAATTTGCTTGTTGTTATACAGTTCGTTGAAATTAGGTCTGATTGTATTCAGTTTGGACAACTTGTAAACATGGAGGGAGAAGAGTCGTTTGCCGAATCTGAGGATAATACTCTAATAAACAGACAAGATTCAATTGAAGACATAAGTGTGACTGAATCAAAAGAACCTATGCAATGTGAAACAACTCCAGAGAAGCAAACGGTCGGGACACCTAGCGTTTACCAACTCGTAAACGATTCCTTTGATGACCACTTCAACGAGCTCACCTCTATTCTCACATTCCACACACCGTTTCAAGTGGAAGAAAGACTGGTGGAGTACTTAGAAGGCAAAGACACGCATCTCGAATGGAGTGCAGTATGGAGATGTGAGAACCCTGAAGTAGATACACTTGTTAAGGTACGAAAATGTCATAGTTGACATACCGGAAGTTATGCGATTTTTAAATTGCGATTAAACCACTTGTCTCGTACACTTTGCAGGGGCGGATTTAGGGGTGGAAGCCGGCCCCACCTTTTGGGAGGTAAAAAAAAGAAGAAAAAAATGATAGCCCACAACGCCTCAAATGTTATTTTCGGGCGTCTAGAACACAAAATTTTCGCGGGGGCATGCCC